ATCTTTCAATTCTATTACATCTGCTACAGCGATTCCAACCTTCACTTCAGGTGATGTTGTCAATGGATCGCCATCTTTTTCCACAAACCCAACAACGAGTTCTAGTGTCGTGAGTGGCGGTATCTCTTCATTTTCAGCGTTCCCTGTACCTACTTCAAGTATTCCAGTAGAAACTACCATTTTCTTTTAAGAAGTAAGGATCGATGGACGTGCACAGTCAAAAAGGTTATATCATACAACTGATTGTGTTATAATAAGCAGAAAACAATCATTGATGTTGCAAGGTCAAAGGACTTTGAATAAAGCAAAAAGGTTGCATTTATTTTTGAAATTATCGAGTATACAATAAGCACGTCTTTTTATGACACAAATATTCATAGTGTAACAAAGAACAATGTATAGCGTATAGAAACGAAACCACAGAAATTTTGCTGTTTTATTCAAGTTGTAATAGCCGCACCCTCAGTAGAGTCCAATGGAATGTCATAAATAGAAAAATGCAAAATTGGCTTTGAAAATAAAAATTGCCGTTGAACCCATTAGTATCCAGTTGGTTCTATTCTGTCCTGTAGAAAAGAAAAATGCTATATCATTGTGTTGGCTTTGGGGTTGCAAAATAACGCTAAATCATATATAAGAGGAATTTCTTTCTATAATCATTTTTGGCATTGTGATTTGGAACATTTTGTAACATCCATCATGAACAAAGTTTCTCTAGTTTCTTTTCTGTTATTTGGAGTTGTGATCTATGCAGTTGCAGGACCTCTCAAAGACTCCAATATAGCCTCAAAAGTCAGAGGATATAGTAGCGCTTATAGTCCTGTCTATTCATCACCGATGTATTCCACTCCTTATGAAAGTCCTTCTTATCCCTCCTACACTACCTATCCTTGGATTGAGCCTTGTGCTGAAGCTTGTGCTGGATGTCTCTATTGCTATCAACAAGTAAGTTTATCTTAAAATTTTCAATTGTCATGTTGCTAATATCTCCAAGTACAATTTCTATTATCCCTACGGTCTTGATATCCTCTACTGCAACAACTTTGACAAATATTGTCCATCTGGATACGTTCGACCAACTCCTTATCAGTCTTCATCTTATTCTCGTGGAGCTTATAGTTCATCATCATCTTCCTATGCAACTCCAACATACTCATCTTCTTCTTATTCGACTCCAATGTATACATCTTCCTATTCAACAAATACCTACACTTCTTATGAAACTCCTCCTATGACTTATTACTATCCAGAATGGTATTTGGAATGTTATCAATGGTGCTTCGAATGTCTTTTGTGCAACTTGGAATATGGTTTTTACTACATTCAAGAACCAACTCCTACTCCTTATTATCCAAGTTACTCCAGTTCTTATCCGATGTATAGTAGCAGTTACAGCAGCTACAGCAGTTATCCATCTTATACAACTAGTGCGTATAGCTCATAGAATGAAGATGGACTCTTAGGCGAAGGATGCCGACGACCATTTGTTTGTTTAGTGAACTTTTAGATTAACAACAAATAGTAAACTTCTTGAGACGTTGTTTCAAGAACTTTTTTGTTCAACAGTTAATTTATTTTTTTAATTTGAATAGCTCAGGAGAAAGTTCAACTCTGAATCTCTCTCAGACAGACACTGGTTTCACCTGTTTCTTCAGTAAGCTGATTTCGATCGACGAGACTCTATTTTTCCATATTATTGTTGCAAGAAAAATAGAGAAGCTTTCCATCACACTGGAAATGAGTTTTTCCATCATTATGCAACTGCTTTAGATTAAGGAAACCTTAAATGTAAACAGTGAGAAAAAAGGCAAATACTTAGTCGAGGAAATTTAAATAGCTTTTCTTAGGATTTTGAATTCAAAACAACTCAAATATGAATATGGAGAAAAAACATTTTACAATAGAACATATCCACTTCACATAAATCCGAATGTTTTGAAGCAGTCAAATTGTACGATTGAACTTTCTTAAGCAGTACAGTACATCTCATATGATGTAGAAAACTACTAATGTGAAACATTCTTGTTCTCAAACCTTCCTATAATATTCATGACTTGCTCGAACAGTAATTCGAACACGAGTTTAATATAACTAAACTTGACAATGTCACAAGCAGGATAGATTCCACTCATCTATGAAAGAAGAACAAAATCTTCTTTCAAGAGCAACTGTTCGAATTTATTACCTTGGCTCTTATGCACTTCCCAGTCCAGCTCTCGGCGGACGAATGCGTACTTGAACAGGTTGAGTCAATCCTGCTTCTTCTCTGTTAGGATGTCCCAAACTTTGGCCCTTGGACCAACCCATTGATTGTAACATACTTCGATGGCTTAATAAGGTCCAAACAACAGTCTAATTCCGTTACATACCGATGACCAATGTTGTCTTCACCAATGTCTACTGCCAAAGATCTTTCCAATTCCTTACGACCACGAGCACTATGTGTACTTGCAATCGCCATCGGAAATATGACTTCTTCATGTCTGAAAAATTGCTTCACACGATGATACGTCAAGACTTACCTCTTTTCGTTTTTTGTTTCTTATTCTTTTTTGCCTTCAACCCGCCTTCAAATCCGACCTCGTTCAAAATGGTTTCAATGGTATCTTCTTGAGGAAATTTCCAAGAAGAGACACGGCAAATTGTTACTGAACGTTGTCCTTCTCTTCCATGACTCTTACTCCGAATCCCACATGCTTCCTAAAATAAAGTATATTTCTTCATCATAACATCAAAGAAAGAGAATTCTTACTGCAAATTTATGTATAGCAAGGCGCAAGTGTCGATTCATAGCAGGAAAAGTATATGTTTTACTGGTACCTTTTTGAAGAAAACTAAGAATTCGACGGAATGACTGGAGAGCCGAATTTCGTTTAGAAGAGTTCAATCGTCTTTTACTTTTCTTTCTAAAAAGTCATAAGAGATATATATTCCAAGACAAGAGATATTTACATACTTGGCTGAAGTCAAACTCATAGCATATTCGAACTCATCATCTATCATTGTGGAATACAAACGTCGAAGATGTTTTTTGACACCGTTTCCAGAAATCGGAAACTGCGACCAATCTAGTCCATCCATAGTTTCTAAAGTATAAAATGACTGCTTTTTACGTCTCGCCCTATTTTCTTTTGAAGAAGATGTCTTTCTATGCCACCGCGGCAACTGCTGCTTGTTCTGCGCAAAGCATCGAGAACGCCTCTTTTCAGCATTTCTATTATCATCAGATAAACTATATGTCGACCCGTCATCGTCTTTGGCAACATTTCTTTCCGGTTTGCTATTTGCAAAGACAACCAAGTCAGATTTTCCTTGTTGTTCAGTCGTTGGATACAAATCCGATCTCGTCTTCAATATTTGTTTAATCTTTCTAATCTTTTGTTTTAGATATTGAATATATTCCAAGGCTTCCTCATCTGTCATCTGATGAAAAGCTTCCGAGTCAAAACTGTTCGAAGAAACCTCACATTCACTTGGAACATCCTTAGAAAAGTGAACAACTTGATTGGACAAACTGTTTAGCTCGTCTTCGTTCGCCCAATTTATACCATTTCTAGACGAGTTGAACAAAGTCAGGTCAGGACAAGGGTCTATGTCTCTTTGTATTTCAGTATATTTCTCCACATCCACTACTTGCAAGGCATTTTCTCCGTTCAGTTCTAAATTTTCAACAAAGTCCCTAACTACATCGGAGTCCAAAGAGTTTCCAGAACTGTTACTTTCACTATCCGAAGACTTTGAAACCGTAGTTTCCCGTTTACCGAAACTCACAGGTTTCAATTGGTTGCCTGTGTTGTAGGTAGTACATTCCTTATACCGCTTACGTTTATGACGAATTCTTCCATAGCCTCCTCTTCGAGTCATCTAAGTTACGAATGGAACACAATTGTTCCGAATTTCACTCGTCATTTTGTCAACGAGAACTTTTTCATCAGCGCTTTGAAAGACAATGTATAGACCAAACTCAAGCTGACTTTTTCCTCTTGTGATGGAATGAGACTTCAGTTGTCACTCATATAAAGAGTCGGTAGATATGCATTCTAGTGTATTCGTCTACGCAACTTTCTAGTTGGGCAAAGATAACATTCGAAGGGTTGTGACAAATCGATATGCTCCAACTATGGAAGGAATCAATAGTCAATTGTTCGTGAAACTATAGCCAGTTTGCCTATTCATGGTTACAATTATACACAAAATGAAAAACCATTCCATCCACTCTTTATTCGTCTGTTTAAGGCATTCTTCATTTACCAATCCATCCATCACACAAATGACTTATGAGGGATTAGAAAACGAATAACCACAAGACGAATTTTCATCTTTAAAACATCCTAAGCAAGTTTTCTTTCCGCAATCCATTGCCAGAAATGTTTCTTTTCCAGCTTCGCATCACAAGTCTTCTTCCACCACTTGTCTCTTTGTTGACTATTCGACTCAAAGCTATCAAAATATAAACCCATATAGAAAGAAACGATGCAAGAAATGTTGGGAGGTAACTGCTCAAACTAGGAAAAACCTATAAGTGGTTGGGAGGAATTATTCAATCAATCTCACCTCTTTCTCTACTTCTGAAGTGGTCATTGAAGGTGTCGAGTATAGTTGCCATAGTCTTTCCAAAGAAAAGTCCATAACCTTTGGTTGAACCCAATCTTCTGTGGCTTCTGCAATGGCTGAATTCTTGTCGGTAGACTTGGCCTATGGATATTCATTTGTATTTCATCTAACGCTTTATGAATCTCTCTTGCCTTGATTGCCAAAACCCACAATGCTCCTTCGTTGCTTTGCTTATCCAATAAACCGTCAATAGCAACACACTCTCTAGCATCGTCATATCGTTCCATAAAATAATAAGCAGCCGCTAAAGTAGCTCTTCAAAAAACTCATCTAAATACTTGACACATAATTACCTCGTTGGATGTTCAATGGAGGACCTGACCACTCTGGTAAATAAGGTTCGATCTCTTCCCTAATTTGATGTAAACTACTCAACTCGTTCCCCAAACCGTATATATTCAACACGATAGCTTCATCAAACGACTCAACTGCTTCTTTCCATCGTCCCATTCGAAGAAATAGGGAAGCCCTATCACACGCTGAGTTTTCTATTTTAACCTATGCAAAGTTATAATCACCTTCGTTCCAACGGATCTGGTAAATTCAAACCACTCATAATACTCTGATTCATTTCTTCGACAGCTTGTTCAAATCGATCGTAACGCTCGTATACTGTTGCTCTTAGAAAGGCTGGCCAAGGATGCGTTTCTTCGTAAAATTGGGATAGTTGTTCCACTTTGTTCCATTCCAACTCAAAAGTACCTTCCTACAATCCTCACAATAAATATTGTAACAATTTGTTATAAAAGAGCTAAACATACTGGTAAGTTGCTGATTTCTCTAATACGAGCTAGACGTTCTTCTTCTGAAAGTGTAGCTTGTGGTGAATAAAGAGATAAACGAGGCTCAACGGTTCCTTCGATAGTGGGAAGAGCAAAGGAAGGAGCCCTGTTGGTACCATTTGAATAGGAGTTTGCTTCTTGTTGGTCTGTCGATAAAGGCTCGCTTCTTTCTTCACCCAACTGTGAATCCTTGTTCTTTTCTTCTTCTTTGTTAGCAAGACAACAGTAATTCCAAGACAGGTAACTGAAATAGTCAGCAAGAAAAAAGGTAAAAGGTTGAGTTGTCTTTACCGCCTGTCGTGTCTCTGAGTTTTTCCACGAAATAACATATGAGATCTACCCTTGTTGTGTAAGTTATTTGACTGTAAAGGTCTTGATACAGTAGGAGTAGCTTTCAAACAGCCCTTATGGACGTAAGATAACGCACTAACTTTGATATCCACAAAACCCATAAAATATGCCATATGCGCTGCTAAACCTCTTTTCGATGGGGGAAGAAAAGTGATTAGATAACTTACATGTATGTTGTGAAATTCGGAGGAACAAAAATTCACAAAGTGATGATGTTAGGACATCGTTATCTCCTATATTGAAAAGTTTTGCTTTTATCAAAATCCATCTACGTAAATAATACGACAGATTGATGAGTGAGTTCTTCTATGGAAAGAAAACAATGTAGATAATGAACTATGGTTGCTTGCTTTTTGTTAGTTCCATCTTCAAGAATGGAATATGTTATGCTTATTTCATTTGTAAATGCAATAAGTTGCTGACTCCACAAAAGACTTTTACTAAATTTAGAAACTCCAAAAGGCCATCTCATCGGAATTTCGGATTCTTCACTGAACCGTTTTTTGGGATTGCTAAGCAAACAACAATGGATAGGCTAACAGAGTTGAGAAATATGGTCACTCCTGGGAGTGGAAACGACAGAGAAAACGATGATATAATACAAGCAGCTTCAAGGGTGTTACGTGGAGACTTTGAAGAGGAGGGTAAGTTATCATGCAAAAGTAGACACTATGCCTAGTAAACAAAGGTTTGCAGATGAAGGTAACGAGCGTCCACAAGGAGAAGAAAGCAAAAATATATTGGACGAGTTGGAGGAAGGTTTAGAAAATTTACAACATAAAATTTTTTCCCCTTTTTCCAAAAAGAAATCGTCTAAAGAGGTATTTGAACCTTTCATGAATACTCGAAGTACAATAACATCGTTTTGACTAATAAAAGGATGTGGAAAGTGGTCGTTTTCAAAGTAGACAGACTGCTCAGTTATCAGGAAATGGAGAAAGTAATGTATTGACGAATTTTTACGAAGACGTCGACTCAGTAAAGGCCCTAATCGAAAAACTTAAGCTACAAACCAAAGCAGTGTCGCAGAAACACAGGTATTTTCTCCTTTGCAGTATGATTCTAAGCAGTTTTTAAAATGAAGCGTGAAAGAGCTGCCCTGGAAGACCCAACCAATGCAACAAAGGTTGAGGAAGAACTTATGACGGAAACCTCACTGGCAAGAGAACTCGCTGTTGGTATTAAACGACGGTTGGATAAAATGAAAGTACGTTAAGTATTCAAATCTTTGCAAAGAGAAAAGAATGTATTTCTTATGGGTATCTTCAGGAACTACAGAGTAAAGTGGAAAGAGAAAAGGGACAGGGATGTGCAGAAGCTCGTATTATTGCAGGTAGGAAGTCAACCTAGTTGATTGCACATATCAATTTCTTTGTAATAGGAACACAAGGAGCTTTAGCAAAACGTTTTATGAATGCAATGCGTGAGTTTCAGAATGTTCAAGAAGAATGTGAAAATGACATGAGAGAGCAGGTAAGATAGAGAGCTGTAATTCTTTTTCTCCAGGTGATTATATTTTCGTAGGCAGAAAGGCAACTGAAGATCATCAACCCTAAAATAAGCAAAACGGAAATCGACACAGTTTTAGATGCTACTGGTTCAGGGGGAAATGCAAGCTCTGAAATACTAAGACAACAGGTCAGTGCATAACTTAGCTCGACAATATTTTTTTGGGACTTGTGTTAAGATGCTCATGGCCCGAGATGGCGATTACAATTCCATAAGACTGGTTATGGAAGATGTAGAAGAACGTACCAGAGCAATGCGTCAGTTGGAGGAAAATATTCAAGAACTGAGGCAGATGTTCATAGATATGAGTGTTTTGGTCGAATCTCAAGGAGAAACCATAGACCAGATTGAAAGTAATATAAGTAGTGCAAAGGCTAGTACAAAGACTGCTGCATCTCAGTTAAGAAGTGCTCGAAAGCATCAAAAGAGGTAATGCAGATATGTTTCACTGGTTGAGATTGTGCTGATTTATTTTGCCCTTTTATAAGATACTATCGATTACTTTTCTGCCTCTTTTGCTGCTTAATTATTTTACTTATTGCCATTCTGGTCCCCATTGGAGTGGCAGTTATTCGTCCAAACAATGGAGGATAAGAAAACCATCCATCTTTGTGGACAGTTGTTGTAAATGGTAAGACCTTGGCGATCGATATTTGGACTTTTTTTTGAATGGATAACAGAAGCAGATACTAGGGAAGTCATAGCAACGACAGATATTAATAATTCGAATAAATATGGAATCGAATGATCATTTCTGCATTTCCGAGTAGAGTTAATAAAGAGAACTTATCAACGGAGTTTTCAAGAATTGTATTTTCCCACACAAACTTATTTCCAACTCTTCTCATGATATATTAAGTGAACCATTTGGATTTGCAGAATTCTCATATCCCATAGAACAGTAAAAACGGTTCGGTCAATGACAGACTGTATCCTTGTTCAGTAAAGTGGTATGCTAGAGACGGTATTCAATACAAGGGGTTCAAGAGTTCTATTTAATGTCTTTGCTGTTGGAAGTGCTTGTCTTCCAATTATTCAATCTCTCTTAAAGAAGCTGTAAAGAGTGAAATATCACGCTCTCATTAACAGAGTGCCATTCTATGATTGTTCTCCACAGCAATTGGTGCTCATTTTGCATCTCGGGACTTTTCGACCTGGATTATGGTCTTCGTGTGTTCCTTTATTCCAAAGAATTCTTCAAACTTGTCTTCTTTGTTGAGGAATCAAAAAGAAAACCAGATTTTACGCTATTCTACGTCACTTGTAAGTTTCATGCTTGTCAGAGTATTTTCTTGAACTTAGAGTTATAGGCCTTTTGTCCTGTTGCTAGAAAGAGGTTTCGGCAGATATGTCTTTGTTGCTCCGACTCAGGTACAGAGGGGCCAGTATCTCCTGCAGTTTACGCCAAGTTTGCCTCCCAAAGAGCGATTTTATCTTCTTCGTCGAATGATTTCGAGGTTGATGAGTTGAATAAGCTTTTGGAAATGGCTGGGAAGACGAGGAGAAATCCACAACGCTTTCTACGTGCGCTGAAGAATAGTCTAGTTGTAGTTACCGCTCGGCTTATTTCTGACGGTACTCTTGTTGGTTTAACCAGAGCTATCACAGATGGTGCATATAATGCTACTATCGTCGAGTTATTCACAGATATAAGACTACCCAAGCCTGTCAGTAGTTGTTTCTGGTATATCTGAACACATTTGAATATAGTCTTGTTAGGAAATAATCAAGCGCAATATGGTCGAGAGACTTATCAAGGAAGCACGCAGCAAGATACCTGATTGCGGTATTGTCATGATTGCACCAGAGGAAGATGTTGCTATTTATGAGAAGATGAACTTTCAAGTCAATCCCAGAGGCATTCGATTGATGGGCATGACGAATCATCATGATGAAGAATGATGGGCCGCATCAATGTGGTATTGCGCGCCATATTCAAATTGAACGTGTCTGTCTTATTCCGTTGATGTTTGTTTAGCATTACACAGACACCTCATACAGTCTTTAAAAGCTGATCTTTTTGGTCATTCCGGTTGCTTTATAATAGGCATTTTTGAAGTTGGCAGAAGAGGTAGGTCGAAATAAACACTATAATATCTTTCTTTGAGAACAATTTGGTTAGTACTCCGACTATCTTTTTCAGAAGTATGCGTGAGATAGTACACGTACAAGCTGGTCAATGTGGGAACCAAATTGGTACCAAGTTCTGGGAAGTTATTTGTGACGAACACGGTCTTTCTCCTGATGGATTCTATAGCGGGGATACAAACTCTCAGTTAGACCGTATAAACGTTTATTACACAGAAGCCTCTGATAAGCGTTATGTGCCACGTGCAGTTCTGGTTGACTTGGAACCAGGGACAATGGATGCTATTAAAAGTGGAAAACTAGGAAAAATGTTTCGTCCAGATAACTTTGTATACGGTCAAAGTGGTGCTGGCAACAACTGGGCCAAAGGACATTATACTGAAGGTGCTGAATTGGTGGATGCAGTCTTGGATGTCGTGAGAAAAGAAGCAGAAGCTTGTGACTGTTTGCAAGGGTTCCAAGTAACCCACTCTTTGGGTGGAGGTACCGGTTCCGGAATGGGGACTTTACTAATTTCGAAGATAAGAGAAGAATATCCCGACCGAATGATGGGAACATATTCGGTATTGCCTTCTCCGAAAGTGTCGGATACAGTGGTTGAGCCTTACAATTGTATCCTTTCTGTTCATCAGTTGGTGGAAAATGGAGATGAAGTGTTCTGTATTGATAACGAAGCACTTTATAATATTTGTCATAATACTTTGAAGATGAGTAATCCCTCATACAGCGACCTCAACCAACTTGTAACGGCAGTCATGTCGGGTATTACATGTTCACTGCGTTTCCCTGGGCAGTTGAACGCAGACTTGCGCAAACTGGCTACCAACTTGATTCCGTTTCCCCGCTTACATTTCTTTATGATTGGATTCGCTCCGTTGGCAGCCCCTGGAACACAGCAATACAAATCGAGCACTGTTGCAGACCTCTGTCAACAAATGTTTGATTCTCGTAATATGATGGCCGCATGTGATCCTCGTCATGGTCGTTATTTAACTGCTGCCGCATATTTCCGTGGAAAAGTGGCAACCAACGAAATCGATGACCAGCTCATGACTGTCCAAAACAAGAATGCTGCCTCCTTTGTAGAATGGATTCCCAATAACATTAAGAGTTCTCTTTGTGATATTCCCCCAAAAGGAATGCAACGTTCTGCAACGTTTATAGGAAACTCAACTGCTATTCAAGAATTGTTTAAGCGAGTTGGAGAGCAATTCACTGCAATGTTCCGGCGAAAGGCATTTTTACATTGGTATACCGGTGAAGGAATGGATGAAATGGAGTTTACAGAAGCTGAAAGCAATATGAATGACTTGGTTTCCGAATATCAGCAATATCAAGAGGCTACCATAGATGATGATTTTGGTGATGATGGAGAAAACGATGAAGAATTTTAAGGCTTTCGGGTTTAAAAGTTAATATATATTTGTTGAATAATATTGCAGAATAAACGTAAGATGTTTGTTGCAAAGATGCAAAGAAACGAAGTTATGTACACATCTCAAGTTTGCTATGTTTTCTGAGCATCAAGATGCATAACCAGAATCCTTTCTTGAGAGCACAATGGAAATTCATTCTACAAATTCAGAAAAAGACTTACAACCACTATTTATTTTCAGACAGACCGGGTTCCACTAGTATAAAACTTCCAAAAACTAAAATATTTTAACAGTTACCTCCTCTCAGACGCAACACCAAGTGAAGAGTTGACTCTTTCTGAATATTATAGTCTGATAGAGTACGACCGTCTTCAAGTTGTTTACCAGCAAAGATTAAACGTTGTTGGTCAGGAGGAATTCCTTCTTTATCTTGTATCTTTGACTTGACGTTCTCAATAGTATCAGAAGGTTCTACTTCAAGAGTAATAGTCTTTCCTGTAAGAGTTTTCACAAAGATTTGCATTCCTCCCCTCAAACGCAGCACCAAGTGAAGAGTTGACTCTTTCTGAATATTATAGTCTGATAGAGTACGACCGTCTTCAAGTTGTTTACCAGCAAAGATTAAACGTTGTTGGTCAGGAGGAATTCCTTCTTTATCTTGTATCTTTGACTTGACGTTCTCAATAGTATCAGAAGGTTCTACTTCAAGAGTAATAGTCTTTCCTGTAAGAGTTTTCACAAAGATTTGCATTCCTCCCCTCAAACGCAGCACCAAGTGAAGAGTTGACTCCTTCTGAATATTATAGTCTGATAGAGTACGACCGTCTTCAAGTTGTTTACCAGCAAAGATTAAACGTTGTTGGTCAGGAGGAATTCCTTCTTTATCTTGTATCTTTGACTTGACATTCTCAATAGTATCAGAAGGTTCTACTTCAAGAGTAATAGTCTTTCCTGTAAGAGTTTTCACAAAGATTTGCATTCCTCCCCTCAAACGCAGCACCAAGTGAAGAGTTGACTCCTTCTGAATATTATAGTCCGATAGAGTACGACCGTCTTCAAGTTGTTTACCAGCAAAGATTAAACGTTGTTGGTCGGGAGGAATTCCTTCTTTATCTTGTATCTTTGACTTGACGTTCTCAATAGTATCAGAAGGTTCTACTTCAAGAGTAATAGTCTTTCCTGTAAGAGTTTTCACAAAGATTTGCATTCTTGAAAGCTGATCTCACACAAGTCAAACACCAAATCAATATAAACTCCAATCCAAATATGATTCCACAAAAGTGATGAAGCGCGTCGTTATAAAGAAGGGCGCCAAGCTTCTAGATAAATCTTCCAAGTGAATTCGAATTGATTTTGGGACAACTCGGCAATTTGTAAACATGACTCTCCGTCATGCACTCCAAACTCCTCGTGTCAGATATGTTTGAGTAACCAGGATTACCTGCACCTTTAAGCGTGAGACAAAAATAGAAGCTTCCTCATAGCAGTGTTTTGAAAAAAGTAGTCTATTGTTACCAACTTGCACTACAGTTAACTCCGTACAACAACTCTTTCACAATCTAGTTAACGAATAGATATTGTGGCTGCAAACAGAGCACAAATGGATTACTACCAACAGGTTTCTTTTATTCAAGCACTTAAATGGTATTCAAAAGAAGATAAAAGGCTGAACCATTGTTAATAGAACAAACGTGTTTTTGATAGGCTATTTTAAAAGGCCTCCTCTTCTTCGAGGCCCATATCGAAGTCATCTTCAGCAGTGGCTTCTTGATATTGTTGGTATTCTGATACTAAATCATTCATGTTACTTTCAGCCTCTGTAAATTCCATTTCATCCATTCCTTCACCAGTATACCAATGCAAAAATGCCTTGCGACGAAACATAGCAGTAAATTGTTCACCCACTCTTTGAAAAAGTTCTTGTATAGATGTGGAATTTCCAACGAACGTTGCAGACTTTTTCATCCCTGAGGGAGGAATATCACAGAGTGAGCTTTTAATGTTGTTGGGAATCCATTCTACAAAGTAGGAAGAATTCTTGTTCTGAATATTGAACATTTGGTCATCTATATCTTGAGTAGACATGTTTCCACGGAAATATGCAGCTGCAGTTAAATAACGACCATGACGAGGATCACATGCTGCCATCATATTACGGGAGTCAAACATTTGCTGAGTAAGTTCTGAAACACTGGCAGATCGATATTGCTGTGATCCTGGTGAACTTAAGGGGGCAAATCCAATCATAAAGAAATGAAGCCTTGGAAATGGAATCAAGTTAGTGGCCAACTTTCGTAAATCTGCATTCAACTGTCCAGGGAAGCGTAAAGTACACGTAATTCCTGACATAACCGCTGACACTAACTGGTTGAGGTCACTATAGCTAGGGCTGCTAATTTTTAAGGTACGAAGGCAAATGTCATAGAGTGCTTCATTATCAATGCAGAAAACTTCATCAGCATTTTCCACCAATTGATGCACGGAGAGAGTGCAGTTGTAAGGCTCTACTACTGTATCAGAGACCTTTGGAGAAGGAACCACCGAGTAGGTGCCCATCATTCTGTCAGGATATTCTTCTCGAATTTTTGATATCAAAAGAGTTCCCAAGCCAGATCCTGTACCCCCTCCAAGAGAATGAGTAATTTGAAAGCCTTGAAGACAATCACAAGCTTCTGCTTCTCTACGCACCACGTCCAACACGTTGTCAATTAGCTCTGCACCCTCTGTATAGTGTCCTTTTGCCCAGTTATTTCCAGCACCACTTTGACCATATACAAAGTTATCTGGACGAAAAAGCTTTCCATAGAGACTGGCTTTCACGGCGTCTATTGTTCCCGGTTCCAGGTCAATTAAAACTGCTCGAGGCACATAACGTGCACCTGTTGCTTCATTGTAATAAACGTTGATTCTATCAAGCTGTGAGGGAGAGTCACCTTCGTATAACCCTGTTTGACTGATTCCATGCTCTCTGGAAATAACTTCCCAAAATTTTGAACCTATCTGGTTACCACACTGGCCTGCCTGAATGTGAACAATCTCTCTCATTTGCTTCTTTGAGTGCTGAAACGAGGGTCACCTTGAACAACAAGATAAAACTTGTCAAAGTTACTGGCGGCTAACGAGTACTTGAAAATCTAAAATGGAGGGAATTTTACTCTCAAAATGGTCCAATTGCTAAATATCACTATCGATCGTTTGGCGGGCTTACAAATTTGAAATTGGACAACTGTCCTGAATTAGTCTGAAAAATAGTAATCGTACAATGTTTTCCTAGTCGATGCTATACAAGGATCATTGTCTCTTTCTTATTCTTTGTCCAAAGGCATAGGAAAAGCCCTTGCTTAGAAAATACTTTTAATTATAGATTTTCTACTTTGCAGCAACTGAGTATGAGTGGTCTTGAATGCTGCAGTAAATGTATGTCTCAAAAGCAATATCAGAACGTTGTAGTGTTTCATATTAGATATGCCAAGTATACTTTGAATGGTGCAATAAAATCGACAGCTTCTTCAGAGATATCCTATCGAAAGGAGTGTTGCGGGTCTCTACTGACAGATTTCCTATACACTTTAAATGCCTGAGAAAGAAACGTCTTTCTTTCTACAAACAAATGATAATAGACAAGTATCTTGCCATCGCTTCAAATATGAAGATCCTTCCATCCTTTATTTCATTATCTTGCAAGAATTTTAGTCTACTTCCCAGAAAGAAACAAAGACAAAAAAATTCTTATCCTAGAAAGCTAATATTGCTACTTGTCAATAATTTCCTCTTTGAATTCCAATAACTCTTCAGTTATCTCAACAATTTCCTCTGTGGTTTCTTTCTTTCCAGACATCCATTGGAAAGGCTTGTCATCTTCTCCTATGGACTGTAGATACTGTTTCCATGCGTCTCTCAACTTCTTCCTTTCAGCTGCTTTTCCACTTCTTCTCATTTCCTTCAGTTCTTGATCTTCTCTTTCGTATCTTTCACGATATGACTTCAAATTCTTTTTTATTTTCTTTTGTTGTTCCTTTGACAGCAGCCATTCAGGACGAGGTCTCCACAAGAACTGAGAAAACATAGAAATTGTAGCTTGATAAACTTCTTTTCCATAAAAGGTCCAAATAATATAACCACATTCCATTTTGTTGCGCGAATAAGGAACCCATGTCGCTACAAACCTTCCTGAAGCATCCCATTCTGCGTTGGTACACATAAAATGTTCCGATTGATTCATGCTTTCCTACACCAAACACATTCATACGGTGAGTACTTGTGAACAATTCATCCTTACTTGTTCATTGACGTTGTAAAACTCCAGCTGACCATTTAAACTTCCCAAACCCGCAAGTACAACAAAACCATTTTGCGGTGCCCAAAAGATGCGATTCACTGGTCGTTGAGTTAAACTAAACAAATACTTTACTTGCGTGTCCTCCATTGAATAAAATGCCACACTGGCTCGTGATGCATTATCTCCGTATGCTATGGCAAAACGATCACCATCAGGTTCCCACGCAAAATCATACACTACTTCCTAACTTGCATGTAAAATATCACTTTGTAGCACAAGTCACATTTACCTTTTCTTTATATTCCAACACTTCGACAGGAATCTCTTTTTGACGAATTCGGAAAAATTCAAAGTTTGCCAAACGACTCTTTTTTGATTTGGTAAGGCGACTTGCCTAATAATCTTATAGTCAATTGGCTACTATGTAACTTCAGCCATATTCACCTTGCAACAAAGATATTTTCCATTCTGTTGCCAATACAGTTCAATATCGGCTACTGAGTAGACGGCCTTCTGTCGAAGTTCCTTTCTGGATGGCATTTCTACTAAAGTCACTTTCGCAGGGTTATTTCCCACTTCCGGCTGCCAATATGCAATAATGGAGTCAGCAGGTGACCACTGAAAATCTCTTATATATGGAATTTTCATTGAACGTTTGTCCAACAATGTCATTTCTGGCAAAGTGTAAACGCTTATTGCGTTTTCAACCAGTCTAGCAACCATCTCGTCCTTGTATTGAAACTTGAACATTGGCCAAGCTACTTTTTCGTCATGTTTAGGACCCAAAAAGCCGCGTAATTTACGACCAGTGGCAACTTCCCAAATAATAATACACTCGGGATCCTTCGGATTATCTCTTTCTGGATCCAAATCATTCCAAGTAACTAGATAGTTTTCACAAGGAGAAAAATCAAACTTCTTAACATGACTGTGTGGGAATCTCATCAGTCTTTCCCATTTGGGACCACCCCATATTGCTATTCCTTGAATGTGAAATGTCACGAAATAAGTTCCTCGAGGTGACCAGTAACCGTCTGCTTCCGTCCAATTCATTCGTGAATATTCCTAACGATGCATCAGTCTATGGCTGAAAAGTCGACTTCATCCTTACCAACTGTGGAGGTATCCCCAAGGAATCAAACCAATAAATTTCGGTTTCTTCGTGACGAATCATGAACTGATCTCTTCCTCGTTCATCTAACAACCAAGAGAATAGATTTGGACGAGAAGATGGATCAGTTGGTATTTCTATTGGTAGAGAAGGAGGTTCAAACGTTTCTGATGTATGGACTATTCTTTCTATATCTAACAAAGTCTTTACTTGCAAGGTATGGTTCTTATCCAGCGGATATTCGTTGAGTTGAAGAACTGCTTTCAAAGCTTCCTCGGGAGTGTCATAAGTAATCAAAGCAAATCCTTTGGTGTCCTTATTTTCGTCTTGAGGAACCCAAAGTGCGTCGCTTCCAATGTTTCCGACTTGTTGGAATACTTTTCTCAAGACGGTGCACAGCTTCTCGTATTTGTCCACAGTTATTTTTGGAACATTACTGACTATAACTGCTCTGGATAACTCTCTCTGCTCTATTCGTTTCTGCTCTTCTTCTAAAAACTGAGAATCTTTCAAAAGTTCCGAAGCATTACGAGACGTGACGGCCAATGACATTGCCAAATAAAAAAATGCTATTCTAGTCCACAAGTGGGTAAATTGACTTTTGCGCCATTATGGGTTTGATATTTACAAAACTTTACCAAAGACTATTTGGAAAACGTGAACTTCGTATTCTCATGGTAGGTCTGGATGCAGCTGGTAAGACAACTATTTTGTATAAGCTCAAGTTGGGTGAAATCGTCACAACGGTTCCAACGATTGGTAAGCTTGCGTTGATCCGTGTCGTTAGAAATCAAAAAGGTGACTCGAAAAAACTCTTCAGGATTTAACGTAGAAACAGTTGCATATAAGAATATAAATTTTACAGTATGGGACGTTGGTGGTCAAGACAAGGTCGGTAGTGTTCGTGCAACTTGCAAGAGGGTTTTGGCAGTTTTGCTTATTTCTTCTATTCTAGATTCGACCTCTTTGGAGACACTATTTTCAAAATACGCAAGCGCTTATTTTCGTTATAGACAGTAACGACCGTGAAAGAATTTTGGAAGCAAGAGACGAACTACGGAAGATGTTGGCAGAAGACGAAATGAGGTCTGCAATATTGTTGGTCTTTGCCAATAAGCAGGATTTACCCAACGCCATGGCAGCAAATGAAGTTATAGAAAAATTGGGGTTGAGTTCTTTGAACCGAAAATGGAAGGTTCAAGCTTCTTGTGCTACAAGTGGTCAAGGGCTATGGGAAGGACTGGATTGGTTGAGTCAGAATATAGCACCTTGAGAGACAGAACTGAGGATAGTATTACTAGCAAGCTGATGTTGGTATGTTATTATGGGAATTTATTTAGAAATAGAATACACTCAGGCAACTGGCAAACGTTGTCTCAAGGTAAAAATTCCTTCTCCTGTGCCATAACCTACTGTTCTTCCTACTGCCAAACGAGAACTTGGCGAATGAATATTATCCGTTTGTTGATGAAACGCTGCATCTAATATAAACTTCATGGTTGTCTCAAAGCTTGCCTTTTGAATAGTGCTACAACATCGCTTTTCCATTCCTCGACGATTAAAAGGCTGATAGTCTCCTTGGCAGGTCATGACGTCGGAAATCAGCGCTAAATGACGTGAATCGACTGGAATGCCATAAGCTCCGAATACCTTGGCTAGTTCTATTCTTAATGTTTCTCGAGCACTTTCTACTCCGTAATGCATTAACATAGCATACACATCATTGGTTTGAATATGATTCAAATCCAAGTAGTCATAACCATATTCCCAGATAGCTGCAAGGTTGGAGCCTTGAACCTCAAGTTTCCAGTCTTGGGAGTCTTCCGAGGGAGTTATCAAAGAACAACGTTGGATTCCAGGAATATTTTGAACACACGCCTGTTGTGCAACTGATTCAACCAATTCAAACAACATGAGACGACCCCAACTTGTGAAGGGAATCATCAAAGGAATCTTCGCCCTACGATACTGTTCGCGATCAAATGTTATTTTCCTTAAAAAAATGAGAAATTCTGAAAAATTTGTATCATATGACTAACGTACTTTTTCTCTTCGAAATTTATGGGTTCCTGTGTAGAAGATTGATTGACTTTCCGAATATCCGACCGGGAGTATTCTTCTTCTTCTTCTTCTTTTTCTTCTTCTTCTTCTTGTTCTTCTTCTTCTTCTTCTTCTTCATAGGAAGTTACATCTCTCTGTTGTCTATCTCTTTTCTCACCGATAGTTCCGTCTTCTTCATTCCATGAAAGATCTTCCTCTTCTTCTTCGTCCTTATCATCTCCATTTACTTCTTCCATTTCTGCTGACGTATTCATAGAAAATTTGCCTTTCTTTTTGTTCCCTTCCTTCTCTATGTCTCTTTCCTCTTGTAACGACGGTTTGTCTAATTCCATTCCATCACTATCCCAATGCATCGATAAGCTCTGCAATGGCATAATGGCTTTCTTAGTTTCCGAAACTTGTTTACATTCTTTCTGGATTCTCGCATGAAGCATTGCCAAAAAATGTGTCTCTATGGTATGAAATAGTTCCTTCGCTGATATTCCCAAATGAGTGGCATAATAATGAGGCGGTACCAAATGCAACTCAATCATCACCAATCTGCCTTGTGCTCTATTGCCTTTATCTTCTATACTTATCCCTTCTAAAAAGTCTTTCAATACCAATCGATGAAAACGATTATGCAACAACTGGATTCCTTTTTTATCCGTCGATGAGAGAAAAGGGATAGTCATAAGTGGTGTTTTTGGTTGTTTACTTGCAGTCATCAACAGTTCACGTAGTCTTGGGATTCCTAGAGTGACATGAGCCGCACCCATTCCTGCAAAATGAAAAGTATTCAAAGTCATTTGTGTGGAAGGTTCACCGACTCCTTGAGCTGCGATGACTCCAACTGCTTCACCAGGTGAAATGAATGCATTTCTGTACCTGCTTTCCATAAAGGATTGGAACTGTTCCTTTGTTCTATTCTGTGGCAACGATTCACCACATTCTTTCATAAATTGATGCAAGGAATGTTGAAACTTGGGAGATAAGGCATAGTCAACCGTTTGATATGAACGATGTTGGGAATATAAAGTTGATTGAAGAGCTTCAATGTTCCAAGCATGCCACTGGAAGCAAGAAGGTTTCGATAACCAAGCTGTTCGACAAGGATCCAAACCATCTTCACCATATAAGAACTAAAGTACCATTATTCTTGTCATCTAGAAAGGCAGTGATTGAACACTTACTTGAATCACAGCTTGATTTTCACTTTGTCTCACCGTATAATCATAACCTACATATAAGTCTTCCAAACCTTTCACCAAACATCGTTGTAAATATCCTGAGCGAGCAGTCTTCACTGCTGTGTCCACCAAACCATCACGTCCAGCCATGCAATGATAGAAATATTCATCTGGTCGAATACCGGTAAGGAATCGACTAGCAATAAATCCTCCAGATTGTGGACAAGGATCAAAAGATGGATAACAAGGTAAAGTAGCCCCACTTAAGGAACGAGGTACTCGTTTTCCTTCCAACTCTGTTTGTCCCAACTGACAAGATATCTGTGCAGTGTTGACCAAAGAGCCCTTGTACCGATTAAGCTTCTACACACTTTCAATAACAACCAACATTTACCTTGGCTCCACTACTTGTCATCAATAGGAATCCATTATGAGGGAATTTCTTAACAACTCCTTCACGATCCGAAATACAAGACTTGATGACTTCTGAAGTCACTTTGCTCACTTGCTTCTTTACAATTTCATCTAATAGAGACTCCATTTCTGCTCGAGACGTAACATCCGACTCCATGTTACCCAAAATACGTCCATATAATAACAAAAGTTGCGAATAATTGAGTTCACTACCTTTCAGCTTGCTTTTCCAATCACCAGTACCTAACAGAATAGATAACGACTCTTCACTCAATAAACCTCGTTCCATCAATTTTTCTATCCATTGTTCGGTAGCCAAAAATACAAATGACATTTCACAATATTGTTGCCATTCCTTTCTCTTCATCTCCGCAATTGTAGTAAGTAACAAGTCATCCACTCCAGTGGTATGTCCATGGATTCTTAAGAACAACGTAAATAATCTACCGAGAGCACTTAATAAACGACCGGCATCTATTGCTCCATATATCTCGTAAAATGAATGCACCAAACCATGAGCACTTGCACCAAATTGACTCTTATCTAACACTCCTCGTAATAAGTGACCGCGATGAACGATTACTTGGTCATCATCGCCAACCATTTCCTTATCAACAACATATCGATATGAATACCCACTCGTAAAAACATACTTACCCATTTCAACTTGTTGTTTGACTGTAAATAAAAAGGAGGACGAGAACCAATCAAAAACAATAAAATGGTGGATATTACTTGCTTTCCAGTCCATAATGGAACCGGGAAAACAATGGCTGGAGTTGGGATAGCAACTGTTTTGTTATCCACACTTTCCATTGTTCTTTCAATAGCGCCATATAAAAGTTGTTGAAATTCATCCAAACGTAGAAAAGTATCGATACTCGTCAACAAAACTCCTCCCAAAATATGGTCTTGAATAAGGCCACGAAGAGGATTTCCATTGGTAGGAGAAATATAATGTCTATCAGTCAATAGCAAGTTGAAAGCCTCAGATTGAGCCACATAATCTTGTGGAAAGTGTAAGTTCATTTCGTCACCATCAAAATCAGCGTTATAAGACTGACAGTTGGCATAGTGCATGCGTATCGTTCTTTCTCCAGGTAATATGCGAACTTTATGGGCCAAAATAGAAACTCGATGCAACGAAGGCTGTCGATTGAATAAGACCAAATCTCCGTTTTTCATATGTCGATAAACTCGAATGATAGCATTATGGTTCATTGCTTTATGAATACTTGCAGAAGCATCTGCTGCTGAACGATCTATCATATCCAAATTCATTGGATGGGAACTTTTCAAAGACATTGCTTGTGCTTTTCGTTGATGTTCAGGAGCTCTAAGAAAATCGATTACATTTCCCATTCTATCTTCGATACCTGTAGCTCCAGGATATTCCGTAGATCCACGAATGATTGCTTTTCTCAAATATTCAATGTTATAAAAATTGATAGGTTCAGGAAAGGTAAGTTTCATTGCAAAAGATTCAGGAACTCCTACTTCACAAGTTTCTAGAAAAGGATCCGGAGATATGACTGAACGTGCAGAATGATTGACTCTCTTTCCCATCATATACATACGAAAAAGGCCTTCTTTGTGTTCTAATTGTTGACGAATTCCAGTTCCGGTAGTCGTACCAGCATTGGCTCCTACACCTCCTCTTGAACAGTCGTACAACTGATTAACTGCATGTTGGAGAGCAATCATTTGTTGAATAGGAGATAGAATGGAAGAAGACTCTTGTTGTTCTTTCAATTGAATGAGTTGTTGATTGATTTGGAGAATACGAGTAAGGAAAACATTCTGAGGATGTTCCATAACTAATAGCTGCTCGCCTTCAGAAAATGTAGCAGGAGGTCGAAATCGACAAGGAGAAACAGCCAGACAACGGATAAAGAATACAGAATCCACAGTTTCATTATTATTATTTTGTTGTTGTTCAGAGTCATTTGTTTGGTTGATGGCATCCATTTCCCATAAGACTTGAATACATTCCATCTCTATTTGATATAAGCGACTTAATTGTTGTTCCAATTCGATAGTTGAAATGAGTTTCTTATTAACACTATGAGTTTCCTGGTAAGAAGAGTCTCTCTCGATATGACTTGTCTCTTCTTTTCTCGACTGACTCACAAGTATATCTACCTGTTCTGATTCCTGAGACTTTTTTAGAATACGAAATACTTTGGATTCTTCTCTTCGAATAACTACGGAAGAGTGACCACAATTTTGACATTTTCCTAAACTTTCATTGCTTGCCAAAAACTCCTCCGTAGTTCTTTTCCGCAATAAAGCACAGTTTGAAGAATAACTCTGTATGGCTTTCCTTGTTGAATGCTTCTTCATAAAACTTTTCCAAACTGCATAAGCTTCTTCACAAAGTTGTTCCTCTCTTGCCTTTATTTGACTTTCTATTCGCGACTCCATACTAGAAAAAGATGAAGATAGTCCTGAAGCAACTTCCACTTCTAAGTTCGTGTCATTCATCAATGTTTCTTCATTTTGTTGCTCTCCTTCTTCTGAAAGCCTATCATGTTGCTTCTTTTGATCGTCTGCACTACTCAACATTCCCATAATCTCATCCACCTCTTCTGCTTTTTCCCACTCATTACAAAATAGAAAACGGAGTTTAGCTATGAACAGTTTCTTTGTTCTCGTTCCTAGTCGAAAGTGATGGCAATACCAACATTTGGCACGCAACACCTTTATAAGCAAAGGAAATAAAACAGGGTGAACTACTGGTAAGGCCAATTCTATATGTCCAAAATGTCCTGGACAATCTGCATATCCTAAATGACAAGTAGCACAAAGTTTCGTTACCGACCGGTCCAACACTCCTAAAGCAGGATCATATAGTCCACCTCTCACAGGTCTTTGCAAAGAATCAAAGGCAACTGGAGAATAGATTTGTCGAACACTCAACTTTCGAATATCTTGAGTTTTATAAAAGGAGAAGGAAATATTTTCAGTTTGGTGCAACACATTATTACGTTTGGCAGGGTGTGTTGCTGGAGCATCCATTTGGGAAAATCGACAAAACTAACTATTCCTTTCTTTCCATTCAAAATAGTAAGGAACATAGATTTCTCCATTATCTGCCACTTTAAAGTGATCACTTACTACTACAGATAAGCCTTGTAAGATAGGCTTCAATACGGAAGAGTATGAAGCCAAACGGTCACAACACTTTCTAAACTCCGAAACACTTACAACTTGATCATCTCTCTTCAGTCGTTCTAAACGAAGAGACTTTCTAACAGCTTCTATTTGTGTTCTTTCTCTTTGTTTCTTTCGGGCAGTTTGTGCAAATGGACTCGCTCTCTCTTGAAGATAAAAGAGAATCTCCTTTAATGTGGCATCTTTTGGAACTGATAAAATACCCCATTCTGCTTCTTCTTGAAAGAATTGGATTTCTATTCGAAACATGATTGAGACATATTCTTTCAATAGACGAGAGCTTGTTTCATTTAAACTGGGAAGAACTATGTTATCTTGTCTCATTGACTGAATATGATTCGATAATATTTTCAAGTATTCCTGAGGTGCTCTTTCCACCAAAGAATCTCCACATACCAAGCGAACACCCAAAGCATTTGCCAATTGATTTTCCATTTCTAAAAACTTCTCTTGCAATTGATTTCTTTGCCAACAACTTGAAAGAAATGTCTTACTCATCAATGCTTCTTGCCAACATGAAACTCGAGCACACATTCCCAAGTGAAGAATTCCACAACTATCTTGTTCTACTTTTGCACCACCATCCAATTGAATCACTCCACCACGAATAGAAATTCCATATGCCACAATCACTTGTTCGATGCAGTCTGCTAACCTCTTCAATCCTTGTACTGCCATGGAAGGTGAAACATCCTTCCTTATCTCCACTTTGATAGCATGCGCTCTATTTAGGGAAGCAGTCCTAACTTTACATTCATAGGCAACTTGATCATGTAACATTGCATCTGCAGAGTGTCTCTTATTTCTGATCCTCAGTTCATATGCTTTACCAACAACATCCCTTTTGAGCAGTTGACCCAACGACATATCTCTACTATTCTCTTCATCCTTTCGTACAGCCATCGGTCTATCTCTTGTCATTCTTAAGAGTTGTTCGGGAGTTGCTATATTACAAGAACGAAACAAATGGATCAATGACCCCAACAAGTGTAACCACTCTCTTTCTGTAGGGTCATACACGATGGGAACGGAAATCAGCTCAACTTGAGTTTCCTCTCTTTCTACTTGTTTCTTTGTCGTTGTGTTTTCCTTTTCTTGGTATTGACTCTTTTCTGCTGGTATATAAAACTCCAATTGTATGCTTTCCAGTGAAGAAGGAAAAGTCGTCGACTTTGTCGTTATTTCTTTTTGTTCTTTTATATGGGAAAGCATATCCACCATTACGTTCAAGTTCTGTAGTGACTTTTGGTTCTTGGAAGCTATTTCTGGTTGTTGTGCAAAGCGGTCTGGGTGTATTTTGGAGAATAACAGTTTGAGAGGTTTGTTCAACAATTTCATAATATCCCCTTGTTGAGCACAGTTATTATTCTTTGTACTACATTTTCTATACAATAGACGTATTATCGAACAAGATGATGGATAATTGTTGATTCCAGTCAACCACAACATCATTGCATGGAAAGCGTCTTTTCGATCGATGATTTTCTTCTCCAACCACCAAAAAAGCCAATCCAAATATTTTTCAAAAATTGAAAAAGACCGTTGTGTGGAAGAATGAATATGGATGCTGCTTCTTCTCAACGCCAACTCAAAGAGAAAATGGAACATCAGAAACTTCTCGAAAACAAAGAAAACGAAGCTCGTCAAGAAATATTCAGTACATGTAGCAAAGTGATGGATGGTAGTCTCAAGTCTAAAATTTCTTCATGTTCAGAAGACAACGGCAACTCAGAAGAAGAGAGAATGGATCCCATGTTATTAAAAGAAAGAGAAGCTGCCAACTATTTAGCACAACATGCAGATATGGTTCGTAATGGAACATGGAAAAAGATGCAACTAGAAAAAGAAAGAAAAATGAGGGAAGAAAATGAAAGAAAATTGAAAGAAGCTGCCTTGTTGAAAGAAAGCAACGACCAGAATATTGAAAAAGGTATAGTAAAATATCAAAACACAAAATATCATCCATATAGTATATATTTAAATAGGTAAAATAGAACAAGAAAACAATCCAACTCAACAAAGTGCAGTGGAGCCATCCCGTAGAAAAATATTGCGTTTCCTTTGTTGCACTGTAGTGGAAGAAAGTTACTGAAAAAATACTTGGTTTCTTTTATTTCCGGTAAATAAATGTTTTGAGTGTCCTATGAAGAGGCTATTCAAAAATCAATCATCATGCAACTTAACCAAAACTAGTAGGAACCAATGTAGCTCTCTTTTCTAATAGAAATGATTGCAATTTTCGCACCAAAATAAAAACAACAATAATCATGATAGTAGGAAGATATTTGCGCAATCCTCCCTTCTCCTCTTCTTCTTCTTCTTCTAATCGTTCTCCAAATATCATCCAAGCTATATGATCATCACAACTCCAAAACATGGATTCTTTGAAAACTGAACCCATACAAGATAAGGAGGAAATATTTCTATTGGATATACTACTATCAGACTATATATAAATGTATGAGTTTTCATATTTCTCAAACAAAAAGGTATACAAACCATTATATAAAAGGCTTCTTCTCGAACACTGCTCTTAGAAACCTTAAACGATAAGTTGGTGTCCTTCAAGTAGAGACCGTCTTGAAATATCTTAAAACTATTATTGTGTGGAAAACCCATAAACTCAAGTGATAAAGAGTTGGTTACCACTTCGTCTTGATCAAATTCCATATAAGAACCTTGGAGTATTATGCCATCAGAACGAGTTGTCAAATACAAATGACGAACGCAGGGAGATAAACAACTCTGTAATTGGATTGGAAAAAGTCCGCTGTTACTACTATTGTTATTCAACTGACTAATCTGTAGTCGCCAATTACCCGAAAAGGTATTAAAAAACTCCTCAATAGTGACTTTGCAATAACCACCAAAAGGAATATCACAGAAACAAACAAAGAAAAGGAAAAATAAACTCCAGCGTGGTTGTATAAAAAGCCAAGGCAGTTGAAGAAAACCCATTAGGAATTTGTCATTCCCTTTTTATCGATTCTATTGTTTTCAAGTAAGTATGCTTTAAGTGGTCTAAGATCACTGAAAGAGAACACAAGCTTCTCTATTGTATCACAACAAAATCTCTATTTCCAAATAAGTAAGGAAAGGCACTGTCAAGGAGTCTTGTCCACATTCCAAAAGAACGAGATGAAACACTTTGCGTCCTCTAAAAACTCTTTTGTGAACAAAAAAGTTATTTACAAAAAGTCAACAAGCAACACTATTTCCAATATAAGGCAACGAAAAAACAGTTGTTCTATCTTGGCTTTGATAACCATAATAATAAAGCAAGGCAAGAAGTGCCAATGCCTCTCGGTTACCACACTGAGCAGCCTTCCTATACCTTACAACACTTCAAAATCAACTACAAACTCAACTCCACTCATACCATTTCTCAGCTTCACTTGGCAGTCTTTTGGGCAGTGTTAATCCTTTGAGTCGTCTCCAGAGTTGTGAGTTTTCGTCTACTAATCTCTTCCAACGCTTACAAACCATTCTAGCAACAGCAACATCTTGCACAAACTCTAATAGTTCCAAAATTTGGGACTCAATATCTTCAGGTAGGACTGGAAGGTTATTTTCCTTCTTTCGATATGGTCTGCAGGGTTTCCAACCCATAACGGATATTCTACAAACTGACCATTTATCCCCCGCCTTTCACATGTCCATATGATGGATGGATATTCTAAGACAAGTCGTTTATATGATACTCATTCCTAATTTCAAAATAGAAAGAAAATGGTATCTCAATTGAATAAAAGAAACGAGGTTTTTACATCGATAGAAAAAAGGTCTCTTAAGATTACCATTTCGATAACTGTTCTTTCCCATAATCACACTTTTTGTCGGCGATGATTGCGTTTGCTACACCGTTGGGAAACACAAGTTGGAAACTTGGTTATCGCTCACTCAAGAGCGTTATCTATTTCCAATCTACTACATCATCCCATCCAAGGAAACTCACTATTCGTCCTAGCATCCAACCATGGCTACCTTTCGTTCAGAATCAAAAAACAGTCGATCATCCTTCCCATCTTACTAGCTCATTCTCTTCTCCTATGATGACCTTGGGAGATGGAGCAGAGTCTTCTACTGGTATGTATCTTTTGATGGCTAACTATGTAATCTTGAGATGGTATTCTCTTTATAGGGACCTCATCTTCGAACGTTCGACAACCTGTCCAATCCCTTCAAAAGTTGATTGCTTTGACGTTTTACATCGGTTGTTGGTACGCTGCCAACATATTATTTAATATTTACAACAAACGTGTATTAAAAGTCTTTCCATTATTCGCAACCGTAACTTTGGTACAATTTCTGATGGGTAAGTATCTTTATGAGTTGAGAAACTTGATATTCATTCCTCTCCAGGTTCTCTCGTAGGATTGGCACTATGGATATCAGGATTGCATCGATTTCAAAAGGCTTCTTTGGAAGATTTGAAGAAAATATATCCACTTGCACTCTCCCATTTGATTGGAAATGTTCTTACCAATGTGAGTCTTCGACAAGTGGCCGTTTCCTTTACACATACTATTAAAGCTGCAGAGCCTTTCTTTTCGGTAATGATAAACAAAACGACTATCTTCTTCTTTTCCATGGAATCAGAATATACTTATATTGCGTAAATAGGTTGCTTTATCGAAACTTTTTATTCCAGGGACTGCATATACCATTTGGGTTTATCTTTCTTTGATTCCTATCGTTGGAGGTGTAACATTGGCTTCCATTTCTGAAGTATCGTTCAATTGGATTGGCTTTTTGACGGCAATGGCAAGCAATGTGGCATTTCAGTCCAGAAACGTGTTATCCAAAAAGTTTATGAAAGGAGTCCAATTCGATAACCTCAATCTATTTGCATACATTTCCATATTGAGTTTTGTAACGATGCTTCCTTTTACTTTGTTATTGGAAGCTGGTCGATGGAGAGAAATGGCATCGGTTGCTACTCATATCGGTAGTGAAGGTTGTACAATTCCGGTATTGTTATTGCGCATTGCGATTGCCGGATTTCTACATTTTCTCTACAACCAATTTTCTTATGTAGTTTTAAAAAGAGTAAACCCAGTGACCCATTCCGTCGGTAATACGATGAAACGAGTGGCAGTGATTGTTTCTTCAGTCATTGTTTTCAAAAATCAAGTTACTTTGCTGAATAAGATTGGGACGGCTATTGCTATTGCTGGAGTTGCTATCTATTCACAAGTAAAGAATATATCCACCAAGAAGAAGGAGAAAATAGAATAGAGAAAGTTTTTCCATTTTAGAAGACTCTTATCAATATATATATATATATATATATATATATATTGTGTCATGAAACTGACTCATCTTAAAAGAATGGGATGAGTTGATGATCCGAGTTTTGGACGATAGTCGTTGCAAATGACTAGAGAAATATATGTTTCAGATTAAACATATCGAGTTCATTGGCAACGATAACTGAAAAATTCTATGTTTGCTTTTATAAAATGCCCTCTGGAAAAAAATATCTGTACACTGCAGACTCGAATGATTCACGCTTAGTGAGAATCTTGACCATCTCGATCCATCACATTCCGTATCTCATTTTCACTTACAAGTTCCGCATCCACATTTGTCAAACTCATTGGTTCAGCACCACCTTCTTGCATTTCTTCTACCTTTCCAGAATTGTTTTCAACTAAAATGTCATTATACGCACGCCATACATGATGTGATAACTTCTCTTTGGGCATAGACTCATAGTTTCTCAACTTGTTGCCTCCTAACTTGGATTTCACTGCCTGTCTAAAAGCTTCTGCTTGTGAAGGAAGTTCATAATGAAGTTCACAACCTTGCAACTCATTCTTAATATCGGGATGATATTCAAGAATTTCCCTCAAAAATAAAACTCTGATTTCATCTTTGCTTAGTTTCTTCGCTTCAAATGCAAACTCATTTCTTGGTAAAGGTTTTGCAACTATTTCATGATCAGCTTCGTATAGATCTCGAAAATAAATATCTTGTAAGGCTTCTTTCGCTGAAGGTCTCTTGGTTGGATCAAACTGAAGTAAACGTTCTAATAGTGCCAATGCCCTAGGATCAGCGCCTACAAATATTTCTCCAAAAGGCCTTTGTGCTCTTCTAGGAAGAGACTGCAAATATTGTTTTGTTTTGGGATTCCTCACGTGCTGTAAATCTTCCATTGAGGGAGTACCCAATACCTTTGTTATCAGATCTAACTGGTGGAATCTATATATAAACATCAGAGTGTTTCAATGGTTTATAAATACAATATAATTACGCCTACCCATTCAAACCAGGAAACAATGGTCTTCCGTGGTTGAGCATTTCAGCAAATATACAGCCTGCACTCCACATATCGATTGCCGTCGAATAATGTGTATAATACGACATAATAAGTTCGGGTGCACGATACCAACGAGTTGCGACATAATCTGTCCAATATACCATATCAGGTTGCGTATCAAATGCTGCACGTGCCAATCCTACACAAACAATAAATAAATATAAACATTCATAAAAGAAGACATACCAAAGTCACAAATGCGCAAGTCACATTCTGCATTGATTAATATATTGTTGGGTTTCAAGTCACGATGAAAGACACGAGCAGTATGAAGATAATGAATGCCTCTCAACAGTTGATACATTAACCAACGAATGTGTTCACCTGACAATTCAATTTTCGAACGAAGTACTCTATTCAGATCAGTGGGCATGAGTTCAAACACTACAAAAACATCGTTAAAGTTGTCCCTAAAAAAGAGATGGTTTAAAAGCCATCATAGACTATTAGACTTGCTCCTTCTTACCTATCTCCGGGTAGTAACACCTCCTTGATTTTGATGATATTTTCGTGTTCCCTCAAAAACCGCAAAAACTTCAACTCCCTTAATATCCGAACAGCTTCCGGAATTTCGTCAAAAACTTTCATGATTCTTTTGACGGCGACCTTTTCACCAGTTGTGTTATCGATGGCTGAACAGACTATCCCATATGCTCCCTCCCCTATCACATCCAAAAGGGTATACTTGTGTGCCCGAAGTGGCGGCAAAAAGAATTCAGCTTTCATCTTGGCAACTTTCTTCTGGAATTCTTCCACTGACGTTACTTGGTCTGAGACTTTCTCCATACCAAGTTGGTACTCAATAAGTTACAACAACAATGCTCGGACGAAAATATATAACCCAAGATACATATAGTTGTGTTTTCAGTCAAGAAAATATAAGAAATACAATGAAAAATTGTATAGCTCACAGTACCAACAACAACAACAACATCATCCCGCGAAAACAATTTCCGTACACTTCATCCCCTTTTTGGAAGCCCATCTTTTTTGTGTGACGATAAATGAGACTCGTCGATATGAGTAGCTATTCTCAAAGTATCAATCAACATAAGAGATTGTATTTGTATTCTTTGACCTTCTGAAAAAATGAAACTTGGAGATCTTCCTCATCACATTCTCTCTGAATGTCTGAATATCAGTCAACAAAAAAGTGAAGAATGTCATTCTTCAACGACAACTGTTCACATTTTAAACCGAATTCAATCCTGCATCTATTTATCATAAACGCTTTATTACTAATAAAAGGTAGAATGCTATGTAGTACAAAATTGACAATGCCAAAGCATACTGATAAAGATATCTATCATCACATTACTGAATACTCCCAAGATAACTTTCTCTTTCCTCTTCATATAAAGCTACAGTCGTTTCAACGTAGAAAATGCATTCAAAAGTGCTTCTCGTCCCTCCACATGAAGAACACGTAAACGATTACAACAAAGAGAAACAGCTCGTTGTAAACTCTCTTCTCGTAACCCAGACTGACCAGATAATAGGGAAGATATTCGTACGTCAGCTGATATCTTGTCTTCAATAATATTCTTAATCACTTGAATCAGATGATATTGTGCAATATCATGTGACCAACTCGTTATTTCACAGAACGATCCTCTCATTCTTAATGGAACTACAAAAGAAGGCCCTTCTTCAAGACATTTGCAATAACTTGACAGAATCATATCTCTAGAATGACCTATGGATACAAACCAACGGTATATATGTACGTCGAAATAAATATGTCCAGTCTCTGCAGTCCTAAGCTGAAGCCATTCAAAGTGGCGTTGCTCTAAGAATTGAACCAAAAAATTCAAAGGAAATATATTCATCGAGGATGAAAAATCCTTTCCAAGTCGAACACATAACCTCTCCAGTGATTTCCAATTTTCTCCATTAGGTGAATAAACATCAGTATCTTTGGAACTTTGTGGAAATAAACAATCATCAACCAAACAGATCCACAAATGTTGCACCAATCCCATATCTTCATATTCGGCACAACGAAGAATATCCAACTCCGTTTCCCAGAGTTCCATGGGTCGAGCTATATGATTATAGATGGTACTGAGATCCATCAATTTCTTATCTATCGACTGAACATAAGATAACATTGGCTCTTCTATATCGGAATATGAGGGATGTCTGCGAACCAACTCTTCCTTACATCTCACTTGTATTTTGGCAACATCCAAACAATCCTGAATTTCCTTCACCAGGACACGCTCATCCGCTGATGACCCTCCACTCTTTGCCAACTGAAGATTAGCAAGTTGCAAAGCTTGTCCTAACCATGAGATGCGCTCATCCAAACTCAATGAAGGTGATTCTTTCGAAAGCTTCACTAGAACTGCAGCTGCTTCCTTACAACGTCCTTCATGTCCATAATACTTCCAAAGAACATCATAGCGTTCTTGTTCCAGAAGATAAGACTCCACAAATGGAGAAGCTAAACCAATCAACAAGGAAGTTCCACGTTCATCTATCGACAATAAATACGAGCACAAACGTTTATAAAAACCCTCATCTTTCAACTGTCTTATTCTTTGAATAATAGCATCTTTCCAAGTCTCCTCATGTGCTATTTCTCCTTTAGAACAATAAAAAGAAGATGCATCAATCAACAAATATCGTTGAATCAAGGATAACAAAATTTCATAACATTCTTCCAATTTTTCACTTTGTTGCTGGAACCGTATAGTGACGATGGCTTCCAATAAGAAACCAAAAAGAAGAGATATGGCACCTATCGATTCTATTTTGGTACAAATCTCTTTCCAGTTTTCGATAACGGGAATAACTTTTCTAAACTCCTCAATTGCGCGTTCTACGAGCTGATATACTTGATGTGTGTCTTCAGAAATTTGCAATTGTGATCGAGCACGGGATAATAAGTCCATACCACTTTGTAAACAACGTTCTTCTTTTCCAAAAAAAGATGGGCATTGAGATGACAACAGTTCCGTCAAAGATTCTACCAAACCTTCTTCTTCTTGTCCATTATATTGAAATAAAGTAGTAATTAGAGAAGATGCTAGTCTTCTACCGGCTTCTGACACACAAAAGTCACCAAATGTGATTCGTTGCAATGAAGCGTAATAAGGTTCGGTCAATGATGAGACAAGACGATGAAACTGATTGTCATACAATATGGAAATTAACGATAAAGCTTCCGAAATCCGACAAGCTAAATGATAAAGAGAAAGTAGCGAACGATATTCTGCTTTCTTCGCTTCCTCCATCTTCTTTCGTTGAAAAAGATCCCGATAGAGACGATCCTGTATGGAACGGTTTTCAGTTGTCTCTCTGTCTCCATGTGACAACCAAGAGAAAGAGGAATCAATACCAGAGACAATGTATTTTTGAATGAATCGTGCAGTTGCTTGTACACGAATCCTCACAACTTTCATTTGCTGTGGAGTCCAACATAAAGTTATAAAAGAGTCACTCTCTTTCTTCACAAAGTGACTGTGCCAAATCCTAGCAACGTCTCTAGACAACTTTGTCACTACGCCATTGTGTGCAGAAGAGAACTTGAATGCACTTGAAACACTCTTCGCAGGTCTTCCAATATCGAATCTTCTCATAGTGCCATTCTGGACAGATCGCGAAGGAATAGCTTCCACCCATTGTGGCACACCTCCAAAGGCAAAAAATATTCGAACAGCTTCTTCTGCTGCCTTGGAGCTTACTTTAGGGAATAACTGATTGTCTTCTTGCAAAGTTGTCGAAGCAATAGAAACACACAGTGCACACAGTTCATCCAAGCCATATCGATTGATAAAAGAATTTAGATTGTTTGGTTCGTAATCCAAAATGTGACATAAATGGTCAAAGGGTCGCTGACGTTCCACTTCTACCAAGGCAGTATTGGTTAAACAAAGATAAACACTTCTCTCTTCTTCCCACGCAAGCGTAACATTATTAGCAAGAGATGAATCAAATGTTTTTTCTGCAAAATCCCACGCCTTGACTTGTGATAGATTGGCTTGTTCTCGTAGACTCGGATCTACTCCTGAAACCAATTCATGTAGAGAAATTTGTGTTATGGACTCTGAATGTGTCACTTCAGTGTCCGATTCACTGAAAAGTGATAACTTTCCGATGGAAGGTTGGATAGCAATAATAGAATCATGCATAACATCACGAGCATCTGCCATCAGAACGAAACCTTTGCTCCACAATGTAACGTGAATAAGAGGAAGAGATGCATCTAATGCAGGGAAATGTCGATATTTCTGCGCTTTCAGAACATAACTGCTAAGAACTGAGGGGACTACCGAATAATAAATTCTTTCTCCCAACGAAGTAAAAACGACAAGTTCAATTGTACGAGCCAATGTAGTGGACGAAGCGGGTGACTCTGTTTCACAGGAACAGAAAATATTTAGAAATGTTCTGGAGCGATTCTTGGCTTCGAATCCTCCAAATCGGCCAATATCATCTAGCACGTTGACATAGGAAGAACGTGATAAATGAGAAATGGAGAAGACATGATACAAAGTCAACCATCCTTTCTCTGAAAGAGTGAACAAATAGGAATGCAATCGATCAAAGCAAATGTCAATTAAGGGATCTTCATCCATAAATCTTCTGAAAATATCAGGAAGGAAATATTGTGCAAGACTAAAGGAATGGTTGACTTTCTTACAGTAACTTGACTTCCAGTTCCTCAGCCATAAAAGTGACGAATCAGAAAAACTTCCATAGACAAATTCATAAAGACAGCCATCACTGCCTGATAAAAAAACTCGACCTTCTGGAGTGCTGCATATTCTTAACATAGTAACAAAATCGGTTGATACTCGGAACTTTGTTGGAACGAGTAAGATATTGTAATTACTGGTTGCTAGCGTACTAACATTTACACCAAATAAGAGTATTTCCACTGTATTGGCAACGATGAGTACATAACGAAAGCGCTCGGTGAAAACACCAGGACGCGGACTTGCCAAACATACCGAAACAATGACTTGGTCAGAAACATCATAGGCTATAAAGTCATTCTCTTGGCTGTAGTTCCACAAGAACAGCTTATTATCGACGGTAAACCAAGCTCTTTCTATCTCAGGAAAGATACCCATAAAACATTTGGACTCCACATAAGCATACTGTTCTATCAGAGCCAGGGGAAGGGGGGTAATTTTCTTCAATATCAGGTCGGGATATTCCTTAGTGAAGGAATACTGGGTAGCTTCTTTCCACAAAGAGTTGCTTTGTAGACTTTTCGATACGCCTTTTTCGATCCAACTTGCTGCTTGGTGCAACTCTACTTGACTAGAAGACTTGGTGTTGGGACTTGGTGATTCAACCATATCGATCTATTCTACGACACCTGGCCTCTTATAAAGATACTCAAAAAAAATAGGAAAGACGCCAGATATTAAAATAGTGAACTATAAAAAGAATAAGTAAATCTTTTCCTGTCTTTGTATGACACTTTGTTATTTCAAAGTCTCAGTAGTATGCACAAGGCAAAGTCCCTTCATCGGAACAATGGCGCCAAATCATTATCATTTGATCAATTCTTAAAAAAAAAATGACAACAATGTCTGCCTTGCCTATGGAAGAGAAAGCTCCTTTTGTGAATGGTTCTACTATAAGGCAATACGTTGGCAAGAAGGTTTTTATTGCCGGCAAAGTATTTTGTTGGAGCTTTGCCTGAATAGTGGATTGACTTGTTGCGAATAGGTTTTAAGTCAAAGAGAAGGAACTTTGTTAGTGCAAACGAGTGACCAGCAACAGTTGCAAATATTTGGTTCACGTTGTACAGTTGGAGATGGTGTTGCAGTATTTTGTTTGGTTTTTGTTTCACCAAATGGAACTGCAACGGAAATTCAAACTTTTCCTGCTGGAAACAACTTTGGTAAGAACAACCACTTGCAGAAGAACTTTACTTATTGCCTTAGACTTGAATCTTTATGAAGAAGTGTCCAAATTATGTAGTGGGCCCTTTGCAAGCTTGTTTTGAAACTTGACCAGAACTGCAGTAAACGAAAAATATTCAAGTTTATTTTTCCTTCTTGGTTTGAGTTTCTTCCTTCTCTTTCTCTTGTGATGAGTTCAAAGACACTTCCGTGATTTTCTCCAAGGCACTTCTAGCATCATCATATGCTTGCTTAAACTTCTTTGCCTGCTCCGAGTTCGGAAAACGTACCGCTAAAACACACTCATCTGCCACCTCATCTGCATAGTCTATAGCGTTCCATACCCAAGACCTATCACTCCCGACATTTTCTTCTAGTTGAATACTAGGATTGACATAATGGTTAAGACATATCTTTAAGGTTTTCTCTCGACGCATCAGCAAACGTATTTTCTTGGTGTCCTTGTGTTGCAATATTTTCAAGTCTCCAGTACCCCTCTCTTTCCATTGAGAGCCTTGCTTGTCAAATCGAAACAATTTAGCTCGACTTGAAAAACATTAACAAACATTCAATGAGTGAACAAGGCTGCTTTCACTTACTTCTTGTACAAAACGTCTTCCTCTTCTTCGCCCGTCGTCACCTGCACTTCGTCTAAAGTAACCAAAGGTTTGAACGGAACAGAATAATCTTCTTCTAAAGTTGTTTTTTCATCTCCTTGCTCGTTTTTCTGTTCTTCTTGAGGTTCTTCGTTTTCTTCTTTGGTTGGCGCTGTCGACATTTTAACAATGGCGGTCGTTCCTCACACCAACGACAGCAATGTTTACAGGAAGAGCAGCCTGGGAAATGGGAAGCAAGGGTTTCAAGACGTGTCTCTTCTTATCCACGTTGAAAGATATAGAACATAAGCAGTAGTATTTGTTTTTGTATGGTGTTGGGTGAAACTTTTGGTTTCTAGACAGACTGCCATGCAAAATACTTTTTCCGTTCCGTTTCAAAGTTTTCTTGTACAACTAAAACGAACTTGGGACCGCGCGTGTAAGGATGATGAAGGAAGTGTAAGTTCCTCGTCTTTTTCTTTTAATACTCTTCTCATTGGGCTCTTAGACCATCTCAGTGGCAGAGTTATGTGTTGGTCTACAGTATTTGATGGAGAAGGCTGATAAGGAAAGAGAAAGTCGAAAGATTCCACGTGCAAGTATTTTAAGGGATCCTTTCGTTCTTATCAACTTGAGGCATTATTGTATGTTAGCTCACGGAGCTTATTCAGACAGTGTGACCGCCATATGTTCGAAAACACCGTTGGTGGAAAGTGACATTGTTCAGTTTCAACTCGTTTCCAAGCAAGAGCAGCCAGCATATTTTTTAGCAGTAGATCACTTAACTAGAAATATTGTGTTATCTGTTTGTGGAACCAAGAGTTTCCAAGATGTACTCACTGATGTTAATGTCGAGACAACAGAGTTTCTAGATGGATACGGACCCAAGGGAATCGTTGCAGCAGTTTATTGGTTACAGGAGCAGGTAATGGTTACTATTATTGACGAAATGTCAAAGTATCCGGATTACGGTATCGTATTGGTCGGTCACAGTTTGGGTGGTGCTGTGGCTACTTTACTGGCATTACTTGTAAGAAAGAGATATGGAATATCCGTAGCTTGTTATAGCTATGCACCGCCACCTTGTATATGCCCTTCATTTGTTCCTCTTACCAAAGAAGGTGGAGTAACCACTGTTATTTTGGATACTGACTTGATCCCTCGCTTCAACCCTGAGTCATTGGATCTTTTGGTAGAACAGTTGAGAACATTGGACTGGCAGCAAGTATATTTTAGTAATTCCGAGTTGCATTCAAAGTTATTTGGCGTTGCAGTTAATTATTTGGGAGAAGAGACGACACATCAACTTTCTCGACAAGTTTCAAACTATTTACGAAAGGGACTACGCAAAGGTTCACAACAAGCGTTAGACTTTGGCAAGAATATTCTTCTAAGCAAATTCGCTGATAATGGGAATGTGAAAGAAATATCAAAGTGGCAGAAAACAGTGACCGATATTGGTCGTTCATGTTGGTATCAATGCGAGGTAAATACCAAAGAGATGAAGCCTCTTAAACTCGCTGGAAATATATGGCACATTCAACGTGAAGATAAGCGATATTTCGGTGTTGTAAGTGACCAAGGAGAGTATTGGAATAGAATAGAACTTTCGCGCCAAATGTTACAAGATCATCGTATTTCTCAAATACAATTAGCTTTACAGCAAATGCAATTAGAAGAATAAAATAATAGTTGTACAGTGATGGCCGAAATCATTTTTTTCCTCTCGAAAAAATGGCGCAGTGTTTTGATAAATCCGAATGTTACAAAGAATGTCTTTAGGAGATTCTCCTACAACAATGCCAAGCTTACAAAATAGTTATTGCGGCTTAGAAAAAGAAGATGAAGACCAAGACTGTGAATGGATGCTATTGGGGTCAGAACCTTATTGCAAGAGAACACTAGCAACAGCTCCAGAATGGAAGAGTTCACTACAATTGGAAGACTGCAAATTTTGTGCTGCACTTAGCGCTGGTCCTACAGTATGTTGTTACAACTGGATAGCGGTTATGTTGAACTTTGCATACTAATGTGTTTCATCGGTTTCATTTATTAGTGTTTTATTCCTGGTCATGGTTGGGGCACTGTAGACGAGCAAAGCTTTCTTTTGACACGCAACATTTACTGGTTCTCCTGTTCTGGAAAGTTATTGAACGTGAATTCTTTGCAGGCGGAAAGATTCGTAGGGACCAAACAATCTTTTGTCACCACAAAGAGTCTCCGAGAGGCAGGTGGGTACCGACTGCCAACCTTGTTTCGTTATTTACGCCAGCTGATAGGATTTTTGCAAGATGAGTCCGTTTTGTTGATATTTGAGGATGGAACTTTGGCAAGGGTGCTGCAGGATAGTCCAGTCATTTATGTTATTGGTAGTGTTTTCGAAGTTCTCGAGGTTGAAGGAGGCTCCTTGGTGCAAAGTGCCATCATTACGAATGATGATTGCTTTATTATGGAAACAACCAAGAAGAATTTTTATCTGGTTCAGGATATATTGAGAGGAAAGTTTTTAATACATCGTTTTTCTGTTGACGAAAGTCGGGCAAAGGAAAACGTTGCCATCACGTGTTATCAAGTATTGGCTTCTGGTTCTCCTCCCTTGAAGAATAGTGGAACATCGTCCAATCATGATATTCAACTATTGATTGGTTATGAAGATGGTACAGTCATTTCATCCAACCTGTACGATCATCTTTTGCTTTATCAACTGGAGGGAGGATACTTTATATCCTTTTCAGTATCTCGAGATGGACGTTGGATCGCAGCGATAGAGTCGGGAAAACACTCTCTTTGGATCTTCTCTTCAGATATGAATAGAGCGGTATTATCCAATTGGTTACCGAGTCCCTCATTTCTTCGTAGCATTGGAATGGAAGAACTGGAGTCTGTAGATTATAGTAACTTGCAAATTGATTGGTGCGCTAGTGAAGCTGTTGCATGGTATTTGGTGTCCCATTCGTTTCTGTTATTAGTGGACATTCGAGGAAATTGTGTCCATTTATCTAATGAAGCCTGTTTCCTGTATTCCGAGTTGGATGGATTGCGATGGATAGAACAAGAAAGAGTGTACTATATATATAAAGCATCGAAGCCTTTATATGATCTTCAAAATCTGGGCAATACAGAAGACATCTCTTTATTATTCAGTTGTTTTGAAACTTTTGATGGACGAACGAGAGATTCGGATGAGAAACGTATTCAATTTTATCAACTGGTTCATTTGCTTTTCTCGAAATCTTCAGGTTTGCTGGACATTGTGGAGACTATATTAGATAACATGGTATTGGAAGAGTGGAATATTGGAAGACAGAAGAAGTTGCTCAAATTAGCTTCATTTTGTATTGCTTACCAAGGATCGTATCAAAACCAGTCTAAAGTTACCCAACTAGCTGATCAGCTATCCGTTGTCTGTAGAACCTTGCGTCTGTTAAATTGTCTCCGTCGACAATGTGATATTCCTATCACATTTGTACAATCAAGAGAGATGAGTGGAGACAAATTGATGGATCGTATATCCAGATATGGTTATCATGAAAAAGCTTTGAGCATTTCAATTTACTTAGGAATAGGTAAGAAAACAAATTTTGGCTGTAATTTGTTTTATGTGATTCTTGTATTTAGATCCATCCATTCCACTTATACGATGGGCAAAACAAGAACTACTGCAGTGCCTTCCAAAGGATACAGTTATCCATCCTGATGTCCAAGATCGCGAAATGATTGAAAGCAATGTGATGGAAAAAATTTCGAAACGTCTAGAGTATTTTACGGAAGAATATCAGATAGCAGCACCCCCTTATACCGATATTGCTCTGATGGCTTGGAAGCTGGACCTCTCCAACTTGGCCATTTGGTTGACTCAAAAAGAGCAAAGGATGTATAAAAAGGTAAATGTGCCTATATTCATTTGTTTGCCTGTCGTCAAACAGTCTATTTTCATCCAAGGTACCTTTGCTGTTAATGCAGAACAAGGAACAAGATGCCCTGAAAGCAGCATCAGAAGATGGAGATCCTGAACTGTTGCAAGGTGTTTTTATTCGCTTAAGGCAACGTCATACTCTCGCCGAAATGTTAGAATTCTTTCGGTCCAACAATGACCAGTTGCAAGACGCTGTACGTTTGTATGCAGCTTTTTTACGTCGCCATGCCATTTTAGAAGAGTGGAATTCATTTATGTTGTCTTTTGGATTGAGACCTTGTTTTGCCGTAAGTAGAGCGAATAGTACTTAGGATCCGAAAGCACAAAACTGAATTCACCTCATTGAATACTTATATTTAGGTGTTATCACAAGCACATTTATCATTGCAAAGGACGGCACAGCGCAAGAAGACATTGGAATGGTTATCATTGCAAATGAATCGAACTGCCAAAAGATCAACTTGGCTGGGTTGGTCGCTAAAGAATGAATGTAAAATATCGGACCTTGCAACGGAATTGGAGCAAACATGGAAATTACAAGAAAATAGTCTTGATGTTTCGAGTATTTCGCGTTTTATTGTATCTGTGGCGGAACAAAGTGTACACCTATCTCCTTCTGAGAGAAGAGATTGTTTGTACCGAATAAAGAATCAGTTCAAGGTAAGAAAATATTCTATAGAATGTATCCAACTTTTTGTTTCACTTGGATGAAATATTATTGCTTCGATTAGGTTCCCGAACGTCGATTTATATACAACTGTTTGCAAGGCATGGCAAATATCGGGGACTTTGAAGGTATGTTGATATTGGGTTCTGAACGACATCCTCCACAGACAGGATGGATGCCATTCGTAGAAATATGTCTTCGTCATGGTCGATTATCGGAGGCAAGTCAATTCATCAAACTGATAAAGGTAACAGTTGGAAAGATTTATCACATATTGGGATATTGAATATGGTATTGCTTAGGAGCCTCAGGAACGTGCTATTGCCTTGGCTAAAGCAGGGTATGGAAAAGAAGCTGCAGAGTTAGCAATGAAATGGAAGAATCAACGTTTATTGCAACAGATATATGAAATTGTTCCTCAATCCAGTTAGAAGTGTAATCATCCGCCGTTATAAGACCGGTTGGATTCGTGGAGCGATCAGCAAAAATGCATAACAACTTCGTCCCTTATAGGTTGGAGACCAAATGGATTCTGTTAATGTGACGATGCCTTGTGCCTTTCAGACTATGCCTTTGAAACCTTTTCCAAAACAAACGAAACATTTAGATATTTTTCGTTTCTTGTCACCCCAAACGCGTATCGCTTTCACGACAAGACGTTGTTTTCGTCTAGTAAGTTGTTTGGAGACAAACACACACGCGAAAATATTGGATGGAAAGGCCACAGCACAACAAATAAGAAACGAACTAAAGACAAAAGTGGATGCTTTGTACAAGCTGTATGCAATGCGTCCAGGTTTGGCAGTCGTTCTCGTAGGCAGCAGAAAGGATTCTCAAACTTATGTCCGAAATAAGCACCGTTTTGCCAAGGAAGTTGGTTTGGAATCGTTTAATCACGACTTGCCAGAATCAGTAACGGAAGCACGTTTGTTACAAGTAAGAACATACTTTGATTCTGGGTGGATGCGAATTGTTGTTTGTCAATAGGTAATCGACGAACTGAACCAAGATCCACGAGTCCACGGCATTTTGGTGCAGTTACCACTCCCTGCACACATATCGACCGAAAAAGTGTTACAACGTATAGACGTATCTAAAGATGTTGATGGCTTCCATGCGGAAAATGTGGGACGTTTGTGCACTTTGAAAGGGGAACCTGGATTTATTCCTTGTACTCCACAAGTAAGGAATTTGATGTAGATAGTCGAGTTGGATATGAATGTGGATTAGGGCTGTTTAGAGTTGTTGGATCGTTATAATATACAAATTCAAGGAAAGCATGCAGTTGTATTGGGCAGAAGCAATATTGTAGGTATACCTGCTGCCATGTTGTTGTTGAGAAGAAATGCAACCGTTTCAATTTGTCATTCGTTCACTGAAAATCTATCAGAGGAGGTTTCTAAAGCAGATATCTTAATTGCAGCAATTGGTAAACCGGAATGGATATCTGGACATTGGTTGAAACCCAATAGTGTTGTAATTGACGTTGGTATCAACGCAGTGAAGGACGTCAATACTAGTCGAGGTTATCGGTTGGTTGGTGATGTTCGATGGGAAGAAGCTTATCCTCGAGTACGTTGTATCACTCCTGTTCCTGGAGGAATTGGACCCATGACCGTTGCGATGTTATTAAAGAATACGGTTAAGGCTTTTGAACAAAGGACGAGAGGAGAATCTCTTTCCAAATAATAAGAAAAGTTGTAGAGTAATTTGATTCAAATGTTATTTCTTTCATGACTCTAGAAAAGTATCATAAAATAGACATCTTTCAATCATTCTACTTTGTTTCCAAAGAGATTCCATTAGACTAGTGGCTGAATGAACGTTTTCTTCTTCATCCAGCCAAGCATCATTCACAATATCAGCGACTGCAGAACGTTGCCAAATACTAAACAAGTGCTTCAAAGGACTCTGAAAAGGCTCTTCGAAAGCTAACAACGCAAACATACGATAAAAGAATCTTTCTTGTTCTTCATTCATCCAAGGAATAAGAGGTGATAAATACGAAATAGAAACTTGTACCATTTCTGATAAACAAGAAGACTTGTTTGAGTCTCTCAACCATTCGATCCATCTTTGGCAAGTCAATGCAAAACAACTCCAACTTCCGACTTGTAACAAACTTGGTTTGTGTTCTTCAACAAAAGAAACAGCTTGTTCTATTTGACCTTGCATAATATATTCACGCACTTTACCACGTAACTCTACAGAGTCCTCCAATGCATTGTAAGAAAGAATTCCATCCGTATTTGACTTGAATGCTAAAAAAGTTTGTTGATATCCACAACGCAACAAATATTCTGCAACATATTTGAGAGAGATACAAGGTGATAATTCTATGTCTTGTATTTGTTTCCTTTTCGATTCTTTCCATTCATTTCTCCAAGAAACGTTAGAAAACACAAAAGTAGACTTGACATCATCAAGACTACCAAAACGAAAGGAAACTTTTTCATTGGGTCTGTGTAAAGATACGGAAGCATATAAATGACTCTCCACTTGAGAAAAGGCCATTCCTAACATTACTCCATTCTTTGTAAAAAATATTTGTCGTGTTTCAAAAAGATAACCACAACCAATTACATCTCCTTGTTGATAAGGTGTGGCATAGTTCATAGCTACCGAGCCATGGGTTTTTATCTTTCCATCTTTTCCTCGATAAGCAAAAGAACCAGGTTCTTCACCAATAGATTTGCAAAAGTCTTGAACCCTCCTAGATAAACCAACTGCAATAGAAACATTTTCAGAGTCACAAGAAAGAATTTCAACTTCGAAATAGAAAATATCCACTGTTCCAGTAGGTATAGGTTTATCGGCTTGTATTGTTCCCACTTCGTGTTCATAACAAGCAGAACCTACATAACGAACAGTAAGTCTATCCATGGATACTTCTAAAAAGCGAGAAATTTGACGCAAATTCAATCCAGTTGGCAACTCATGGTCTTGTTGGTTATTATCATCCCATTTCCAGTCCTGTCTCTCTAAAGCAATATCTCCTAACAAACCACTTGGATAGGATCCACAAAAAGGTTCCTCCGAGTGCCATTGACTAGTTGTATTATTTCTTTCCATTACTTTGCTTTTTGTGTCATTATCCTCAATAAAAAAATGGACTACAGGAAGGCTTGGTGTTTCATAGTTATTCAACACAACACTAGTAATAGGCCAATTAGGTCTCCAAGGAGCCCTTTTCCTTTGAGTTTTGTTATTTCTATTCGTTTTGTTTCCATTCTCACAACTATAAGAACAAACAGTTGAGTTCCTTTCCCATAAACTATCCACTTTTGTGGAGTCTAAACATTTGCTTTCCAACCCATTTCTGTGACACTCTGACCATATATGAGTAGCAAAAGGAATCCTGTTCAAAGAACTTTCCCAATAAGTATCTTGACTATTTTCGACTTTTCTGGAGAGGGACATGAAAAACCCAAAAGTATTAAGTTGGATTTGAGTATTTGGATTTTACTTTGTGAGGTCGTAGTCTGTTCTCAACTATGGCAGATAGAAAAGCTGTTCAAAAGTATTACCCTCCTGCTTACTTTGATTACTTATCCAAGGGAGGGAAGAAGAGTATCAACATGTTTCAAGGACAACATCCCCTAAGAGAAAGAGCAAGAAAACTGAAGAGTCAAGGCATACTCATCATTCGTTTTGAGATGCCTTTCAATATTTGGTGTCTCGGATGTAATAATCACATAGGAAAAGGTGTTCGCTATAATGCGGAAAAGAAAAAAGTAGGCTCTTATTTTAGTACAACAATATGGAACTTTCGTTTCAAGTGTCACTTGTGTGATAATTATATTGAAATACAAACAGACCCAGCTAGTCGAGATTACGTTGTAGTAGCTGGAGGAAAGAGAAAGGAAGAAGGTCCTGGAGAAGGTGACATATGGATTGAAGAAGCAACACAGCAAACTTCGGATGCTTTTGAAGCTTTAGAAAAGGAACAGATTCAACTGCAAGTGGCAAAGACAGAGAATGAACACATCCAAGAATTGGAAAGTTGGAAAAAGAAGAGTTATGAAGATGATTACGCTTCTTCACAATTGGTTCGAAAGAGGTTTAGGGAATGGAAAAAAGCTCTAACAGAAGAACAGAAACAAGATGAAGAATTGGCTTCACGTCTCAATTTGTTCATTCCTTTGGTTCCCAAAGACAAGTCGACTACTCCAATTTCAAAACCTGCTGCTAGTGGTGCTCCTCAGATAACTAGAATTACTCCCAGAAAGTCCACACATATCCTTCCTCGTGCAAAATATGGTTACTTTGCACATATGCAGAGAAAGAAGTATTGAAATATTGTAAATCTGATAGAATATAACTTAAATGGAATGAACTATCATAATATAACAGACAAGTTTATTGATGGCTCAAAGTTAGTTATGGGGAAGTTTCCAAGTGGAAGCTACAGCTGAGAGTAAATCAATTCCTGAAGGAGGTGCAGGAGGAGGCTTTCCACTAGAATTCATATCCATCTTATCGTCATCTTGTGCATTGGAACCACTGTCTTCACCACTTTCCTCATCCAAAGAAACTCCACAACGTGAAGAACAAGATTGAAGTTCCATACCATACAAATTAGGCTCACTCATACAGCGCTTACCAACACGGAATGTTTTAGAATTTCGAAACTCTCGAGATATGCGCTGGAAATATTTTTGAGCGTGCGTACGAACTTGTGTACGATTTCTGGTTCCAACATAATTTGCTATGGCTTTCACATCCTTATGACCATATTTTTGGATAGCTTCTAAGAATCTTTGATGCTCCTCTGGAGTCCAGTATCTAGACTGAGAACGACTCGTGTCATTATTCTGAATCCGATTCGACTCTCCTTGACTCAGTAAAGAACGTAATCGATCTATCTCTCTACGATATTCTGCCAACTCCTTTCGCATAGACTGATTATCTCGTTCTAGTCTCCATATCCAAGACTCTTTCTGACTGGCGTCCATACCATTCGACCATGGATATCTCCATAAGTTTGTCTGTAGACTAGTTGCTACATCATAATTATTACTCTTGGAACCAGCTATTGTAGAATAATATGAGTAAATCTTGTCCAGAGGATATCTTAAACCATCTTGCTGAGATATATCGACAGTATCACCGTTTGTGGAGTCGACAATAGAAATGGGACGATAAACTTGTTCCACATAGTCTGTCCCAGAATGAACCGTTGCCAGTTCGGAAGGAAAACTTGGTTGACCGTATTTTACAGTAGACTGAAAATAACTGGGAGGTAAGACACTGGAAGACGAATGATTAGGGCCGTGCCGTAAACTCACTGGTCTCGTGCCGTCCGAAGGATGAGACGTTCCAGAGAAGCTTCCTTCTGGATTCATGTATGCCGTAGAATGAATAGGGAACGAATAATCCCGATAATCACTCGCCGAAAAGTAATTAGTGTTAAGGTACTGTTGGGAATCCATAACGGACATAGGAAACGAAACAAAGAGTTTCGACTGGTTTCCCTACGCAGCTCCCTTTCACAAACGGTTATATTACGTCACCTTTTTTCCTATATACGTCAAAAATGAAAAGTAACCAAAAAACGGGAACAATGGTGTCACAATAACCAGTGAACTTAGCAAATAGGACCAGCCTCAGCGCACCTCAAATAAATGATGCCACTACGACAAAATCTTAAAACGCACCATTGCTGAAAGGGAGTTGAATTGTCCATACGACACAAAGAATTTACAGGCTCCTTTGCCTGTGTGCCCTTGAACAGGCTACGACGGACCCGAGAATCGTCAATAAACTAGAGAATGGTTTGCACTTTTATATTTAAACCAATAGTTTGATAATGTACCAAGCGGAATCACAGATAATGAATTAGAAACGCGAGTTTTTTCTCAAAAGTTTCTGGTTGAACAATTCATTAAAGTTGTATAGTTATCTCACCATGTTATATTTAAGAAAGAGACTGCAGATTTCACTACATATGGCTAAAATATAATTGCTGGATACGTGAATTACAAGTTTCCTCATCTACTCCCACTCCAACGAGAGATAGGCTATATCACGACACCAGATCTCACTAAAATACGAGATTCAACCTTTGAAATGAAATATTCCAATCAAGTTAGAAAGAAATGAAGATGACAGCAGATAAGCACATTTAGGGAGATACTATTCCGTAAGCAATATTTTGTCAGTTATTGCTATACTGTCTTTCAATACTTATTTCTTGAGAAGACAACGAGCACTTAAATCTTTACAGCATAGCGTATGTGTAAAATCTCTTTCATTCGCTATGATATCATCTTTTAAAAAGCTCTACAAGTCTTCATAGAATTATTAATAACACATGTGATGAATAAAGATAACCTGAAATTTAGAATTACGTGAAGATGAAAATATAAAAAGATAAAGCTTGATTGATGCATGCTGAGAGCAATGAGTAGAACAAAGAGAAAATGGAAACTTGTTGGCTGGCCTAAGTTTCATTGCAGCATGACTTTTTCTTTACAAAAATAATGCCTCTGTTGACTGAATAACCTCATCTCTCGAAGGTTAACAAAGAACAAAAAATTTTTAATTTAAAAATAAAACAAATTAAGGTTGTAAAAATAGAAATGAAGGACGAGTCAAGCCAAGAAGAATAGTTTTTCGTAAATCTTGAGAAATGAAAACAAAGCGTCAGTCAACGAATACAATGAACTTAAGCAAGCAAAGATAGACCAAACTTAATTTAAGCAACGTAAAAGAAAACTCTTGAAATTAAAAGCTTCAGTTAAAGTGGTTCCACTTTCTTGAAAATTCACTACTCCCTTCGATTTAAAATTAGCTACGATAGAAACAATCTTTGAAAAAATTCTTCTTCCGACAAAATTATTTTTTACCTCATATTATGATAAAAAGCTGAAGGAAATAATGTTTGGCATCAATTTTTAAATTAACAATTTGCAATTGCTAGATTTAATCATGCTTGCATACAATTTCTTCGTTTTTATATTTTTTTATTTCTTTTAGCATGAGGATTTTGGCGGTTATGGTGCTTTAAATCATTTAACTGGTATTGTACATTGTCGATCAATTTTTTTCTAGTTGTAGATAGAAACTAGTTAGTCGCATGTCAAAGGTGGTCAGTTCTCAGTATTATGAGCAATTGGACGACACTGCTAGAGTCCAGTACCGAGATCTTTTACTTACCACTCAGCAAAAGGACATTTTCTTTCTACCGCTGTCTCTAGCAAGGTTCTGTGTTCGCGAAAATTATCGAGTCGTTGGCTCGTCAAAAAGTGACTCCTCTAGCGATACACACTTGCTCTCCATCGTTTCTAGCCGGTGTCTTTGCAGCTTTTCTTTTGCTGACTATACCGTTGTGTGTCTTTGCTATTTAAAAGGAGAGAAAACCTGGCTTTCCTTTTACGTCGCTGAAAACAACATTTTCTCCCCGAGCCACAGTTTTTTTCTTGATTATTTTTTGTCAGATGTTACGTGTTCGCGTTGTTTTTCCGTTGGTGGTTTTCCAAACCTTAGTTATGGTTTAAGATTTTTTGCTTTGGACGCAAATAACGTGTTTGTTGTTGTATGGGTGGACGACGACATAGTTGCTTTTAAAGTCAGTCATGAACAATCTTCTATTTCTATTGAGAAGCAGTTCACTTTTTCATTTGGAAGTAGTCTAAGGGATATTTCCATAAACGGTCTCTATGATCCTTGGTTTGCAGCGGTGTGCGTGAATGGTTCGATCTACTATGGTAAATTGTTGGATCCATCATCAACCTCGAAGTGTTTGCAAGTGAATGGTTGTACTGCAGTTGAGAGAAAGAAATTCCATTTTATCCATTTTTGCTGTCGTCCTTTTTTAGCAGTAGTTTTAAGTGATTCTGGGAACATGTTCGTGTTGGATATGGTCAAAAATAGGATGGAAAAAGTATGGTATCTTCATTCACTTGATGAAAGTTTTACGAATAGGTTTATTTCTATAAGTCGGTCAAAGTCGAACCCATTTGAGTTTTATATTCTTACTCGTTTCCATATTCATACTTTTGATGAACGCCAACTTCATCATCCCGTTAAATCTTTTGCCCATTTTTTGATGAGTTTTCAACCTTTTTGTTTAGATGTATATCATATGGCAAGAAATGATTTACTTGTGGTGGGGTGTGAATCAGAATGCTATATTCGTTTATTTGTCGTTCCACAAGTGATCGACCAATGGAAATTTCCACATCTTACGGAACCCTACAATGTCCACCTTCATCTCCAGAGTTTCTTTTCTGTACCAGAGAATATGAAAGGTTTTGATTCGTATCATTCATATAAAATATGCTTTCCTCATCACTCGAAGAAACGTGCTATTCTAGGAGACGCAGCTTTCGTGCATTTTACTAGTATGAACAACAATGTACCGACATTACTTGCTGTTCGAGGTGAATTTCTCTATGGTTGCTCGATTGCATTCGATCACCATGTGTCTAACCATATGGAATACCTTTGGAATCCAATTGGGAGGTTGTTCTTGAGTGAGGAGAGAGTCAAGACGACATCGAGGAGAAGAGTTTCCAAACTAACATTGACGCAGTTACTCGAAGACAGCATTTCGGAATGTAAAGAGTAAGTACAAAAACGACTCTTTGGATCCATTATGACATTTTTAGGTCTTATTTTCTATTCAGTGTCTCACAGCTATTGAAACGGCTAACAGGGTCCTTATCCAATCCATCAGTTTCCTCCGAGTTGATAAAGTCACATACTACAAAGATTGAACGAGAATACAAGCTGAAGGTTCCTCAATTATCTTCAGAGTTGTTGAGTGATATTCTTGAAAAGTTACCCGACTCTCTTGAGTCGGATGTAGATGACAAAGAATTTCCCCAAGAGAGGTTTATGGATAAAAGAAAGCAGATCGTTGGTTCTCTGTTAGACAGAAATACGATCGATAAAGTGAAAGAGTCTATGGATGACTGGATTGTTTCTTCAGGAGATTTAGAAACCATCTCTTTGTGGGAAAGAAACATCCCACCACAGTGTACTTCATCCACCCATATAAAGCATTATGTGTTGAATCCAAAAAGTGAAACAAAGATGCATTTTTGTGTTTCTGATGAAGTGAAGAAGATAGTGAACGATGTTTGGAGTTGTTACTTTTCGGAAGCATAAACTATAATAGCGCATGTTGTTCGGGGTTTTCATCATTTCTCGTTTTTAATGTCACATAGTATATTTTCACTCGTGGATAATGATAAAGTAGTCCCCATTCGGGAACAACAGAAAAGAGTGTAAGTTGAGTTTCCTCATATTTGATAGACATTTAAAAGTTGTTGTAGAGTGGAGAGAGTATCTTCACACGCAGCAAAAGTGGAAGAGTGTACCAAAGAACTTAAGAGGCTCTATGAGGAAACAAACGGTGACTTCCAAAGAGCTCTTGAGAAAACAAAACAAATAAAAGAGGACCTGGAGAATATTGACCGCCTTTTGAATGCACTGAAAACGAAGAAAGTGGATAAATAAAAGAGGAATGGAAACCAAACTTTTATCCAACTGCCATAGTGTAAAAAAGCTATTGTTCGAAAAAGAGTTTGACTCGCTAGTAGATACTTTAGTGACGGAAATGGGTCTCGTAAAACAGTTTATCACAACACAATATAAAGTCTTCCAAAGCCTATAATAATTTTCAAAGGGTTTTAATAAGCCATCACCACAAATCTTTCCGTATGGGGTTCCAAAATATCTTTCTTAATCCATTTATTTTATTCATAATTGTGAAGGATGAATAGTGATGCTTCCTTAAGATGGCTTGTTATTCTTCTATTCAGTTGCTGTATTCTACTATTCGTTCCTTTGCTATTCACTGCAATAACAACTGAATCACTTCAGGAAGGATTTGTAAATATTGGAAATAATCCTTGGGCGCTAGCAGCTTTTAGTGACTTTACTGTCGGTTTTGTTTTCAATCTGACCTTTATTTGTGTAAGAGAAGCTAGTGATTTGTATCAAGTGCCAGGTAGGAAGCCTTCTCTTTGGACTGCCTTTTTCTGGGTGATACTTGCTTTATTGGTCGGAAACCCTGCTGTTCTTAGCTACGGCATATATCAACTTGTCAAAGCTCATAGCATCAAAAGTGCTTTTTTGGTGACTCTTCCTTCAGACAAAACGGGTTCTCATTCTTTATCAAAAACAAAATGGCTCTATTGGTTATTTCAGTTGGCAATGTTGGGACTGCTCATCTATTACATAGTGAGTTGTTTGATAGCCCTTATGAGTCAATCCATTGGCGATGGGTGGCAATACATACAAAAGGACCCATGGGCATATTTGACATTCTTTGATAACTTGTTGGGAGTTGTGTTTACAAGTGTCTATATTGCAGTATCACAGCATCCAAAATGGATACATGTGATAGCATGGTGGTTGACATTGTGGTTATTTGGAAATGGTGTAACGGTAAGTGTGTGGTGCTGAAGAAGAAGAAGAAGATATTTAGAATATTGAATAGGCTATCTTTGCTTTATGGTTGTGTTGGAGGAAATATTCTCTCGGTGAATCCTTGTTGTATAGGGAATAGAATATGGATATAAAAAATATTCTTTTTTTATGACATCTTTACCATTCTTTTCATCGCACGCTTCCATGCATTCCAAGTTCCTCCAACATCTCGAACTACACGAATTCGTGTTGGTATTTCAAACAACATCTTCAGTTCTTCCAAACTCTTCTGTTTGGTTTCTGGAATAAAGAGAAGAATAAACACAAAGTCTGCCAATGCAAAACCGGCATATAAACCAAATGTACCACTTGTACCTATACCTTGTGTCAAATAGTTGAAAGTATAACTAATACCAAAGTTTCCCAAATAACTGCAGAAAGTTAACAAACACATATAGGAATTGCGAAGATAAAGAGGACCAACTTCTGTAGCAACTACCCAAGGAGTTAGGCCCACTCCATTGGCATAAAAAAGATAATAAAAGACAACTCCAATGATTGTGATAATAAGATTGGTCCGATGATTTGTGCTAATGAAACCTAAGCCAGTCATCAATAATGATAGAGATAAACCCGGAAGAGTGCAAAGATTAAGCTTTCTTCTACCCACTCGATCAATCCAATAAAGACCAGGGATACAAAATACTGCATTGGCAACTCCAGCTACCAAACTCACATAAATGGCATTGGTTTTAGAAAGCCCAATGCTTTCAAACACAGTTCCTATATAATATCCAATGGCATTGGCCCCTGAAAACTGTTGGATAAACATCATAGCACAACCAACTACACAGATCCTTCGAATAGGAGCTTCATGAATAAACTCGATGACCAAATTCTTATTTTGTGAAAATTTCAATTCGTCTTTTACATCTTGTATCATCTTGAAAAATTCATAGCGAGAATCCTCTTCAAATCCTTGAATACAATACCAAGAATGAAAAGACGCTTTGGGACGACTCTTCATCAGATTCCAACGAGGACTTTCAGGTAAAGCTATCATGAGAATAAACTGTAACAACGCAGGTACTATACCAGAACCCAACATGAGACGCCAATTGGCTGAAGCTGAGGCAAACGCTGCAGCCAAGATATATCCCAAGCATTGACCAAGAAATAAAGAAAGTTGGAAAATGGCAACCAAAAGTCCTCGTTGACGCTTTGGAGAACATTCTGCAATGTACATAGGAACGGTTGCATTACCACATCCTGCTCCCAACCCAACTATTATTCGTCCACACATGAGTGCTGGAAAGTTGTAAGATAGTGACTGAATCAAAGCACCACAAAAGTATAGAAATGAAGATACCAGAATGGTGGGTTTCCTTCCCAGATAAACATTGAATGGTAAGGCCCTATACAAACTTTATAAGAGATTGATAGTTTGAATTCAATCCATCACTCACACAGCACCACCAAACATGGCACCTAGAGCTATTCCTGAAGGAACAAGGGATTTTTCTGCAGTATTCAAACGCATATAAGGGTCCAAATATAGTTGAGCTCCATTGATGGTAGTCAGGTCCAGACCCAATAAAAAGGCACTCAAAGTTGCCACTGCAGTCAATACAATCAATATAGCTTTAGGAGTAGCCTGAAATCCATATAGTCGAACTTGGGGAGGGGGGCCTAGACTTTCCAAAGCACTTTTGTCTCTGGACAATTGATATGCTCTGTCTTCATTGGCTTCTTCTAGTTCTATTTGCTCAAAAGGGTCACCCCATTCTTTCACATGGTCTTGCTTGCTCTCTTTACTTGTTTCAATGTCTTCTGCGAGAATCACTCTAGTTTCTCTGTTGTCACGGTCTGAAATCACTTGGCGATCCATTATCAATCAACCCAACTCACCTTTTGATGATTCCACTTGAAAGAAATGTTCACAAACGATCACAATCCGTCCATTGGACTGTCCCATTGTACCAATGTTTTGTGTCGTTATCGTTCATCAACACATTTGGAACAAGTTACTTGACACTCTTCCCATAAAACTTGGGAATGGTTCACCATCTTTCACATATTTAAATGTTTTCCAACGTCTTTGAATATGTCTTTGTAAAACTGCTTTATTTTCCAACTTCATCGTTATCTTATATTGCTTCGGTATTATTTGCATTAAGAATCCGTTCGTTCCAAAACTTTTCTATTCATTTCATGAAATAATGTTTCGTTCATGAATCTTTGCATCAATTTTCTTCCATTTTCACCAATCTGTTTACAATGGCTTTCATTTGTTCGACAATACTCCAGCTTTTCGATGAGATCAGAGCCATTCAAGTTGAGAGGAACGAAATGTATCCAAGGTTTCAAGTCTCTGAAAAAAATAGACTCCACGGAAAAAGGATAAGGATGAAAAGGACAAGACCACGAATACAAGGCATGCGGAAAGCTACTACTCAAGTCATGTCCTTCTATATTCAAGACATATTTAAACTGGAACAAGTTTTTTCCTGGAGAGGGTGGCATTTTTAAGTGTGCATATCGATCTTGAAATCCACCTAAAGAACTAAAACCTACATCGATATCAGAACGATTATATGATAGTGCCAATTCTACAATCTTTCTTCTATTGGTCTTCCCTGGAAACTCGTCTTCATCTCGGATGGGTCCTGAAGCACTGCCTCTCCAAAATAACACATCTTTCTTATCTTCCCACCGAATAGTATCATTTCGAAAGCAATTTGGAAAATGATAAGTTTTTCTAGGCCATAAAGCACCAGAAGAAGAGCCATATCTGCGACAATGTCGAAGAAAACAAGATTCCTCCAAGACATTGTCAGCTATATTCATATATGGGGATACCTTGGTGAATTCCTCTTGGTATACTTCTTGGTACCATTGAGCCTCCTTTACTAGGACAATAAACGGAGATTTGGGCCATTTTCTAAGCGTTGGACAGTTTCCTAGACGAAAGGATACTTGTTGTTCAACAAAGTCCTCAGGGGCTGACACCAGCTCAAGAGACTTAAAACGAGAAAGTATACTGGTGTCGACGTTCAATGTGACAACTAAACTAGTTATAAGACAGAGAACAAAGCATAAGAAAAATCGATTCCAACGTCCTTGAATACCGGCAAATGACAAAATCATGACACGCGCCCAATCGATGGCTCCCAATTTCAAACGAGGTCCCAGAACATTCCATCTTCCTTCTCTGCCATGTAGTTGCTGTCCTTCAAATTTGATAGCTTCTATGAAATTGTACAATATATGTCTCTAATAAATAAGGATATCACATTAAGGATATTGTTCGCATACTAATCGGCTTTAATAATGCGAAGTTGACTAACCAGATAAAAGGAGTTGCTCATCAAGATGCTCCCGATTCCTTCTTTTTCTCAATATAGTTGCAAGTGGTCCAACTTGATTTTCGCGGTTGGAGAGTTCCCTCCATTTCTCATTCATCAATTCAGGACTAACGAAGCAAAACTTCTTATTCAGACAAAGTAAGGTTTTCTTTCATATTCAAAGCTTGATAAATGATCGTAAAACAACGAAAGAGATCTCAAAAGCTGTACGACTGTAAAAAAACTTTTGTAAAAAGAGACATTTACCAGCTTTTTACCCATAGCTCACGAAACGTGCCCATTCTTTCGTTTCCTCGCAACGTAACGGACACAATAAGAAAAGCAAGTCATAAATGGTCAAGGAATCATGATAGAACTTGTAATAACGGCCTCCAAATATTCTGTGACTTTTTCTCGTCTTCCTTCTATTCTTTATTGCATTGCACGAACAAATGTAGCTAGACTATTTTCTTAACGCAACTATCCAGTTCTGGTAAGAAAGTCAACTAATCACAACAACATAGTGTTCTTTCAATCCTCTTTGAAAAGAATGACTTGCAGAGACACTATCACTTCAAAAGCTAAGTTCATCATAGAGAATATTTTTCGTTTGATAATTCAGAAATAATATTTCTTGATGATGCATGTGCGAGATTGCTCGTTCCGTCAGAATTGTCTTGATTTAAAAAGTGTGACCATATTGCACAATCGAGCAAATAATCACACCCTGCCTTCTTCTTTAATATCAAGTTGTGACACGATTTAGGAACTTTTAAAGTTTGAAAATATGGCTCGGCATTTACCTCTTTTCCTTGCTTTTGGAATATGTACATTAACAAGGCATCCAACTCTAAAAGAATACAAGCGTCATAGGAGGTATTTTCCAACAAATTGTCAACGATCTCCAACAAGTTAGCATGAGCTTCTTTATATCGAGTCAGCTCAACAAGTATACTGGTGACTACAAGATGAAATTGAACCCATACAACAGTTGACTGCAGTTGCAGAGCACAACATTCTTCTTTTGCTTTTTCCGCTAAATAAAGTGCAGTATGTAACTGTTGACGTTCTTTTTCCATACATGTCAATAAATACAAACATAAAAGCTGATGAATTCTACCATTTTTCATACAACCCATTTGTTCTTCTTGAACAGTTTTTAAGGCAGCAGTAATATAATCATAGGCAACCAAAAAATTTCTGTTCTCAAAATGAACTTCACCAATGCTTCGAAGCAGAACGCCCTTTTCCCAGCAAGGAACGCAGTATAGCAGAGTATCTTTGAATATTCGAATATTCAAAGACAGAAAGTATTCAAAATTTTCTTCTTCGAAAAGACTTTCATGCTTGTCGACACCTGACTCCGGATCAAAACAATCATCTCTCTCGAATTGAAAAGTCTGCAAAAGTTTTGAACTTTCTTCTAATCTGGACTCTGCATCCCAAATATATTTCAAGAAACAACTGCTGACAACCAAAACCCAACGGTATGTTTTCCAACCCCATTCCTTGGCTATTTTCAAGGCAGTCTCAATATTCTCCCGTTCTAAAGTATACAGACTTTCTGCTTGTTGTTTGCAAGTGCCACGATGAAGAAATATTTCGTCACTAACTTGCTCTTGTATCAATTTACAGTAGTAACCTAGGAATCGACACTTCCACACTTCATATTTGTGTCGAAAATAGCCATTCTTTGCGTTCAAATATTCTAAAATGAAACAATATGCCATAGGATACAGCTGTAATCTCCCATCTGCATGAATCTGTAAAACTTTTTCAGTTTCCAAAGTTCTTGCAAGTTTCTCGAAAAACAAATTATCTTGCTCTGACCAACCTAAAATATACTTTGCTGCTTGGAAGCTAAATGTAGATGGAAATATGGAGAATGCAGACCATGCTTCTCTACCAAGAAACGGTATTTCTATGAGAACCTTTCTATAATATAATGATAAACTAGAAAAATGGGTATTGTCTTGTAAGAGCTCTTCTTCCAGCGATTGGACCAGGTAAAAATCTGAAATGACATTATTTGATCCACTCTCGCACGATGTTTTCTCTTCGGTAGAAAAACTATCAGAACTCCGCAAAACATTCAAATTTCCAAACAATTTCCTTTCATCATCCTTCAACGCATCATTTTCAAAAGAAAATACTCTTGGGACATTGGTGGAGACAGTTTGTTCGCCTTCGCTACTTTCAGGAGAAATGCGACATTTTATGACTTCATTCCCACCTCCAGAGAAACTCAAAGGAAGTGAAGAAAAAGCATTAGAGCTAATATGTGACGGACTCATTCTGGTTTGTTGCAATAGCTCATTGCTTCCACTTTCTTTCAAAGTACTTGCTTGTTGTTCTCTTTGTAACTGCTTTATCAATTTCTTGTTTCGATAGGCCATGTTTTGCCGCTCTCTCCTTCGTAAAATTCTCTTCTTCTGTTTTCTCTGTTCTTCTGTCAATTCAGAGTCAGAAATATTGATAAATAGAGACGGAGGTCTACCTGGCTTTGATATACCTTTTTTATGATTTCTCTTTCGTCGTGATAAAATACGAATAGAGTCCCACGTCTCTATATCTTCTTCGATGATAGGTTTATGATGCGACATCATTTTTCTTGATTCCATTTGCGACAAAGCCGCAAGGTTTCTCCCGTCCGAGTTATCTATCGTCCCACAGTCCATCAAGAACGATGGAATGTTCGTAGTAGAATAAATAAAAGGTTCACTGTTTGAAGAGTAAAAAGCAAGTCTATTTTCCTCTGTTGCTAGAAAAAGTCGCATCATAGGTTCTTGAGAAGGCTCCAAGGACGACATAGACATCTCAGGCACAAATCTACCAACATGAAAATTTCTTTCCCTCATATGGGCTGCTGAAAATCCGAAACAAGCTCTCTGAAGCGTCTGATCCCGTGGACAAAACGAAGGTGATTGGTTGGTAGCTTATTCATTTTCCAGCCTCAAGCAGTAGTGATCCGTTTGCTTCCACGCTCTCAATAAATATGGCAGCGTTGTCATCTAAAGAAGGATATAGTAAAGAGATTCAGTTTCGTAAAGAAAGAGGATTATTTCTTGTTGAAAGAAGAGGAGTTGATTTGCAGGGAATATATTTTGTGATTACCTTGCTCCCTTTCTATCTTTGAACAATTAAGTTGAGTTTTGTTCTCTAGTCGAAATATGGACTTTCTTTAGATACAGTGGACTCAATGACTAATAAAACCGACATCAAGTCTCTATGTTCACTTTGGAGTTTGATAAGAAAAGGTTTCTTTGATAGAGTTTGTATCATTGAGCTTTCTTCGTCATAATAGACAATAGCTATTAGCTGAAAGCTTCTCATTTTTCCCCAACAATGGTTGATACTTTTTTTCCAGTTCTAGGAGATAAGGGTGGGTACAAAAAAAGATTGCTGAATGGTAGATATGTCCGAGGATATTCTGAAAGTATGATATGTGTACTAAGAAAAAGTTTCCAATGTAAACAAGAAATAATGGTGTATTGTTGACCAGCAAACTAAAAAATTCAATATTTCATATTAAGATGCAAATGTCGGGAACATCATTTAAGATGGTTAAACACGATCAAATCCTTCATTCTTAACAATCAACAAAAATAAGAACAAGCATGACAAGAAATTTTCTATCTGAATGAAATACTCAGGTTCCACGAGTCATTTTCATTTATGGAAAATTTGTCTCTCCGTCGCCTTGGCATGAGATACGTTCAGGCCCTTGTCGTAGGGACAAAGTTTCTCAATTTCATTTACCGACATTCCAAAGAATCTTCGAATACTAGTAATCCCAGTCTTCCAATGATACGAAGCAATTTCTGAAAAACTGTGTTCAAATATGAGATGGGACTGTTCAAGTGTATATCCTTTAGTCTCAGGGACAAATAGGAACACCATGATAAATCCCCAGACTATACAGCAACCATAAAAACCATATCCTCCTTTGAGTCCCATACTACTGGATTCCATATCTGGCCAAGTGAAAGCAACGACAAAGTCAAAAACATTGTACCAGAAGATAATAATCCCCATGGCTTTCGATCGAAGATGCAATGGAAAGACTTCTGAACTGTAAACAAATGGAAGAGGTCCTAATGCAGGAGCAAATCCAAGAAGAAAGATTACAATCGCCACAATGAATAGCCCAATCTTCACATTTTTAGAACCATAATTAGAAAACAAAGCAAGAACCAATGCCAGAAACATGATAGGAAATCCTGCCAAAAGTGATTTCCGTCTTCCCCATCTTTCCACTATCCAAAAGACTGGCCAAGTAAACAAAAAGTCTACAAAGCCTGTCACCACACTTGCTTCTACGGAAGTCTTGGAAGTCACATGTAGCAAATTCACCAACATATAGTCAACATAATACATGAAGACATTCACTGCTGAATATTGTTGAAACAACATGATCATTATACAAATCAACAAGGCTCGACGGTTGCTTGCAACTGTTAAAAGTTCTTTGTACGGATTGATCTGCTTGTTTAGGGCTTTCTCTTCTTCCACTGCTTTCTTCATAACTGCAAAATCATGCTCAGCATGCATGGCTTCCCCACGCAATTTCTTTAACACTGTCAAAGCCTCTTCATATCGACCAGTTTCAATAAGCCATCTTGGTGATTCACACTGAAATAAGATTCCGGAAATGACTATTACCGACGGAACCAATGTAGCTCCAAGCATAAGTCTCCATCCAATAGTGTCTACATTGACAAATATGGCATCGACAACGTATCCTATAAATATTCCACCGGTAATTAAAAGCTGATAGATACTCACGGCACCGCCTCTAAGAATATAGGGAGTTATTTCTGATAGAAGCAAGCTTATCGTTGTCGTCAGCAGTCCCATAGAAACTCCTAATAGCAGTCGTCCAACGAGAAGCATTTGCCAAGATGGTGACAGTGCTTCCCATAGTGCAGCACCTGTGGAAAGAACTGCAGCAACAAACAAAGTCTTCTTACGTCCCACAGAAGTATTTAAGAGCGATGAACTGGAAAATACATATTTTTTAGAAAAACGATGAACTCAAGCCGAGTCCACTTACATCAATGAACCAAATGTTCCACCTAATAAGGTTGCGGAGGAGACTAGTCCCAGGACATTTGTTCTTGAACTGATATTGAAGAGTGGGACGTAAAAAACAGTTGCTCCACTAACAAGGGCAATATCAATACCAACTATGCAAGCCGATACAGCGCACATCAAGGCCGTAGAATAGAAAGCGCGAGTTTGAGTTCGCCATGGACGCTGTTTCATCTCCTCTGGAATATATTCATCATCGAAAGCACTGATTTCTTCTTCTGTCAAACCGATATCATCCTTCTCATAGTTCCTAGCAATTACTTCTGGGTTGAGCAGAATCTCTTCTTCAACCTTACCCATTCCTTTGTCAGCCATTTGCAACTAGTGTTTAAAAACCAATGAAATCGAAATACAATGTTCTAGAGCGAAACGGAACACTTCAAAATGATTTACGAATACTCCAGGGAATTCCATTCGATGTTCAGATGATAGCCATTTTCTTCATTTAGTTTCATCTGAATATGCCCCAAAAAATCCATTGGACTAGTTTCTCACTATCTTGCTCTTAAGAGAAATAGATACGATAAAAATCTAATTGACCAGTCCAATCTGATTTCTTCCAACCGTTCAAAAATTACCTTCAAAAGCACAGTACTTTGTGTAAAACTTTCATGATTCGTCTACTCAAGTCCTATACGCAACTGAGATATTGTACTAGAGCTCTGCAGGAAAATCTAAAGATGTCTGCAGTGTCCTATATAGAACCTACAAAAGAAGAACTGAAGCAACAGAAACTATCAGAAGCGAATTTGAAAAAGGCAGTAAATGCTATGGAAGAAGATGGAATAGTTGTGTTGAACAACGTTGTTGATCTACAACACTTGAATTTGTTGAATCAAAAGATGTTGGAAGACTTGAAGTATCTTCAGTCAAGGAAGGATGCACCTGAAAACTATAATAATAGTAACTATCAACAAGATCCTCCTCCCTTTCATCCTTATTTGTTTAAGGACATCGTATTTAATGAATTTGCAATTCAAGTAACTGAAGCAGTGCTTGGAAAAGGCGTGAAACTCAACTTTTACAGTGGTAACACTGCAGTCCCCAGCACTTTGAGACAACCAGTGCACTCAGATTCCAACTTTCAGCATCCCAATGAGCCTTTTGGTTTGGTCGTCAACATACCACTCATAACTATGACGCCTGAAAATGGAAGTACTGAAGTTTGGCCAGGCACACATACATTTACAAACAGTCATCTACAAGAAGGTAGGTTGGGTGTGATCAGGCGAGATGAATTGGAGAGAAGACGTAAAATAAGTCCACCTCTCCAACCAGTCATTCCAAGAGGAAGTCTTGTTGTTCGAGACTTGAGGTTATGGCACGCAGGCATGCCTAACAAAACCCAGAATCCTCGTGTTATGTTGGCGATGATACACTGGGCCTCTTGGTACAAAAATAAGATGGTCATTGAAGCAACAAAAGGCACTGAAGAATTTTTCCAGCACGCCAAACTCAAAGCTATGGTAGAATTCAGAGAGAAGGTTTTGTACTTGGATCACCCTTTTGGTAACGCCTACAACTTCCAAGAAGAAGAGTAAGGTGTTCTCCTCCTTAATAAACTAGTCTTGATAGCAGTGAACTTTGATTCTTTATAGTTTTCCTGAACAGCTATTCTGCCGGGTAAAGTAACACTTCCTACTTTCACACAAATGGAATGCTATTCTTTATTGCTGTACAGCCTGAGACTAGATTGGCTTCTTCCTATAGCATCCTATAGAGACAACTAGAAACATAATATCAATATTTTAATAGACATTAGTGCCCTTTAACTTTCCAATGGAGAAACGATGGTTCTTATCTACCCTCACTTTCAGTGTCATCTCCTTCACTAAAAATGATAAGATTTTCTCCAACCTGATTTTCAACCAAATTTCCTGGTCTATTGCTAAGATAACAGCCATGATAGTATGGAACGTCCGAATGATTTCCATCAACAACTCTGTCAATTGAAAAAGAAGATGAGGACACTGAAGTTGAATGCGACGTATCCAACTCCACCTTGGCGAGCACAGCAATATCCGCAAGAATACGGAAACAAACATCATGTAAAGAACGAAAAACGGCTTCTAAATAACCCAAGTCATTCACACTCATTTCCTCTACTAGTGTAGAAATAAAACTTTCCGTGTCATTGTATAAAGTGGCCAATGAAAATGTTTTGCCTCCCGATAAGCAAACCTGTTTAGGAAGTATATGAAAGATATCTTGATGATCTTGATATAATTTCTCTCCACTATTCTTTAGTTTGTCTATTATTTCTGGCTGTTCTTCCCAAGACTTTTGAATAAGGGAAATTTCAATGATAAGTTGGTTCGCTTGTCTACTCACGGAATCTCGCAATGCTTCTTCCATCAGTCTCTGTGGAGTGCTTTCACCATAAAATACAATTTCCATCGGTTCTGCGTTGCAAAAAGGGCACATAGAAGTAGTTCCACGTCTTCTCATTTTGTGCATTGTAATAAAACAATTTGTACATATAGGCTTATTACAACACGCAGTGTAGTTCAAAAAAGTATAAAACGCGAAACATATTGGACAGTCATCGCGACTAGAGTCTCTAGCTTCATCCTTTCCACTCTCCCAAGGAGCCAGCATTTTCTTTTGTATCAGCTGCTGTACACTTTGTCCTCCCACATAAGTATTTCTTTGAGAGGAGCTGTTGGGGCTTCTATTGGAACTTGAAGTTTCTGTGGAACTTGGTGTGTTTGAACGACGCCCGGAAGTAGCTTGTGAGGAACTCGACTGTCCTCTAGAGACATTCCCGTTGCCATTTCTATTGCTCCTCCTTGTATTTTCTGAAGAACTCGTATTGCGTCTGGTGTGTGTGTGTTCTGTTCTGGCCTGTTGTGTTGTCCTGGAAGAGTTGGAACTTGTTCTGGTTCCACTCCGTGTCTGTACAGCGGACGTTCGTGTACGAGGTCTGTTAGGTGTACGGTTGGGTTCCGCCTGAGTTCGTGGTACAAGTACTCTATTGTTCCAGTACTGCAAACTGCTCCTTCTACCGTCTTCCGAAAAGTACTCTCCCAGGGGTCTACTAGGACTGACGTCCCATATACTCGAACCAGTATTGCCCATTGCAGAATTCTCAAAGTTTGTAGACCTCAACTTTTAGTTGGGCAACATATATATATATATACATACAGTATAGTTCACCAACAGATAAAAGTTTGGATGGAGGGAAAGATCAGGCTGTACCTAATAGACAATTGCTCCAATAGAATTTTCGATTAGGAAATGAAGGGAATTCATATTTAGGAAAAGTGCGCCATTTTTGAGGCTACTCCAATAAGGCAATATTTCTTTGGCATGGAAGGAATATAGTTACTCTATGTGAAAAGGATTGTGATACTCTACAACGTTTTTTACTTGCAAAAGTATAAAAAATATTCCCTCTTAAGCCCTACCCAAAGTAGAATGGAGATAGTCATCATTGGAATGCATTGGAAAAGTCAACATGATTGGTCACAATTGGAATAGTGCTTTGTACCACTTGTTCGGTACTATCAAAAGTTTTCGTTGGATACTAAAGAAAGCTGAATCTATATGGATAGAACAAGCAAGAAACAACTCTTTTTCATTTCAGTTGCAACGTCACACAACTTGCACAAACGGTTGGCAGACATATTATCGTTCACCACTAGAAAAAAGTCCCTGCCAACCCCGCTCTTTTTTATTGCAAAGAGAGTTTACTTCTAATGTCCACTCCAGGACTAATGAATCGGTTAGAAAGTTTAAGGAGGTACTTTTGGTGAACGAAAAAGGTGAAAGAGTTGGAGTGATGAGCGTAAGAAGCAACTGGAAACTAGTTATTGGTATAAAGACCATAGCACTGTTAGGGAGAACAAGCATATCAATATGCAGCAAATGCACAACAAGATGTGATGGAAGTATCTGCGAAAGCTGCACCTCCAGTATGGAAACTGGTTGATCTGAAACAAGTGCTTAGAGCTAATAGACTGCGCGAGAAAATGGAAAGAAAACAAGCGGTAGAACAGAGAAGAAAGGTAAGATAGGGAAGAGAGGATCTTATTAAGGATACTATTTTGTATGTATTTAGTCTGAAGTGAAGGAAATACGAATTTCTCCAGCTATTGATGACCACGATTTTCAGGGAAAAGTTGATAGAGCCAAGGAATTTTTGAGTACCGGGAGACGGGTTCGTTTTTCTGTACGGTTTAGAAGAGGACAAGGAAAATATGCTTCTCGTTTGGAGTCTTTAGCGGTAAGAAGCTTAGACTCTGCATATATCTGTTGAGAATATTCATAGCCTCTGATAGGAGAGAATCAAAGAACAGTTGAAAGATATTCCGTGTACAATACAAGTGAAACGGAAACCTAGACCTCCTCCCAGGGAAGGCGCCTCAACGCAGAACACTACTCATGTTTCACAACTGGAAGAGGAACAAGATCCTTTCGAACTTTATATTGAGCCAACAAGTAAATAACTGCAAAAGTTTTCTTATCTAATTTTATAATTTCTTTCAACAGTTTACTACAACAACATTATAGAGGATTCCACAATAGTCAAACAACTTTCGACATGAAACCTAATTATCGATCGGAACATAATAGTCACACATAGGAGAAGTCATTGAAATAATTATTGGAGTCATTCATTTATCATTTGATCGATGTTGTTCCTTCTCCAGTCTCATCCTCCTCAAAAACAATAGCAGGAGGTAAAATAGCAGGTGGGAAAAAAGGAAAACTCGCATAATAATAACTGGCAGGATGATAAACGATTCTCCTTCTGGGGACTTTAAAGTTGTTTGACATTTCTTGAGTCTTATCGAGTCTTTCCTCGCTTCCTATTGCTGACGGGATATTCGATGGAAGTTTCTCCAAACGATGTAAACACATCAATCCTAATAACAATGGTAGATATACGATGCTAACTTTAAATAACGGACGTGCTGCTTTTGGATTGGCAGGGTCCTTTACCAATTCTGCGCAACTGTGAAGCATCCATAATCCTAACGCAGTAGACTCATATCCAAACCACGAACTTGTCAAGTTCAAATGAACTGCAAGAGGTCCTAGACATAATAAACCAAGACAAGTGATGACTGACCAAACGGCATTTGCTCTAGGATTCAACTGAGCCAACATTTTATAACCTCCAGCACAATAGTCCTTACAACACATCACTGCCAAGGAATGAAAATGAGGAATCTGCCATAGAAACAAATAGGCAGCCAATAAAAGAGAACCAGACTCTCCGATATTCCCCTGACGAGCTGCTGACCAACCCATCAAGGGTGGTATTGCTCCAACAAGTGCTCCAATCCAAGTATTGATGGGATGAATAACTTTCAGTGCAGTATATACTTTTGCATAAAGAATAATATTCAACCCTCCCAAGGCTGCAGCAACACCGTGATCTGGTAATCCAAATAGCAAAGCGCAAACACCGGAAATACCTGTAAGAATAGTAAATATTGCGGCGTGTCGTTTCGAAAGTAGACCAGCAGGAAGCGGTCGTGACTTTGTCCTTTGCATCTTGGCATCTTTATCCATCTCTTTTATTTGGTTCCAGGCATTTGCACTTGCAGCAGATAACATTGTGCCCACAGTCAAGAAGAGAAGATTAAAAGGTTGAAGCTTCTGCAATTCTACTTGACCGCCCATATAATAACCCACCAGCGCAGTGAACACAACCAGGGCCGAAAGCCTGTGTTTACTTAACTTTAAATATGATCTCAGAAGAAGCTTGAAGTCTTTCCAAGTGGCAGTTCCTTCGAGCTTTTTCGGAAAACTGTCAATCATAAGACCAGTTGTGATAGGCTTGGACACAAAAGTCTTGACATTCCATTGACGTGAATGAACAAAATGTCTCTCCAACGCTGAAACATTTGGATCCCAAGTAAATAAGGCAGTTAAAGTTGTTGTAGTTGGTCTTCCTCTCAACCACTTGGACTGTAAGTTGTCAGTAAGTGGTACAGAGCCAGAGTGTTTGGTACTATTTGGTATTTCCCTGCTGGTGTGCAAACTTAAAAAGTTCTTGAATATCTTATCCGACTTCGCCAATCCCTTGTGCACTCTGCTCAAAACCTTGTGAGATAACTGATACATAGTGACATTCGAAACCAAGTCCTCCTTCAACACACCAAAATGCTTAAAGAGTGATTGATTAGGAACGTCTCGATTGGCTATTATCATACTTGTCACAGAGAAGAGACTCAAGCAATGGGAGACTTTTATGACCCGTCCTTTGCAGAAGAAAATACTTCTATTCATAATAAGAATACTTCTGGTTGGTCGGAAACACTTCGTCACTTTGGAGTGGAAGCAAAGAGAGCAGCAGAAAGGACTAAACAATCCATTCTCCACAAGGTAGGTTCCAGTTGCTTTTCCAAACAGTTTATTTCTGATAACTCTGTTTTAGATGGGAAGAATTGAAACAACCAAGAATGCTCAGTTGGACAACGCCTTAGAGAAGTATACTCAAATGGGTGCAGCTCTTGACCGCCTTCGTAGAGATGCTCAAAGTGCTTTGGATTCCTTACAAAATTGTTGTTCTTCCCAGTCCAATTTTGCACATTCTTTGGAGGCAGCAGTCCGTTTATGTACTTATGACGAAGCCAAGGAAAACGATAACTTGGAGGCCGTGAGTACCCTTTTATTGGGAGGTCAAGTCACACTGCTAGATGGTGTGCTTTACGAATCCCAGAAGAAGTTTCGAGCATGTATATTTAAGTTTCTAGATGAAGAAAAGTTAAGAGAAAAGGATGTACAATCACGTCTGGAAGCAAGAAAGAAGATTGTAGCAGACTATGAGCGTTATCGTTCGAGATTGGAATCCGAGACCAGTGGTTCAAGTCAAGAAACCTTGAGAAAGTTGAATAACAAGAAGCAGGAACTGGATGCCATCACAAGAGGATTAGAGGATACTCTCGAAACAGCTATTCCTCGAAGGAGACTGCTTGTTGAACATGTTATTACGGAGTTCCTTGAAATATCCCAGAAATTCTATCATGAGGCTTCTCGTGTTTTCGATCAGATTGCAGATGGCGCCAACACCGAAAAGTTAGCCTCATTAAAAGTCTCTAGTGACATAGATGAGACTAGAGGGAGTAATTCGTCCCAAAAAAGAGTGTCTGAAGAAAGGTCAAGAAGTATATCACAGGGTTCAGGTTCAAATATTGCGGAAGAACCATCTGAGGATAAGTATTCTAAAGGAAGTTCAAGCAGAAGGCGTCCTCCCAGTCCTCCTCTTGTGTTTCCTGGTGCAAATGCTGGAGTACATGAAAGCTTGGTAGAGGAAGATTCTTCTTCTTCATCATCAGAGGAAGATATACGTAAGGAACAAAAGATAAAAGAACCAACGAGGTCAACTTCAGGACATATTTGGGGCATTCATGGTGAAAAGGAAGCGAATCTTTTTGGAAGTGATGAAGAAGAGGAAAGAGTTGGTAGTCGTGAAAGCGCATTTTCGTTTAAGGCAGCAGAGAATGACCAGTCAAAGAGTAATCAAAAGTTTTTTGAGACAACTTCGGAAGAAAGTCGGTCGAATAGGCAACGTAGCTCATCATTTCAAGCGGATTCACCTACTACGAAGGAAGATTCACTGTTTGAAGAAAAAGAAAGAGAGTTGGACCAAGATACTTCATCAGATGACGACGATGCATTATCACACCCTGCTTCTAGATCCCGCAGTTTTGATGATCTACTGGGTGAAAGTCGTCGTAATGAGACTTTGGAGGAAGGAGATCTATTGGGGGATTTTGATAATACCAATACTCAAGGAGAGAGAAACGAAACAAAGAAACCAAATCCCTTTGACGACGATCTTTTATTCTCGAGCGGACCAGAGTTTTCGAATGCCCAGTCTCAGTCAACGTCACAACCGGGGAGTGGTATGTCCTTCAATGCAAAGGAGAATATTGATTTGGGTAGTGGAACAGAGTCAGAAGAGACCATTCGTGCCCGTTTAGAACCTCGAGTGGAGGCCAAAATCAATCAATGGACACTTCATGGGACGAGAAAGACCAATCTTCGTTTATTGTTAAGTATGCTTCATACTGTTCTTTGGAGTGGAGCTCGTTGGAAGCCAGTTGATTTTCAGAGTTTATCCAATCCTGATAAAGTTAAAGCTGTGTATAAAAAAGCGGTATGTATAATGAAAGTAATAATCTTCATTTCTTATGATGCCTTGTAGATACTTATTTTACATCCCGACAAATTCCAACAAAGTGGATATAGTGTCGAACAGAAAATGATTGCCGAACGTTGTTTTTCTATTTTACGTGAGGCACATGATTATTTTGAAGCCGAACTAAAAGGGAAACCTTTACCCAATCCTGCCAATGCTGCTGGTGCGAGTAATGCTAGTCAAATGTATGCAAATAGTCAACAAGGAGGTTATTATCCAACAGGTGGAATGGGACGTGGTAGTGGTGTTTATCCTGGACCTCCACCACCTCCTTATGCAAACGGTGCATATTATCAACCTCCTCAAGGAAATATGCCATTTGGTGGAATGCCATCTCATGGTCCACCTCCTCCTCCTCCGCCAGGTGGTGCATATGGAGCTCCTCCTCCTCCTCCACCACCTTATGGTTGGGATCCTCGAATGGGTCAAAGGAGATATCCACCTTATTAATGGTAATTATGGAGCATGATTGTGTTATATATACCAAGCTCTATCGTTTGAATAAATGACCGACTGTATACTTGTAGTGATTTTAGTTATTAGGCAAACAGGGTGCTAAAGCTCGTAGTCGGTCCATAAACTCTGTAAAAGAATACTGCCCTTGTAAAGAACAAAGTTTGCTACATGAAGATCGTCTCAGTCCCATGACCAACAGAGAATGAAGCTCAAAAGTGCCACGTATTCTTTGCATATTGCTACTTTGCATAGGAAACAAAAGAATATCACGAGAAATACATAACCAAGGAAAGTGCTCTATCAAAATATCCGGTTCCACATCTCTCGTAACAAATATGGCTTCCAACTCTCCACGTTCAGCCATACGAGTAACTTGGTTAAACCCAAACACAAGAATCTCACTTAAGGATACATTATTTACAGCTGAACCACGTTTTCTCTTTCTGCCACCTCTTTTTGTTGCTATGCAACCTCCAAAAGCTTCCTCAATTAAACACACGACTTGCCTTTCTTCGTTGGCGTTCAACTGTGGCCAACGAGGGAAAAACGATGACCGAAAAACTTTCTTTGGATTCCAACTAGTAGTTTCACCTTTTCCTTTCAATGACTTGGTTTGTTTCAATAAAGTTTTACTAGGTACCTTTTCCATAACAAGTCACCGTGTTCCCATCATTGGTTGTGGTGATATGATGTCGAGTCCAAAACGATTGTGTCAGCGTTTCAAACAAGATAATCTACAACAAGATAAAACGGAAGAGGAGTTAGCTTATGATAGTAACTGGTTAGACTGCGATAAAGCGGAAAGCTTTCAATCAAACTGTCCGTTGGCTTCGAACAACCAGGCTCCAAGAATGGAACAAGAAGAGGACAAGAGTGATACTTTAGAAGACACAGGTGACCAAAGTGGAGAGCAAATTGATGATTATGAAAATACTGATAAGAGTGAAAGTGAGAGTAGCAGTGTGGAGATGGCTATTGAAGCTTTTATAGAAGAACACAGCAACAGTCTGGAGAACTTGAGAGAATCGTTGATGGACATAGGTATATTGGTGAGTCTCGAACAACTAGAACAGGTTTGTTGAATATTTGTGATATTCAAGTCCACTTTGTTCTATGAGTGTTATTTTGTAGTTGCAAAGCGAAGATATTGCAGCTTTGATAAGAAATTCTATATATAAAGAACCGCTGCTTACGTACCGAACTAAAAGCGAAGATTTGAAAAATATTCAAGATTTGGCTAGGATAATTAAACAGGCTAGCCATATTTTGGTTGTTAGTGGTGCAGGTATTAGCGTTAGTTGCGGAATTCCTGATTTTCGTTCAGCAGGTGGCATTTATGAACGCATTCAAAAGACATTTTCGTTATTCGATCCTCAAGAGATATTCGACTTGAACGTATTCAAAGAGAGTCCGGAATTGTTTTATTCTTTTGCAAAAGAGATCATTCCAAGTATGTGTTTTTATGTTCGTTATAAGGATGGGCTGAAACTTTCTCTCCTTTATAGGAGAGTCTACTGAACCTTCCTTGTCTCATCGTTTTATTCGAGACCTCGAATGTCATCAAAAGTTGTTACGTAATTATGCACAAAATATTGATGGCTTAGAAAGCATTGCAGGAATTGATCGGGTTGTATATTGTCACGGCTCATTTTCCGCTGCACATTGTTTGCGTTGTAATGCACATTATTCTTTGGATGATATTCGACCTGATATTGTAACAGGAAGAGTTCCTTATTGTTCTTTTTGCGGAAATCGAGTGAACTGGGACACAAATATCCATGAATCATCTAACAATCCTTCTTCAGAGTACAAGTCATGTATAGATAATAACAGCAGTACGGATGGAGAAGATGAAGACCGGATTACTCCGAATATTATTAAGCCAGATATTGTATTTTTTGGTGAAGCATTGAGTGACCAATTTTTTGATTGCTTTGAATCAGATAGAGAAACGGCTGATTTGCTATTGGTGATAGGAACTAGTTTACAAGTTGCACCAGTATCTAAAATACCGTTTTGTATTTCAGCAGAGATTCCTCAAGTATTGATTAATTTGGAACCTGTAGGTCCGTCTGATTGGTGAGAGCTTGTAACCAAAAACCTCCCATACGTAATGACTAATGTTTGAGACAAGGTTTGACTTGGAACTGATTGGTCCATGTGATGTTATTATCGAACGCTTGTATCAATTATTAGGTTGGCAACATGGTATGAATCATGTGGGATGTTTCAAAGAGGAACAAGTACAGCCTCGAAGATTTGCATTCCAAAGAGACATAAAATAAGGGAATTTTTTATTTCTCAGAGAAGAGAACAAATGTTTTAATTTCAAATGACTGAATGGAAAACGAGAGTATCCACTCTCCATTTGTATCTATGTTCCCAGTATGCGTAACTTGTGTATCATGTTCAAGAAGATTGGTTTCGATTGCCTTTTGAATATGAAGCTGTGGAGAAATCATCAATTGCGCATCACATGGACACCCAAAAGCTTCATAAAGACGAACACAAATGGCATTCTCTTCCCTTTCTGCTTTCTTCATCGCAGTCCATAAAACATTTCCATAAGGAGAAACAATTCTCATAAATGTTTGCGAAAAACTAGAAAATGACCATTCTTGTATAGGTGTCAATACATGAAAGGGATATTCTAATGCTTCCCATTGTTGCAATGCTTGAGCTCGACTCCAAACAGTGACTTGAGGAAATGCACCCTCATGTACATAGAGCCCCCAAGAAAAGGAATGTTTTCCCATATCACAATGATCATCGGGACTCTTGGGACTTCTTAATAGGGACATTCTTATGACGTTGTCCTTTACTGAATAGCCATATTTGCAATCATTGAGTAGAGCAACTCCAAAAGAAGGGTCAGAGAGGTCTGCAAAACGATGCCCACATACTTCAAACTTGGCTATATCCCAAGAAGTATTACGATGAGTTGGCCTCGATACCCAACCAAACTGCGTTTCAAAAGAAGCGTTCATACTCTGCAAGACACTGGTTGGAAACTCTACTCTTAACAACTTTCTACTTTCATGCCAGTCACATTGATGACGAAATACCAACACATCAGATAAGAGATCCAACATAACATACTGCCATAAATAGCTTTGATGATATTCATATTCGAACAGGATAACCACTCGCAATGGCCCTTTCTCTAAAACCTAATGAAACAGCATAGAATTATTGCCATAGTGGCCTTTTTCATTTCTTACCTTGAAACTTTTTGCTGGTTGCCATTCCCAATATTTCTCTTCATGATAGACTTCAATATCCCAGGCATCCCAAAATAATGGAACATCATCATAAGTCACAAAACGATTTCCATATGCTCCCGATTGGATGGCATCTCTCTCTATTCCTTTCTTTTGAAAACTTGTCAAATGGCCTCCTGTGGTCAGTTGACAACGTAAATATGCATTCTCAAGGATGAACTTGTCTTCCATCCTTTGAATGGAAACACATGGAACGTTATCCCATCCTACGGGTTGACCACTTTGTATCCCAAAACCCCACGAAAATGTATTCAAATCCTCCATCGGAAAGTCTTTCCTTAACAAATACATATGTTTTCCATCTAAAGTTGTTTGAAATGGTATACTCTCATCCAACAAAATATCAGTATATATCAGTTGAAAAGAAGACCACGGATGACCTTCTTCCGATATCCAACTCCATTTGATGACGTCCTTGGAATGATGTTTTTCAATAACCTGTTGGAAAGATTCCTCCATTAGATGCTTCAATTCTTTGGATACTTTTTCATGATGTCTAGCAGCATCTTGATAAACTTGTTGAATGCTACTACCTGGCAATGTGTCATGAAACTGATTGAGCAATACAAGTTTCCAAAGTTTTTCCAAATGTTCATAAGGATAAGGCTTCTTCTTCAGTAAATAAGCTACCGCACATAAACCCTCCGTATATTTCAACAACAACTCACATTTCCTATTGCCTTGTTTAACGTTTGCTTGAGAAGTATATGTTCCTCGATGGAGCTCAAAATACAATTCTCCTTTCCAACGAGGATAACGATGCCAATAGTTTTGAGCGATATCGAAGAATTTTTGTGGACTGTTCATCTCCACTTGGGGAATACCAGCAACATCTTTCATTCTAGAAAGTGATTCAATCATTGCAGGACTGGGACCACCACCACCATCACCATGACCAAACAAAAGCAAGGCAGCATTGCAAGAGCCGATATCTTTATTGTTTGAAACCGAACGAAGAACATCTGTCAAGTTACCCAACGAATTGTAAGTATCAGCTGGAGGAAAATGAGTCAATACACTGGAACCATCCAAACCTTCCCAAACAAAGGTGGAATGTGGAAAGCGGTTAAACTAAACGAATCAAAAATCCACAAAAAGGAAAATAAGAGATAACCCACCAAATTCCAAGAAAGTTTCTGAGTCATAAAATACTTTATATTGCATAAGCGCATTATTTGAGGCAACCTAAAACAACATTGACTCCATCCTTCATATTATGACAAGGTCAAAAACTTACTGAGAAGAATATCCAAAAGTATCGGGAAGCCAAAATATGGATGAATGCATACCAAAATTGTTTTGAAAGAACGAGTCTCCAAATACAAATTGGCGAACTAACGACTCTCCACTAGGTAGATTGCAATCCATTTCAACCCAGGTGCCTCCTACTGGAACGAAACGTCCCCGTTTCACATAAGCTTTGATTTCTTTCCAAAGCTCCGGATATCTTTCCTTTATCCATTCCATCTGTTGCGCTTGGCTGGCAACAAAATGAAAACCATCATACTGTTCCATATTTCTTATTTGAGTAGACCAACTTCTTGCACATTTACGAATAGTTTCCTCATATGGCCATAGCCATGCTGTGTCAATATGACAATGACCACAGGCAATAATGAGAGCTTGTCCATCTCCATTCCTCTGTTGAAAAAACTCCTTTGCCAGTTCTCGACAATCATTCCAAGTGGACGGATCATCTACAACGCATGTATTGACTATATCATTCGCAATGCGAAGAGCTTGATCTTTATAAGGAGAATAGAGTAAACGTGCAGCTTCTGCAAGTAAAGTTAAATCACATAACAAGTTCCAAATATCTCTGTCAAACACTGCAACTGATACTTTTTCTAATAGAAAATATCGATGCTCGTCAGGAGGTTCTATATCCCCACCTTGACCGACTCCAAATAACCCACTAGCAGCCATTTCGACAAAGAAAGTAAAGCGCTCTCTTCCATTTGCTTTAATAGCTATCCTATAATCTGCTCTTCGGCAAAGACTCTTGCCTCCAACCAAGCCTTGAATAGAAATGCCTTGTTCGGAATATAAGAGAGCTTCTGCGTTACAATCCCACAAAAAGTGGACTTCTTTTCCCGCCATGCTTTCAGGGATTTCCAACTCCACACGAAACCAATGAGTAGACCAAGAAGGACCAAACTGTTCTCCAATATTTGCTGGTCTGAAACACGACAACTGTTTCATCTGCTCAAAGCTTATTCGTTCTTTACAAGAATATACTTGTATATCTTTGATTGCATCGACGCTTTCTTCCTTCCACAAGTGTCCTCGAATACAAGTTAGCGCAAGTAATAATTACTCCAAAAAGAACTTACCACAAAGGTTTTGATTTCTTCTCCCTAAAGCAACATGTCCATAAGTATTAAAGTCTTTCCAACCGCAGAAAAGCTCCAATCTTTCTAAAGTAATGGACTCTTTCTTATAATGTTGAGCCATAAAGCAATGTCAATACAACTGATGATGGCCTTCTCATATAATGTTAAGTATGATGAAAACCATATCGCATAAAGTGTTGGCAAAAAATTCTTCTACTAAGAACTTACAAAGATAAACTAGACAGTATCATTCCAAGATAATACTCAAATGGATTCTATTTCTCCTCTTTATTAGAGTTTGTGGAAAGTTTCTGAGTTGCTAAGTCTTCAATCTCCTTTCGCATTGCCTTTGTTGAACTATTATCCAAACAACCAAACTCCTTCATTCGATCGAGGACTTGCAAAGCTTCCTCGGGTCTACCATCTTGCAGCTTAGTACTAGCTAAAACTAGAAAACCTGGAGTCCTAAGGCGAACATTGCGTTCTTTGGCTATCTTTAATACTTCTTCTACCATCTCATAGGCTTTCACTTTGGCAAATCTTCGCACGTATTCAGTTAACATATGAGTATTCAATTCTACGCAGCCATCCAAGGAACTGTACCAAAGCTACCGAGAGGAGAGTTAGCAAAGTGATGCTATTCTACAAAACGAACTTACTTTTTTCATACTTTCTACGTCACCTTGTTTCGATAAAGCGGTTAGAAGGACACTAAAACCATAGATGCCTGGCTTCATTCCTAAAAACCTCCAGTATTCTATGGCCTTCACTGCTCTTTTGGGATTTCCAAATCTAACTTCTGACTCTATCAGTTGTCTCGATACCTTGCCGTGTACGGGAAGAAGCTTCTTGTGGTAATCAAATATAAGTTCATAAGCTCGATCAAACTCTTCAGGGGTTCTAACCCGATAACAATACTGTCTTAATTTTTCGTAATGAAGCGGATATTGTCCAGGCTATGAGATTGGTTGCAATATCTTCTGGTGAGAGAACAGCGAAACGAGTGCAAAGGCGAAAACACTTACTCGAGAGGTACGCTCTTTGATATATTCAAAAAGTTCATCGTTTGTAAAATCATCGAGAGTTTCTTTTGTTATTCTTTTCTGAAGCAAAGTTTTTGAGGACCTCAAAAAAAGCCCAGTTGACAAAGGTAACCAAGGCTTCTTCCAGGACGATCGTTTTAGAATGGCACAAAACATAATTCTTGTGAATGTTACTGCTGTCCAATTGGATTCTTTCAGCACCTTATGAATAACTAGATAAAAAACATGAGCTTTAGAAATAGTTGAATGGTAAAGAAAGAACAACTGCTATTCAAAATACTGAGATTGTAAGCATTCACTTTTAGAATAACAATGTCTTGATACTAGTCTTGCATATCTTCGAGAAGTGGATGCAAATGGGATTTTGGAATGTATTTCAAACCATTTCACTCGGACTCGAACAAGTTGTAAAACTAGGAGAAGCAAACACCAACAACCATTCAGAAAACACTTTACATAATCAAAAAAAGCCTTTTGTCAACAACTTTGTTTCTTCTTTGACGAACAAAAACTCGTCAACACTTTCTAGTGACTTTCGAGAAAGCTTGAAACGGTCGTATCCCTCCTCAGTAGAATCCGTTCAACCGGCGAAACGAAGACTTACTCATAATTGTGAAGAAGATTTCACTTCCATACCAAAAGAGTTTGATATCCAAAATCTTGCCCAAGTCAAACGTCGAAAGCTCTCCTTCCTAGAAACTGTAAGAAGAAAACGAAATTTGAAATTATATAGAGATAAAATACGAAACTTAAGAGTCGAAAATTTCAGCGAGGGGTCTTCGCAAACGTTGGAGAACTCTCTGGATGAACTAACAGCTGCCAACCTATCGAGACCAAAGGCTGAAAGCCAAAGCGCCAGTCAGTCTAATTATCGTCTTGAAGCTATAAGAAAACAGGAGAAGTTGTCTCTTCAAAAGGAAATAGATATGCTGAAGCAGAGAATACAACAGTTGCAACGACAGGAAAAGAAGCAAGTGGGACTACTGATAGCTTCTAATGATTCCGAGTCGATGTTGGAGCAAAAACTTTTACTTTCTACTACCAAATTCCTTGACAAAGCAGTATTTCATCAGGAAGCGTTTCAGAGATCGGAGGATGGATTGCTTCAACTACGTTCAAAGAGTGCCATTCATAAGAATCGTGCAATCTTTTTTGCGGAACAAGTTCGAAAAGGTTTAGAGTCTGTCGGTATAAACAAAACAGATACAGAAGTTGCTGTACACAAGTCTTTTAGCATTGTAGAAAGACATGATGAGAAGAAGCAACAACTCAACGCAGTTATCGAGTTATCGGATAGCAGCGATGATGATGAACTGGTAGATAATGTTACCGACGAAAGTGAAGATGTGGAATTACTCGATGAATTGCTTTCTTCTTTATCAGAGGATTGTCAGGTTGTGAATATTTCCGAAGGTACAGTATCTCCCGAAGAATTGAACAGATACCTAAAGGATGGATTGGACTTTCCTTACGCAGTCGACGAAAGGGATCCTTTATCACCCTTGTCTGCCAAGGCTCTGATGTTTTGCAAGTATATGTTGAAGGAACCGAAGAATCGTTTGCTAGTTTCTCGAGATGGAATGAAAATAACGAGAAATGATTTGCGTCTCCTTCTTCCAGGGAATTGGTTAAATGATGAAGTGATTAACTTTTACATGTCACTCCTCCAAGAACGAAATGAAAAGAGTATTTGTGATAACGGATACTCGAAATGTCTGTTTCTTTCAAGCTTCTTCTTCATTAAACTGTTATCGGGGGGTCACTATGATTATAATGCTGTTCGAAAGTGGACCCACCATGTCAACGTGTTTGAATACGATAAGGTCATCATACCCATAAATATAAAGAATTGTCATTGGATCTTGGCTGTGATTGACATAGAAGGGAAGCGTTTTATATGTTTAGACTCTATTCGGGGTTCTCATATGAAAAGGTTGCAAGCACTTCGACAATGGCTGTATGATGAATATCGTACCAAACTTGGTTTAAAATTAGAAACTGACAAATATTCTTTCGAGCAACCTGATGTTCCCCGTCAGTCCAATGTAGATGACTGTGGAGTTTTTTGCTGTAAATTTGCTCATTATGTGTCCTCGAATTGGAAACTAACATTTTCTGCTGAGAATATGAATTACTTCAGATGGAGAATGATGCTTGAAATATTATGTCAACGAGTATCATGATATTTGGAATTGTTTTCTTATTCAGCCCGAAGCATTTTATATAAAGTTTTTTTATGTGGCCACACGACTGTGTCTGAAGAACGGTGGTTTCGTATTTGTTTGATTTCTACGGAAGAGGAACACTATTTTTTCACTAAGAAGAGCATCTCGTGGAGAATTACAAACATTTTTTAATTTGGCGCTCAAAGGAGAGCTGCTTTTTTCTTTTCTTCCTTTCACTTTAAATTTTTCATGTTCGAATATCAAGACACAAGAAGTGACAATTTCTTCGTTATCAATCGTTTGAAATAAAGTTTGAACTTGTTCCTACTGACTTGCCTCTTCTTTTCCACAATCATTCCTCTGGTGTAGAAAAGAAATGCTGAAATTTCGTCAAGGGTTGTTCCTCGGCAATTCTTCTTTGACCAAATGGATGTTGGAGCTGGTGACTCACCTCGAGAGACCAGGCAGAGGTCAGAACTCGCAGAAGTTCCCTTGAAGAACAAGGGCGTTGGCAGTAACGAAGTCAAAACTAGTGAAAAAGAAATGGATAAGACTGACATGCAGGGTAGAGAGTCTCTTTCCGAGAGTACAAATAGTGGGTGGTCGTCTGAGTTGAACCGCAGTGTACTTGAAGAGATGTCGAAAAGTCGAAAAATTGAGTTGCTATGCAAAACTTTGACACGTTGGATAGGCTGTGGAGTGCTTCTGACTGCCAGTCTTTTACGTTTTAGTGTTCTTTCTCTTCCTTATTTTCTGTTGTTCTTGTTTAGTTTCTTACACGTAACGAAGAGCTATTTCCAGTACTATGTGGCTCAAAAGAGTTCAATAGTTTTACTTGGAATGCTTAGTGTATATTCGTTTGGTTGTTTCATTTTCGAAGTAGTAATGGCAGCTTTGTTGGGAACCGGGAAATACGTTCCCACGACAACAGCCTTACGGTCCTTAGAATCCATAGGGATTGCTGACTTTCAAAAAAGTATTGGCACAGGCCTGAGAGGTCTTTTACCAGACATTTTCGTATTCGTTTTTGCTGTTGCTTCACTTGGTGTCAACTGGTTCCTATGGAAAAGTATGACGATTGTTCATTCGACCTTGTCATCAGAACAACGCAGTCCACGTAATATTTCCTTGCCTGTAAGCTCCTCATTGGCTGAAAGAAGCTCTGATAACTTAGGAGACTATGTATCCAGAAGATTCTATTCTAGTGTAACCGTTTTTGTTTTTTACTCTTTTCTTTTATTAGTCTCAATAACGTTTGCAAGCGTGGTTACTTGCATTATAATGCTATTTGTAGACCTTGTCCTACTAGCGTGGGCTCTAGGCCCTATAACATTTGCCAGATGGAAGAACAGGCTTATTGAAGATGAGAGGTTGAAGGGAGCAAATTATTATGAACGACGTTTACTAGCACAGGTTCCCCCGTCATTTCCCGATAAACTCATAGGCAAAATATTGTCTGCATTGTCTTTGAAGGTTGGTGGTGACTTTTTTCATTGTTAAACTCTCATGAGCTTTGTTAGCATATGGATTTGACTTTGTTGAAGATACGAGTAACTCTTGTGATTGACTTGTTTTTACTTGTCTACGTGACTGTTCTGTATATATTTCAGTGGCCTTGGCTTTCTGGTGCATTATTGTCCAATGTGTGTCGAGTTATCGGTATCGTTCCATTAGGACATAGTAATGCACCACAGTGGCCGTACGATCTGACCTTTGTTCTTGCAATCTGTTGCTTTTGTACTGGTGGCTTATTTATTGAAGGAAATTTGATAATCATGAGCACGGTTTCAAATGACAATTCGATTTCGGAGCGAACTACATCGGATCCACACGATGTTGTAAGAGGTACTGCGGAAGAACAGGACCCAACGGAGCGTTTCTGGGATCGCCTTTTTTTCAGTGAGAGCAATGCGCTTTCAATTGCATATCAAGTTGTCCCATTCTTATCGAATCTTAGCATTGTTATTTGGGCGCTAGTCTTTCCTGGTGCACTTTCGACGGTTCTTCTTGTAGTTGCCGGTTTCTATTTTTTGTTTCCTAACTTAATCAACAGGTTAGTTGTTGTTTCTGAAAATATATTTGTGTGTTTCTAATGCTATGTGTATTAGAACAAAGTGGCTGGTCTTAATGTATATGATGTGTATCGTTGTGGCTACCAATCTCTACAATGCTGTTCCCACTGCAGACATAAGCATAGATTCTCAGAAACAGGCCCTAGAAGCCGGACTAAAACGTGCAGATACTACTATATGGGTAATGGCAATCGAAATGTTTTCAGTTGTTCTTGTGGTTTTGGCAGTGCGTTTATATCACCAAGTTGGGCGTCGAAGAGCGTTTTTGAACAGCGAATTAAGACGGCATGCTAGAAGTGAGAGTTCAGAAGTAGTATCATCTGCTTTCCCGTTGCGTTTTTCAAAATGGACGAAATTTTTTGTAGAAGACGTTTTGCTTGATCAAGTTGGACTCAAAGAGGGTCGTTTCATAGATTGGAGAGATAGTCAAGATGCAGATTCCATTTTGGTCTTTTTAGTATGGTTTGCTGTTCCTTTAGAAGCTTGTGCCATGATTTCATTATTTGCTTCAGCTGGTGTTATTGTAAATGCTGTTGATAGTGTCTTTCTTATCATTCTTGGAATTGCAGGATTATTATACTTATTACCGGTATCGAGGTTCCAGGTAAGAAACAAGAGCCATTCATACTCAGTAGCAACTCACATGCAAACATCAGAAATGGCTTCGTTTGATTTCTTGGAATCTTGCTTTGTTCTACCAAATAGTTGTCTTGGTCATGAATGGATGTATTTGTCGCTTTATGAGTGGAGGAGCACACTGTCATATATCAGGAGGTATTAATGGCAGTGAATTATCTGCCTTGTTTGCATATGTGGTGTTCCTTTGTATCGGTAGTTTGCAGGTGTTAAGTGTGAGAATGCGATATCTAAAAAAGTTCTGTCGAACTCACTCTCTTGAATCCTCGAATGGCATAACAGTCATTTCCGGAGAGAATTCTTACCATCAGACTTTTGGAGATTCAAAGCTTCCATATGCACTCTCCGTTATCAATGAGTTTTTCCGTTTTTCATGGCTGTATATTTGCTACATTCTTCTGATAGCAGATGCGTTGCTTTTTCCAGGAAACTATCTTGCCTTTGCCTATCTGCTGATGGCATTTATTTTACTTGTTATCGAGATGGTAATTTCCGTTCGCGTCGAACCTCGACAAGTTGTAAGACGAGTCTGGTTTGTTATTGTTCTATTTTCGGCAGCTATTGTCGCCTTGCGTTACATTGTGCGTTTCCGTTCCATTTATCTGAGTCTTAGTCCAGACACTGCTCATGCCGTAATAAGAGCTGGTATTGATGCTGGTATTGGCTTTCAAATCGGGGATGTCATCGTCTTTATTGCATGTGTGTTGCAAGCAAGATTATTTGGAAAGCATGACTCCGTTCAAAGCGTCTCCTTGAGAAAAAGATTGATGAGTGACTCATCGCGTAAACACGGATTTGTCCTGAGAGTTCTGTCTGTTTTAACTTCCTTTATATCAACATTGTTCATTTGGAGTAGTAGGCTCGTTTTGGTTATAATGGTCCTTATATCTTCTATTTGGTTGAGTGGCGTATCTGCATTATCCTATGTTTATATATTTCTCTGCGTTATCATTCTTTTATTTGAGAGCGAGGCCAAGTACAATTACGTACTGGAACTCAAGATGTCGTTGAATAGTGCGATAGATAGAGCATCTGAGAACGTGGAGGCAAGGGATAGAACTTCATCCACCTTTTCTGTTGGAAGACATCAAATTTTAAGCGGTATAGTATTTAGCAAGCATGTGTCTTCCGTCTGGACAGCCACTTTGCTCGCGCTTTATAGTTTTGCTGTTATATGTGTCCAACTGTTCTACATTGTTTGGGTGTTTGAAGGACATTCGAGGTGGAATGCCGCCTATTGGTTAGGGTTGGCTTCAGGTCCTCGTTCGGTACCAATTGGTTCGAAAAGAATGGCTGGAAACATTCTTATTCTGGTTTTCTCCGTTTTACATCGGCTTGCACAGCGTAGGACACTAAAACATATTGAAGAAAATGCAGATCGAGAAGCATCGGATGATGTGAGGAAGAATCACATTGGAGACTCAACTTTTTATGGGACGAATTCTATGATGGAGCCCGTTCAGGATCAGACAGATGTTGAAGATAGATCCTCTAGCACTGTCAAGTTTATGACCAAGGCGTCTCAGTTATTTTTTTCCTTGCATCGTGTTTGGTTACGCAGCTGTATTGACGTTACCTTTGTCTATTTGATGATGTCAGCCGTGATTGTGAGAACCATTGTCTCTCTTATTTACACTTTACTTGTTGCATTGCTTCTAGTCCCCAGTAATCGCTGGACTACACGTCGCTTTTTCTGGTTTCCAGCCTGGGTTCTTAGTGTACTTTTGATCATTCAATATGCTGTTAGCTTAGGGTTGTGGCCTCCAGAAAGTTATATTGTGCATTGGCCATGGTTAGACCTTAGCGTAACTTGGCAAAGATGGTTTTTTGTCGATGTTGGTTTTCGTGGATATGACTGGAGCCTTGCTTTGACTTTCGGAGGCTTGATTTTGTGTGCTTTGGTACTTGACGTGGAAAGAGAGGAAAAGCTAAAGAAGAAATTTGCTGTCGAAGAACAGAATGACGAGCCAACTACGGCAGTGTTTCCTTTCTCTTCTGGAAACGTTCAAGCAGTTCGATTTTTCCAATTTTTTGGCTCAATTGGATTTGGTTACTTTGTTCTTACGTACACATTTGCTGCAGCAACTAGTCTGCCTAATGTAATGACATATATCTTTATACTATTCATTTTTATCGTTATTTGGAAGTTTAAATGGTTCGTGTTGCCGCCATACTTTTTTTGGAGAGCTCTGTTGTTTTATACATTGGTGAGTTTACTGATTTCTTTGACAATCATTTGTATTAACTAATTTTTCTTTTTCAGTTTGTATTATTCGTAGAACTTTTGGTGCAATTTCCTTTTTCGCTGGGTAATCCGAGTACTAGTTGGGAATCTATTCTTGGCTGCTACAAAGCGTATACAAAACATGGAACACAATTTTTCATTCTTCTGCTTTTCTTGTTTACTTTTCTATTGCTAGAGTGTCGTATCAATGAGAGCATACATAGCAGTATTCTAAAGCCTGGAATACAAAGGCTTCACATGAAGCGTTTTTTACTTGCAATGCAAGATTATACTGTTCGATATTTTCGAAATAGAGAATTGTTTCGAGTGTTAGATGAAGACCGAGAAGCGCGTAAAACAAGATTGCATCGGATAAAGGAAATCAGAGCAAATCGAGAGAAAAAGTTGAGAGAAGAGGAAAATGTTTTGAATCCATTAGGAGAGGAGACCTTTGAATTGGATGAAATGAAACTGAAAGAGGCGGAAACTGCCCAAAAAAAGATGTCAAATGATGACGAGCTATTTGCAATGCAGCTTTCTGCACCGGAAGCTCCGGCACCTGGGGAAGTCACTGACGCCTTACAAGGAGGTGTAAGTCAATGGAGATCTATTAAAGAGTTTGCCAGTCAAACAGCGTCAACGCTGCGTTCTGGTGCAGCGACTAGATCAGTGTTATCGAGAAACTCATTGTCACGTCCAAGTATGTCTGTTAGAGACTCAGTACCTTTGTCGACGAGAATTCAACAAGTGGAGATAAATTCTGTCGGTGGACCACAGTCTCCAGTATATAGAGCTTTGCATGAAAGATCACCCCAAATCCCAGAAGATGATCCAAGATATTCGCCATCGAAAGTTCAAGACACAAACCCTCGCGAGAAGCCAAAATTGTTTCGAATGGCTTCTACAGAAGCAGCTAATGACAATACTTCTGTTGGCTATGGCTATGTGGATTTCTCGGCTCTGGACTCTACAAACGAATGTGACCAAGGTGTCGGTTCAGTAGTGAAGAAGTTAAGTCTTGATGACTCGGTTGCAGGTGGCAAAGAACGGGATATGGATGGAATAGACTTTATGACTGATACTGAAACGACGCCAGTTTGGCTACAAAGTCCATTTATATCCTGGCTTAAATTTCTGGTTGGTTTTTTATTTATTCACTCCGATTGGGTGGTTTATTTCTTCATGGTTTTTGCCTTTTTGATGAACCGGACTTTGCTTACTTTTGTTTATGTCATGTATTTATTCTTGTTCCTATTTGTTGAGTGGCCTCGCCCCAGAAGAATTGCCTGGATGTGTCTGTTGACATACACTGAAGCTGTCATTGTTTTCAAATTGGTAGTGCTCTTGCCAGCCTTGGCGAATCCTAGTATTGGCGTTGCAGCTAGCAGTTGTGGTGGTGTACATTATTTCTACATAGCCAATAGCAAAATCAATACTGTTACTATTTGTACCTTAGGCACTGGTGTGTTTTTTGACGTTCTTATTTTGTTTTCTACACTTTTACGTCGCCTTTATTTATGGTCACAAGGCTTATGGGATGTTGACGTATCAATAGAAGAGATAACAAACAATGATTCCAGTTGTGTTGAGGGAGATTCGAAGACAGAAGTTGCCAAAAATGGTTCTCGTCATACTGGCCTGTTTTCTAAAGTTCTGCATCCTTTCAAGGCATCGGAACAAGCAGAACAACCCAAGGACGAAGCTATATTTATGAGTGACAATGTCGTAAATGCTGCTCTACGCGAAGGGATTTTTCTACAGCAAGATGTTTCACAGCAGAATGGAAATGACGTGATATCCAGTAACTACACAGCAACTGCGACGTCCTCTGTTGGGAACGGTCCTTATATTTTAGCCCAAAACATTTCTGCCAACGCTCGAGCTTCTTTGAAAGTTGCCAAGATTTGTTTTGGCACACTAGCACCACGTCGTAAGATAGAGTACCAGGAAAGAAAAACAAATGAAAATGGAAAGTCAAAAAGAGAAAGAAAATTGCCAAGCCCATTTCTTTTTACTATTCAAGATTCAGATGGATTTTATATGCGTTCTGAAGTTTGGATCGAATTTACTGAAGTTGTATCTACCGAAACTGCAAAGGAAAATGAAATATTGCAGAAAGAAAGTGTAGAAGAGATTGTACCAGAAGATAGACAACAAGAATCAAGCTCTTCGAGTCATTCTCATTCAACTTTCTCCTATAGTCAATTCGACCTCAAAGACTCGATCAAATTTGAAACGGAGGGAAAGATTGCAGAAATGCAACAGCCGAAGAACAAAGCTGCCGAGAAACTTCGAAAGTTAATGCCTTCATTTATATTTCAATATTTTCAACGTATTTTATGTACTGATGGCGTAAAACCCGGTGCGGACTATTACTTGTTGTCATTTACAGTTGATTTCATTTGCCTACTGTATATGCTATTCTTATTCCCGTAAGTAATTCATCTCGTTGTTAGCTTTGTGACAACTTACCCTTATGGAAGACTCATGTTTGCTCCTGCTGATGCTCGAGTGGCTGTAACTGAGACAGGTAAGGAAATTGTGTCAAGTGATTCATGGAATACTAATATCTGACACTATTAGCCTGGTGGTCGACGAATCTCATGTCCCTTAAGCAGATTCTTACATTATTGGCATTGTTTGCAGGCTTAATAATGGAACGTATATTCTATCTTCGAAGACTTATGTTGGGAAAGTTAATTTTGTACTACGCCAACGTAATTGTGTTTCATTTAGTCATATTTGTGATTGGAGACTTCGATCAAAGAGCCACTCTGATCGTATTTTATGTGTTGAAGCTCATCTCTTTTGTGCTTGGAGGGCTTCAGGTAAGGAATGCCACAATAATGGAATGAATCTTCAGTTTTTGAAAGTCTTTTAATGGTTTTATAGGTTCGAGAAGGCTTTCCTCCCTATACACATGGCCAATTTCTTTTAAGAAGATTCTCTGCATGGGGAATGTTTTTCTTTAATCTTTATTATATGACACCTTTTTTATACGAGCTTAGAACTATCCTTGACTGGACTATGATTCCAACCAGCATGGAATGGTGAGTAATTTTCAGTGGATATAAAAAACTCCTTTATTGACCGGAATTTTCGACTAGTTTTGATTGGATGAAATATTCCGACATTTGGATTTCTCTCTACAGAAACAAAGCAATGAATAATAATCGTGCATGGCAAAAGAGATGGTTGGGAAAGAAGAGAATTGCGTCGGTAAAATTCTGGTTGGGAGCTATGCTTGTTTTACTGCTTTCATTTTTGCTTTGGATACCATTTATTGTGTTTAGTGCGGTATGTACCATTCTTTACAAATTTTGATGTCTATATGCTAACAGATTATATAGATTAATCCCTTCGAAGCCTATCAGCCAATAGAAAATGGTCGTCTCTCAGTTTCGTTGTCTTCTGGATCCCAATTGGAACTTTACCAAAGTGTAATTGTTTCTCCGTCAATTGCGACTAGTGCCGAAAGAAGTTTTGCTTCGAATTTAGACGTGAGCTTGCTGGCAGATACAAATCAAGGAAAAACGTACTGGCTAGAATTCGGAGTGGATTCCAATCAAATTTGGCAGCCTCCCGTGCATCGTATTACAACATTGGAAAGTCAACTGCTATCTGGTCAGATTCAACTTCTAGCAGCTCTGTCCATAGAGAGTGGTGGTGGATACACCTATCAATACGTTTCAAGTTCTGTTTTAAATGTTACCGAAAGAACCAGTTTATCCGATTCGCTCCATTCAAAGAATACTTATGGCATTCACGTTCCATCCTTTTTGCCAAGATATCTTGCAGTAGATTCGACTACGTCTTCCTCAGGTCTTTCTGTTTTAGGAAATGGAAACGAGAATGCCTGCATTAAGGTCGTATTTGAAAATGTCACTCGTGAAGGAGTTTTGAGCAATGGTACATCTTTTGTGTGGAATGAAACACAAACATATTGGCAAGTTGCATCTTGTAATGCATCAGGAGTGGATTGTTTCAAATGTTCCAATGGCATTTCATTGAAAGATGAAAGTCAAACTAGTGGCTCAGGAGCCTCTTTTCTTATCACGGGGTATGTTGTGTTTGTGCGCTCGGGTTCCTCAGGCGGTGTCTTGGGCAAGTTTGCAGCTGGAGGTATACTTGCCTTGGTAGTATATATTTTCTTCTCTATTGGCGGCATGGTTCGTCGCATGTTCGAAAACGAGAAGATTGAAATTCCATATTATTACATGCCATTTACAGGTGAGTTGATATTTGCAGACATTATGAAAACATCACTGTGAACCATGAACTGGTTAGATAATTTGTTATCTCTGGTATACGATATCATTCGTGCTCGACAAGATGGTGACTTGGCGATGGAAGAGTTCCTGTTTTGGGAACTGATAGATCTATATCGCTCACAAGAGCGACTAGTGAAGTAAGTCTCATGAGAATTTTGTTCTATTATGCTGACTTGAGCTATTTAAAAGATGGTCTGGTGAAAGGCAACTGTACCCAGAGTTTGAGTGGTGGCTTCCACCATTCCGACTTCAACGATGGACTATGTATAAGCAGGTTGACAATTAATAAAACATAATAGAGTTGTAGCAGCTAATACATTCCAATCATAGTGTCATTCTTCATAATCGCAGTTATAATATAGAACATTCACCACCGACATTACCAAAGTATGAAGGAATTGCGATGGGCGCCATTTTTCTTCGCTACTAAAGGACTTTTCAGTCAAATATGCTATTTCAATATGTTTGTCGTGATATCTTTGGAGAATGCACATTTCCTTTCTGCAGTTTAAGTTTCAAAGTGGAGTGTTCTACCGTAATGTGCTTAAACACAAGGACGCATATTTATAAGGAAATTTTTTGTCTCGGCTATACGTAAAGTTAGCTATATCCTTTACTTTTTTTTGGGCCATGCAAATCTGGAGGCGGGCGATAGCTTGACGTGGCAACAATTTATAGCCCGCCAATGGGAATCTATTGCCGAGAGCCGTGAGAGGAGAAAAAAGCCGTTGCAAATTCAAAGCTATTTTGGCTTTTGGCTTCAATTGGATTTGGGAGAAGTTGCGACTTCTTCCCCTCTTTGTTATGTCAAATACTGGTGAAAGAACTACGTTACCACTTTTTGGTTTTCGAGCTGTCAGAAAGAGTCCCAAAAGGAAGCGTTCAAAGAAGTATCCAGCGGAATTAGAGTGTCTCTCCAACGATAGTTTGCCAACGGAACGAGTTGTACTAAGCGATAGTGACGTTCAAACTGCACATTCATCTTCTGAGTTGAAACCGGACGACTCGGATTTTCCGCTTCCCAAATACTACAGTGACTATCGAGGTTATGAAACGGAACCTATCTCACCTAAGACACCTCCAATGTCAGCAACTTGGAGAGAAAAGCTTGCGACACCAAAGGCCCCAAAGAAGGGTATTCATGAAACTAGAAACATCTCTCTTTTTGAACAGGAGGGTAATATAAGTTTGCGAAACTTGATTTTGTTATGTCTAACTTTGGATAGATCGTGAAGGTGGTGGAATTTGTCGTTCTTGTGGAAGAATTTGTCGATTGCGACCTTCTGTACCTGTTTGTTTTCGTTTGAGTTGTGCACTTGAATATATTAACGAGTTGCAGGAACGTTAAAAAAGGGGAAGAAGAGCATTTCGTTCATTTTCGTAATTTTGAAAACATGTCCGTGATAAGTAAGTTGCCCCTGTGTTTATAGCATTCTGCCAAGGGACGCAAAGAAATGGAGTTTTCTAAGAATGAAAGTGAGGCATATAATGGTATGTTGTATTTCCAGTAATAGTGGAAGTGGTGTCTTGGATTGACATAATGATTCGATAGCTGACAAGTGTTTTCGTTGTGTTCGACAAAGTTCGACAGAGAAGGAAAATTTTCAATTGAAACTAACTCGACAGTTTTGTCATTCCTATTTCAAAATATTGCCGCTACTAATCTATTATTGAGTAAATTCTACAAGCTATATAAGAGCATGAAAAGTCACTGAACTCCTCTAGATATCTGCCTGCAGTTGGGAAGACAAGGCGACCTTTTCCCCTGGTTTGAACGGAGGTAGGCCAAGATAAGGACATCCAGCACATCGAAAAGCATCGCCACGATAACACTAAGTACTCTCATTTAGCTGGACACAAATATCAAAACGCAACACTTACGTTACCACAAGCCGAGCTTGGAGCAGTCTCTGTCAAACTATAAGTAGCAATTTTAACGGAGTTTTCCAACTTTTCCGCTTTTCCACAAGTACAATTTGCACAGGGCTTTCTTCCTACTGCACAAGCCGACTTTTGTCCCACACCCTCCAGTGTTTCGTCCATCTCCACGAGCGAGTTTTCGTCAACCAAATCCTGCTCATCAACTTGTGCTGCAGAAAGCTTCTTCCACAGCTGGACAGTTTCCTTCTGTGTTGCACCATGCTTCACTTCTTCAAGTTCTCCATTGCTCTTAGTTACAACTTGTATTGAAACACCAACGTCATAGTTTGGTTTCCTTGAGACCAATACCTTTTTAGCTTCCTGTGAGTAATCTTCTTCGATGTCTTTAAAACCACAAAGCTTGAGCTCTGTCTTTACAGGCGAGGTGTTCTCTATTCCACTGAGCTCCAACTCTAAGGTTCCATCCTTGGACAAATACCCGAAAACTTTCTCCAAAATGGCATTCCACTGTTCACTTGAAGGATTAAACTTGAAGGAAAGCTTCCAATTTGACTCTTCTTGACATTCTCTGGAAAGAAAGTCTTCCAAGTCTTTTGGCGCCTGAAATAACAATGCCATTCTTTTCCCCATGAAATCTAAGAAAAACAATATGAACAAAATGATTTTCTATACAATGTCGATTCTTTCATAAGTGTAGATTATAAGTTTTTATTTGGATCAGAAATGAACAATTATTTGCATACCAAAGCACAACCCTTTTGCTTTCTCCTCTTATGAATTATAGTTATTTCTCACAAGAAGAAAGACAACAGGATTCGTGGAATCTGGGTCTTGGAGCGGGCTTCTTGAGAGACATGGGAGAAGAATATACCTGTCCTGTTTGTTATCAAGACTTTTACGAAGAACTTGACATTGCAAAAGCTCCTTTTTGTGACCACATATTCTGTATAACTTGTATCCTTAGGTGGGCCAGTATAAGAGCCTCCTGTCCCCTTTGTAAAGCGAGCTTTGACTTTTTGTTTGTCGGGAAGAAACAAAAGAATGCCTCTGTTTCCAACATGGGTTGGGAGAAGAAGTCTTTGCAAGTTTTATTCGATGAGTTTTCAAGTATACTTGTCCCTTTTTTGACAGAAGAAGAGGGGAATATCCAGTCTTCTGTTGTTTTGCGTGCTTTATTGGAAGAGGACTCTCGTGAGAGGTGGAATGGTGAAGATGACTGGTTCAGTTGTGAATTGGACCAACTAGAAGAGGCCATTGATCACGAGTTGTGGGAAGAAGAGGCCATGTTGTGGTCAAAGACATCAAAGAGTATGCAGAGACAGTGTGGAAATCGACCTTTTGGGGCCTCTGGTTATATTAAGAATGAACGTCTTCGTGCAAAAGCTTGTTCTTCTTATAGTGAAGGAGCTTCTTCTTCTCGTGGGAGTCATACGTATTCCAAGTGGCGAAGTAGAAAAAGGACAAGTTGAAGCTATCAGCTTTTTTGTTGTAAATAGTACTATTCCATCTCTTTTGGACTTTGTTTTCTGCTCTTATGTCATTGAAGAACTTGGAAATATCTGATAACCCTTTATTGTGAATCTCACGTAAGATGTCAACTTGAACTACACAGTGTTTGTACACACGAAACAAACGCTGTTTGAAAAGAGGCATCCTATTCTAGTTGCGACTTGGCTCCTCTTTTTCATCGTCACTTTTATTCTCTATCACAATAACGCTGGTTTCTGAGGTTTGGCCAATACTTTTTTGGTTTGTATTACTTCGTCGATCATACCATATTCCAAAGCTTCTTCAGGTGTCATGAAAAAGTCCCTATCTGTATCTTGTTCGATTTTCTCCAAAGGCTTCCCGGTGTAGTCTGCCATGTAAGTATTCAATAGGGACTTGATGAAGAGTATTTCTCTCGCTTGTATTTCGATATCCGCAGCTTGTCCCTGAGCACCTCCTAAAGGCTGATGTATCATAATACGAGCGTTGGGAAGTGATTTACGCTTTCCTTTTGTACCTGCTCCTAATAAGAACGCTGCCATTGAAGCAGCCGTTCCAAAACAAACAGTAGACACATCGCAAGGAATAAACTGCATAGTGTCATAAACTGCTAAACCTGCTGAAACGGAACCTCCTGGGCTATTGATGTATAACGTGATATCTTTGGACGGATCTTCGTTTGCCAAAAATAGCATTTGAGCCACCAAAGCGTTGGCAACCTAAGAAAGTTCAATACCCATACTTGCATACTAAAAACAGAGAGCCATCAAACCTCATCATCCACAGCTCTACCTAACAAAAGTATTCTGTCTTTTGCCAATCTTGAATAAATGTCCATCTGTGTGTCTCCCATATATACGGTTGGAATAGGAGCAGGAGGTTTCCTTGAGGGTTCCGTTCTGTCTGGGCGACTAGGCGGTTCAGGTTCCGGTTGATTACGAAAAACTGCGGTACAATTGGAAGCGTAGTGAAAGTTTCCATATTGTTTCTCCCTTAACCAATTGGGGGATCGGCTAGGAATCCACGTCCCATTGAAAAGTTCGTTCCTTTTCCGGCTACTTGATATCTGCAACTGAGTCTTCTTCCCTTGTGATATCCAACTAGGAGATCCAAAACTGGAACAAAAGCAACAAGATAAAGAGTTTACTGTCATTTCGTTTAAAGATTTAACAATATATGAAGAAAAATGTATGCAGCTCCCAACAACAAAAACTCAACGCAGCCAAGAAACCCAAAAAATCCGGTTGAAGCAAGAGTAGAGAGGAAGAATAATCAATTGGTGGTGGGATTGGATAGGTGGTGTACTGTTGCTAGTGATGGTGGAGATGTTTGTGTTTCCTTTCAGTATTTCATATCATAAAGGATTGATAGGAAGTCAGTTTATCCAACAAAACTATCCGTGTAGATTATGTTACAAATTGAATAGGCCTGTTGGTAGAAGGATGGCTTCTTTTTTGGGTAGTCGTTGGTTATTATGTCGATTGAATCCTAATCTGGTTAGAAAGTTAAAGTCATCTGTTGAGAGATACCATACGTTGGGTGAAAAACTAGCTGAACCACAAGTTTTAAAAGAACCTGCGGAATTGAAAAGAATATCCAAATTGCGAGCCTCGTTGGAAGACTTGGTGAATAGTTACACGACCTGGGAACAATTGACAGAGGAATTGAATAGCACCAAACAACTGTTGTATGAAGAAAGTGATCCTGAAATGAAACAATTGGTACAGATGGAACTGAGTGACCTGGAAAAAAGATTGGATCAAGTAGAAAATAACTTGAAACAGTTGTTGTTGCCAAAAGATCCTAATGACGAGCGCAATGTGATGATAGAAGTTCGAGCTGGAACAGGAGGTGATGAAGCCAACATCTGGGCGGGTGATCTGGTTCGAGTCTTTCAAAAATATGCAGAGTTGCGAAATTGGAAAGCGATTATTGTTTCTTGTCATGAAGGAGACGCTGGTGGTTATAAAGAGTGCATATTGGAAGTGAAAGGTGAAAGTGTTTATTCCAAAATGAAATGGGAAGCTGGAGTCCATCGCGTTCAACGCATTCCTACTACAGAAACGAGTGGAAGAGTGCATACTTCTACAGCTACCGTAGCAGTTATGCCGGAAGTAGATGAAGTGGAAGTTGAAATTGACCCCAAAGATGTTGAAGTAAGTACTGCACGTTCAGGAGGAGCGGGTGGACAAAATGTAAACAAAGTTGAAACTGCCATAGATTTATTCCATAAACCTACTGGAATTCGTATTTTTTGTACAGAGGAAAGGTCACAGTTACAAAATAAGGAACGTGCGTTTCAAATTCTTCGTGCCAAACTGTACGAAATACGTTTGAAAGAGCAGCAAGATGCTATTACTGGAATGAGACGTAGTCAAGTTGGATCAGGTGCTCGTGCGGAGAAGATTCGTACCTACAACTATAAGGACGCACGAGTAACTGACCATCGTTTGGGTATGAATTTCTCTCTAGACCAATTTTTACAAGGAGACTTGGAGCCGATGACTCAAGCTTGCATGATTGCAGATCAACAGCAACGTCTTGTAGATTCTTTGGAACCCTCCCATGCAATGGAAGAATCTTCGACTTTATAAAGAAAAGAGAGAGTCAAATGGATGAGGTGTCCAAGTGAGGGACATTCTTCAATTTGAATCATGGATCAACCCTCGTTCTTAGAGGAGACGGCTATGCTGTCTAATCGTTTCTTATTGTTTGACTCGCAAAGTTGCTATTATTGCATCATAGAATAAAATGGTTTCGCCACATAAGTCTAGAAACTTTTTGCGTGAAATCATTTCCGTGTCTCCTCGGACAGAGTTATCTATAACTCGCTCCAGACGAAATCATTCTAGAGTTCGGTATTATAAAAACAAAAACGTGAACAAAGGTAAACACAAACATTCTAATATCACGTCTCAATACCAACTGGTTTCCTTAGAAGCACTCTTGGAGGGAAGTTGGTTGTTGGCAAAGAACATGTACAAGAAGAAACTAACTTGGTTCGTCCTTATTTTGTTGATAACATGTTTCAATGCGTTGCTAGAAAAGTTTTATACTGTTCCAAGTCCTGGTATACCTGAAGAAAGCATTTTTCAGATAACAACTGCTCAAGTGGATAAGGAGATTCCTTATGAAAGCTGGTGGAGAGATGATACCGATTATGAGCAACAACAACAACAGTTATCCAACCGTCCAACGACATCATCATTCAGCCATGAAGAAATATTCACAGAAGTGCAAGGAGAGTCATCTAGTGATGTATCTTTCCAGTCTTCAATAAGACCAAGCTTCAGTCAGAAACCAAAAACAACTCCTATCAACAAAGAAACAACGAAGAATACAAATGCCCGTGAAAAGAAAGCCTCTGTGACTAAGAATCAATCAGGAGTCTCTAAGAAGGAAGCGAAACCAACCATGAAAAATATGCCTGTTTCAAGTGCTAAGGATATTATCTTTGATGAACCCCATTATTTTTATTTGAATCAAACCAAAGTTATGCTTATGCTGAGTAAATTTATTAAGCAGTATAGAATCGAGTCATTGGTTCTAGGAAGATGCAAGAACATGGAAGAGACTATGGAGATGATCAAAGTAGTTGAAAGATACCCCAATATGCGATTCATAGGAATGCATCCAGATGCTAAGACAATCGACAAATACAGAAAGAAGTTTGGCGAAAGTTTGAAACGAAAATTTGTGGTGAAGGATGTTATGGATGAAATTCCTTTTGGATTTCATTTGATGTGGAATTTGGAAGGCATTCATGATCAGCCTTATGAAACTGTGTTAAGATATTTTGTGCAGTTGAAGAGAAAAAAGTACAAATATGTAGCCTTGATTCATGTGTTAAACTCTAGCAACGAAAAAGTGATCCGAGACAAGGGAACTTATATACCCATCAATGTAAGGTCGAAGCCTTTTTCTCTTCCTATGCCACTTCGAATGGTAAAAGAAGTGGGTAAAGACCGAAGTGGCCACAATCTTCAGTTATTGCTTTATGATATTTCACAATTACCGGATATGGAAAATGATGAATATTTGAGAGAGTTTTTATCTTGGATCGGCTAGTCATCCCAAGATGTATGAAAACTAATCCTTATCGTCTTTTGTTGGCAACATGTTTCATGTTCCTGTCGGAATTCCTTTTTCCCAACCGGAAGCAGTAAATACCCAAATGATTGCTCATTTGTCTCACAACTTGAATGACTTCATAAGAGACAAGAATGAGATGGTAAAGAAAGTAAAGATGAAGAGTTAAAGCATGAGTATAAGGATAACCTCGAAAAGTAATATAATGGGAAAGATATATTATCATCAACCACGTCAAATGGAGTATCAAGAACGTGAAAGTAGGAAATGAAGTATGTGTTAAATGTGAGATTATAAAATAAAACATATTCCTAAAAAATAGCAATCCGATAGTTGCCATGTATAATAAAAAGTGACCCATAAAGACTGGTTTTGCTAAATACGCCCAACAAAAAGCAGCCAAAGAATAGAGTCCAAAAGTTGCAAAAGTTATCCAACAAGACTGAAGAAAAGGATACCGATAAATGATAGTTGTTCTCATAGGATGACGCCAGATTGCATAGCAAGAGAAAAGGACTGTAGGAATAGTCAAAGGGAATGACAAACAAAGAATCCAATGCTGAAGAGACAAACGAATACCCAACAAGTTTAAGGGCTGAAACCACAAAGAAGGACCAAATAAACAAGTGGCAATAAAAATAAAGATGATGCCCATCAAACCTTCGTTAGCTCCATTTATCAGTCTCAAGGTAAGAGAACCACAAAAGAATTCTTCTAAAGTGGCAAAAAAGAAAGGAATCATTCCAAGAGACCAGACGAGAAACAAAGTTGCAAAGGATCTTCCCAATCTCAAAGTAGCAGCCACTGCTAGTCCCAATATGGTCACGTTTAGAGCATCACAGCCGTGATCAAATAAGTGTCCTAGAGGACTAGAACTGTTTGTGCGTCTTGCTTGCCTACCATCCAAGTTATCGAACATCATATATAAGAAAGTAGCAAAGGCTGCCGATAAGTATACTCTCTTTGGTGCCTCGGAGACAAGGTCGGGGGAATAGTAGAGCATCATAACTGTATTGGACAAAGTACACATCAACCCTGATAAAGTAAGTAAGTTGGGAGCAATCCAAGAAGGAATCTTTTCGACTTCAACATCATATAAGGGCGACAATATCTTTCGATAGAGAATGGACAAGTCTTTTCCAGAGGCACAAGGCAGATCCAGTCCCTTCAATTGTTGTGGAGTTAACTGCATCTTTACACACACAACGGAAAATGAATGCAATATAATATTTCCATTTCATTGGTAAGGCAATCTCCGGGAGCTCCATGAATACCTTGCCAGTAACTTCCAGGTTGATATACTCCTTTATGTTTCCTTGTCATTCTTCAAGAAAATATCCACTCATACGTATAACATATGGCCAAAGTATTGTTCCATCCTTTCTAAACAACTATTTTGGTTGTCAAAGGTTTTACGACATGAAGAGTCGCCTGTCTTATCTGAGACAGGATTGGAATATGAAAAGTCGCAGTGAAAGTAACAGTTTCTTCCAAATATTTCAGAATATAATAAGCCAACCTCAGAATGATATCTTGCGTAAATATCGTTCTATCGTCACTCGTATCAATCAACTGGAAGATAGATTCAAACTATTTTCTGATGAAGAGTTGAAGGACATGACCCGTATTTTTAGGGAGAGACTGGAAAATGGACAAGAATATGAAAACATTTTGGAAGAAGCTTTTGCTGTAACAAGGGAAGTGTGTCGTAGAACGTTGGGAATTCGTCTTTATGATGTTCAACTTTTGGGTAGTTTAGTGTTACTGAAAGGAAATATTGCTGAAATGGCAACTGGAGAAGGGAAAACTTATGTTACTATACCAGCAGCATATTTTGAAGCTCTTCATAGAAAAGGTGGAATTTTCATCATTACAGTGAATGATTATTTGGCTAGGAGAGATGCCCACTTGGTAAAGCCAGTGTATGATTTTCTGAGCATATCTTTAGGAATAGTTGATTCTTCGACTCCATTTGAAGAAAAGAAGATGGCATATAGTCAAGAGATTGTCTACGTAACTAATTCTGAGCTTGGTTTTGACTATTTAAGAGATCATTTGACCACAAGTCCAGATGGCGTAGTATTGTCATCATCCTTTTATTTTGCAATTGTGGATGAAGTGGATGCTGTTCTTATTGATGAAGCTCGAACACCGTTGATTATTTCTGACAAAGTAAAGGCACCCAAGGAATTTTATGATAAAGCTATCGATGTTATCGGTCAGTTACAACCATTATTGGATTATGAAGTGAAAGAAAAAGAGCAAACAGTGATATTGACCGAACGAGGAATGATCAAATGTGAAACCCTATTAGAGACAGATGACCTTTATAGTTTAGAGACTCCTTGGGCATATTATCTAGTCAATGCCTTGAAAGCAAAGGAGCTCTTTCTACGTGATAGAGATTATATAGTCGATCAAGGTCAAGTGAAGATAATAGATACTTTTACTGGACGTACTTTAATAGGTCGTCGCTGGAATGAGGGCCTTCATCAAAGCGTGGAAGCAAAGGAAGGTTTGGAAATCAGTGAAGAAACACAGGCTGCCGCAAAGATATCTTATCAAAGTTTCTTTAAATTGTTTCACAAGCTTTGTGGAATGACTGGAACTGCTTCAACAGATAAGAACGAATTTCAGTTGATTTATAATATGGAAGTTATTACTATTCCAACTGCATTTCCAATGATTCGCAAGGACTATCCTGATTGGGTGTTCCAGACAAAAGCCTTCAAACTACAAGCTATCATCGAAGAAATTGAAAGCATGTACTCTCTAGGACGACCTATCTTAGTAGGCACCACAAGTATCGATGCCTCGGAAGAAATGTCAACTCTTCTTAGAGATAGAAACATTCCTCATGAAGTTTTGAATGCTCGTCCAGAGAATGCTTCGAGGGAAGCGGAAATAGTTTCACAAGCAGGAACTTTATTTGCTGTTACTATTTCTACCAACATGTCCGGAAGAGGAACGGATATCATGTTGGGAGGCAATCCAGTACATATGACTAGGTCTTGTATAAAAGAATTGTTGTTGGAATATATAAGGAGTGGAAACTTGGAACGACAGTCTCATATCAAATGGAATATACCTAGAGACTTTATTCAATCACTAGCAGAGTATTGGAAAACAACAACTAGTCATGAATCAAAAGAATGCTCAGATGATATGTTATTACATAGTAAGACATCCATAGATGATTTATTATATTTGTTTCATCCTGCAATGGAACCAAGTACTTTAGATCCCCATATTTTAGACTTGTGGCAGCCTTTTCTTGATATCTTTCAACAAATACGACGAGATGTTGAAGAACAACGAAACAAAATAATTCAATTAGGAGGCTTATTTGTGATAGGAACAGAACGTCACGAGTCTCGCCGTATTGACAATCAGTTGAGAGGTCGAGCTGGTAGACAAGGTGATCCTGGAGCTACTCGATTCTTTCTCTCGTTAGAGGATCGATTATTTCGTATATTTGGTGGTGACCGTATTAAGGGTCTCATGCAATCTTTAAGAGTTGGCAATCTTCCCATTGAAAACTCCCTTGTCACTTCTTCTTTAGATAATATACAATCTACTGTTGAGCAGTATTTTGCTCGTATGCGAATGGAATTATTCAAATATGATCAAGTCAGTATTTTTTGCTATTCTTTCTTTTCCATTATCTAATGCATTGATTCCTTAGGTGGTTGCAAAGCATAGAATTGCCATTTATACAGAGAGAGACCGCATTCTTCGAGGTTCAATGGAATATCTTATGCAAAGATTGGAAAAGGATATGTACCAAACCATGGAAGAGATCATCAAGGTTCATTGGCCTTTGAATCGACCTGAAACGGAGTTGAAATGTCAACAGAAATTGAAAGAATTCTTTCCATTCTTACAGTTGAAGAATTGGAAAACTATTCAAAGCGTGACTTTGTTGGAAGAATGTATTGAGAAACTTCAGAATGTATTATTTCATTTCAACTGGTTGGAGGATATTCCTCTATTTCAAACGTCTCCAAAGTCTTCTTATGCTGAAACAATCCTTCGTTTTATCTATTTGCAACAGTTGGACCATTTATGGATGGACCATTTGAAACGATTAGACTTCATTTTCCAAGTAATTGGTTTACAAGTATATCGGCAAACGGATCCTTTTTTAGAGTATCAAAGGCAAGCATATGATAGGTTTCAAGAGTTGGTTGCTAATATGAGGAGAACTTCCATTTATTCTGTTACTCATTATGAACCTAACAAACAGAGTGACTTGTAAGTCTCTCCCATAATGCATTTTGTATCTTTCAATTATTCCTTCAACTGAATGGAGCATCAAAGACTATGATCTGTCGTTACTTCCTTCAGTGATTCGGAAGAGCGTTTCAGAGCTTGACGATACCAACGACGATGAATTTTGATAACTCTAAGAGGATATTCGAGTATTTCTGCTGTAAAATCAGGTGCATAAATTTCATCTAACAAAGCTCGAATTCCTAATAACGTCCATGGACCTACTTCTGAAATAAAGCCTTCAGAACCTGCTGTTATCTTAAGTTTACCATAAATAATTAAAATAGCTTCTACTGCAGGAACTCCTCTTTTGAAAACCAAATGCGCAACATTATTGGATGGACTCATTTCCCGAAACTCTTTTGTGTCCTCATGAAATTCCACTACTTGACAACTTTCCAACATGTGACGAAGAATATCGTAACTTATAATACTGGAAGAAAAAGCAGAAATATTATGACATAAATAACTTGCCACTACAAGGACTTCATTGTGTGATAAACGATCCTCCAAGTGAGCACCAGAGTCAAACATCTTCAATACTTCCATATCTATCTTTCTCTTCCTCCAAACTTTCTCTTCCGTTGCATTGTTTGGATAAACCTAAAATAAACAATTTGAGTCATTCAAACATACAACAACAATAACATACGTCTGTTTCATCCACAATCTCACTTCCAATTATTTCTTCAATGACATCCTCTAACGTAACTATTCCAATATTTTGATAGAAAGGATCTGTAGGTCCTTCATTATTGACTTTGTATACGACTGCCAAGTGCCCACGTCCACTCTTAAACTCTTTCAACATGACGTCCAATGTTGTTTCATGAAATACAAACTGAATTTCTCTATGAAAGAAAGATAATACCGTCTTCAAAGTTATATCATCGTCTGGGTCAATGAGTACCAAATCTTTGGTAAATAGAATTCCGATGATATTATCCTTTGTTCCTGAATAAACGGGAATCCTGGAGTGGCCAGATTGGAATATTAACGTCAAAGTCTTAAAGTTGAGATGTGAATTTTCATCCAACATGAAAACTTTTTCTAAAGGAGTCATTATTTCTTCTACTTTCTTTTGTGCAAACTCCAAAGCACTACCCAATAACTCAGTCTCTTCTGGTGAAAGACCAGGAACACTTCCATCAGTTGTATCTTCTAAATTAGGTCCGTGCATCTTTACTAGAGACTTTAATTGACGTTTAGAATATCTATGTAAAGGCTCTCTTCCCAAGAACCAGTCTAAAATCCTGGAAGTGGGATAACTCAATGGAAAGAATAACAAAATAAAAATACGAACAATAGGCACTGTATAATATCCAACTTTGAGACCATAACGATGACATACAGATTGCGGTATGATTTCCCCCAATACTAGAATAGCTAAAGTTGAAACTACAAAACCTAAAATGCCACCGACAATATCTGCCCATAAAATGGATAAACCAGAGTTCACTGCAGTGTTACCAATAAGTAAAGTACAAAGTAATAAATTCCCTTTCTTTCTGACGGGATATATTCTTTTTGCACACTTTGCTTCTTCTTCGTCTTCTGATTCTTGTGCCAACTGAAGGTCTACGAGGTCCAAAGACATGAGTCCCAAAGTTAGTCCAGCAAATAAACCCGATAGGAAGACAAGACAGACTGCTATGACAATTCTCCACCATTCTACATTCATTAGTTTTAGCGATTGAATACTATTGTGGTTGAATGTGAGAACTTGTCAACTTGGAATGAATCAACGACATGATAACCAATCCACTCTTGTAAAAGATTATCGTTGATCATGCAACTAAACCAAACGCAATGTAAAGGAATGGGTCTCTTTGCAACCAAGCCTTATGAAGTTGGAAACAGTATTCTTGTAGAAGAGGCTTATTCATGGGTAACTTTTCGAGACAATGGTCCAAATATTTGTCATACCTGCTTCAAGTTCAGTAAGTCTTTAAAAAAGTGTAGTCAATGTAAGGTTTCTTCTCCATTCCACTAAACCCGACTCTCAAATCGGTAAATAGGTAAATTTGCGAGATACTGTGGATTGGATTGTCAAAAGAAGGCTTGGAAAGAGAACTCTCATCGGTGGGAGTGCAAAGCTATTGCCTCTTCCGTGGAAGCGAAAATTCCAAGTATCGTTCGTTTGGCAGCTCTCTTTTTGTTCCGCGCATTGAATTCCAACGATAAAGATATCAGATTGGTAGACCGTTGTCGTTCTTTTCCTTATTCTTATTCTAATATGGACAGCAGAAGTGATGAGAATGATGTGGATGTCTTATCTCGCCAGCGTGTGGATTGTTTAGTTGAAGATCTTCTTCGTTTTATTAGGCTCAGTCATTATCCTCAACATGAAGTTTCGGAATTATTTGAAGACAATTTTGTAGCCTCCTTGATTCGTATGTTAGAGATGAACGCACACACTATTTATGATAGTGAATTGAATACTTTGGGCGTTGGTTTCTTTCCCAAAGCTTCTTTCATGAATCATGATTGTCGACCTAATTGTGTTGCATTATTTACTGGAGGTTTGTTTATTCTTGAGTCACAAAATAGATGTTGTATTTATCTTTTCAAGGTTTTCATAGTGTTTCAGGCAAACCTATATCTATACATATTCGTTGTATTCGTCCCATAGAAGCTGGTGAAGAAATAGTTATTAGTTATTTGGATGTTTGTTTATCTTGGATGGATCGTTTGGAATGGCTTAAAGAGCACTATCAGTTTGAATGCTGTTGTTCCCGTTGTAAGGAGGAATCTTCGCTGACGATTCAACAATACAGTGAGAAGTTGGTCGATTGGAAGTCAGACTGGAAATTTATGAATCGAATGATAGTCCTTTCCGAACGAGAGGAACGTGCCAGTAATATGTTGAGAAGCTTTGAATATATGAATGAGGTATTGCAATGATTCTTTTTTATATTTTTGTGCGATGACTCAAATTTGTATTATTAGGCCTGGGATAAATGTTGTTTATGTATTCAGACATTATATCCCAACTCTCCCATATTTCATTGGAAGCAAATACAAATAGCTTCTCGACTGAGTTATCTATGTATCGTATTGAAAAAATATTCACAAGCAACAGAATATCTTGAATTGTATATGAAGTTGATCAGAGATAAACCTGAATGGAATTACTTTCCAACGGTAGCTCTTGAAATGTTGAAACTGGGAAAGTTGTATGCCTATTTAGGGAATTTGGCATCAGCAAAGAAGTATTTGGAAAAGGCAAAACGTATTTACGCAAACCTTGTCGTAAAGGAAGATCCAATTTATCAAAATTGTGAGAAGGCTTTGTACAAAGTTAGCATTGAATATGATTGGATTGTGCAGCAGGCAGAAAACGATGTTGATGGGCAACTCGGAATTGCTTAATGGAAGCTGTTATGAAATGGGAACTAGAAGTGAACATATTTATGACTATTCAATTTGCAAAATAATCACATTTTATATATGAATGAATGAGCAAAATGGTGATTATTGTGTGCAGATACAAAATACGCGGTTGGAGTTTTAAGAACACGAGAGAGTCGTTGATCTTCTCATCGAATGAGAAATGTTGAAGAGTCTATCAAGTCTCTCTGTCATAACATACCATAATACTCCGCAATGTACACTTCTAATAACATACAAATCCTTGTAGGGGAAAGTTACAGATGCAATTCAATGAGTGTCCAAAGTCATTCCCATCTTAACTTCTTGAGCTAGTCTTTGCGTAGAAATGTTTTGTTATCTCCATAGATGAATTTCCTTACTTTTACCCAATTGTATAGGTTTTGTTTCCTATTCTAACAAAAATTGTAAGCATTGTGCCACTTATTGTTTTCTATGTATGCAGAACTTTCATTCTTTATATTTATTCTTGTCGTTGTGCACAATCCAAAACACTCGTCTAAAGTCTTTATGTCTTGCCAATCTATTGTTATGACAATCTAATATCTATCATATATTCAATGGAGAGTACAAACCCCTCCTCCATATCGAATACGCTGATCTTCTGGGGCCAAAATACTGCCAAGCATTTGAAGGAAAAACTGGAATTGGTCTATTTCAGCACCACTATACATAAAACATGAATAGTGCAAGTAACTTACTTGCGTCCCAACGATGTCTTGTGGTCTTCCTCTGATTTCATTCAACTTGTCAACATTAGATTGCATTAGTTTCTCCATTTCATCTTCATCGATATTGTTATGACAAGCACTAGGCGACCATAACTTGATATTACTCTCAATACCACTTGTCGCTATAAGAGGTTGGTATGGATGTGGCTAAATATAGAAATCAATATTCATAAGGAATCTTTTAAAAAGAAAACAAACATACCAAAACACAATTCACTGCATCTGAATCAGCTTTGTAGGAACCCAATAACATACCGCTGTCCAAACTCCATACATAAAAATGGCCTAAAATATTCAAGCCAATACATAAACTCTCAATTGCCCAAACCATACCATCATCACTTCCAGATAACACACAAGGATACTTTCCTGAAATAAAATTGACTTCTTTGATATCCGTATTTACACTCAAATGTCCAAGAAATCTTCTATGATAGCACAGTCGACTACTTCTATCTCTTAAACTCGGTAATGTGGAATAAACAACACTTTCTTTCATCGTTAGCATAGACGTGTGAACAGACTGCACAAGTGTTTCCTCTCGTTCTTCTTCACGCCTGCGTATGCTTGCATCTTGTAAAAGCTCTGCAACTTCCTATAGCTACAAGTTGATTGCCTCTTCCTAAATGTTAAGGTAAGACATACCTTTCTTAACTTTTGAGACAAGCTGTACAATTTGTGCATCATGATACCAATCCAATAATGCATAAAATCATAAACATGCTGTTTGGTCAACAATAGAGTATCACGAGTCAGTCTTATTCCAATAGTAGACCACCATCTTTCCAAAGGAAAAGTCTCCTCCAATTCATCAAGTTCAGTTACAAACTTGGTTTGCTGATCTTGCACTCTTTTCAGAATATCATTGACATTTTCCTGATATTACAACAACATTAAACAACAATAAGAGTCGACAATTATACAAACCTCCATATCACTACTAACAGAACGAGCAAATTTTAGATGCTGAAGAATATATCGAAGATCCAACAACCCCCAACAAAAAGGAAAAACAATATGAGGAGAAATAAGAAGAGCAGGTTGGTCTGTTACATTTGAATTCTTCTGCTCACGTAAATTTTTCAAGTCAGGAAATGCAGCATCGATATCTCCTGGCCATCCTCTCAAGCAATAAAGAATCCAACTAAAAAGCCTAAGCATGTGCAACTAAGCTGTCAATACATACACTTACCGACAAAGCATAAGTTGATTCCAATAATAAATATCGCAAGCTTTTGATATCCAAATGAGAGCTTTTCCAAATTGGTCCTATCCAACTATTTGGTTATTTTCATACATTTTCTAATACAACATACTTTGTTGAAGTATTCATATGCCAAAAGCAAATCATGAAACACACGACGCAAATTTCTTAAAGTTGGACTCTGCTGTCTTTCTGGTGCAAAATTGAACTGTTCTTCCACAGTTTCTAGACTCGTTATATTTTGAGTAGAGAATACATAAATGCCTTCATAGCAATATGATGCTGCAATTGCTGTGCCTGATTCATTGAAACAAGAGAAAGTGCTGAAAGGAAGCCTCTCATATCTCAAATGTGACTAGAATGAATTCAAAAAATGACAAATAATGATAATGATCCTTGATAGTTTCCTTACTGGACAATAGTTCGCTTTGGGTCTATCAAATGACATTCGTCTATCGTAAACATAAATATAAGGATCTAAACTAATGAATGAAATCGAGTCCATCAGGAAAAAGCTACTAACCGTTACAACTAACGACCAACTCAAATGGAAAGTTAGGATTCAACATTGCGCTTTTAACCATAGTACGGGAAATCTATAGAACGACAATATAAATACGATTCGACAATATAACTTTAACAATCTGTCCAATACCTCGACAACTTTTACGGGATCCTCAGGTGTTCGAAGATCTATCTGATAAACTCTGCCATCTTCTGAAGCACTAAATATCAAGTTGGGGTTTCGTCTCTCAACATCAATGGTCTTTACACGGTCCTCATGCACTTCAAAAAGTTTTTCCGGTCGACCATCTAGAGAAGAAACTCTTACAGTACAATCCATTGCACCGCTTGCCAATAGTCTATCATTGGTGCAGGGTATAAACCTTACCTAGAAAGAAACAATGAAAAGAGGGTTTCTTCAATAAGAGAAGTCTTACTCCAAAAATATTTCTATCATGTCCAGTTTCAACTTGGTCTCTTAAGGTTCCCTCGGCTACATCCCACACGAGTAGTCGACAATCATCTGAACCTGACAGCAACAGAGAGCCTTCCTCATTGAAGGACAGTCTATTGACACAACCGCTATGGCCCTTCAAAGTAGCTATGTTTTCCAATTTTTGAAAGAATGAAGAATGGCTCTATCGTTATTGGTGATTGGTATGGTCAACGAAAACGGAAACCTATTGTTACCAGTATGTTGTCCAACTCCCAGTAATTCCTCTTACAAACAAAACGTTCTCTGTAGTCAATCAAAGCGGATAAAGAAGTCACACAGGGAAGAAGACTCATTGAAGTTCAACAATCAAAAAGTTCAAACCAAGCAAGCAACTTTTTTAGCAGGCCTTTTGAAAACAGGTCAACAGTAATGTAAGAATGCAACAGGTCACCACCAAAAAGGTTTTCATTCTTGGCATTTTGAAACATTTGGAGAGTTATCTTTACAAGCTATTTATAACAACAAAAATATGTTGCTTTGATATATACTGTTGTTTAGAAACTTCGAGTTTCTCATTTTGCTACAAGTAAAATCAACAAAAACTTGTTGGGTGTAAGACGAATAATCAATTTGGTCCATTGAAAAAGAGTATTTTGATATTCAGTGACACTTTGAAAAATCATTCATACAAACAACGAAGTTTTATAAAAGACCAAACTTAGAAATGGGAACAAACCAATGAATGAGTTATAGTTTTAGAAATATCAATAGAATAGAAAAAGTTTATCACAAGTCATTGATCGATTCGAGTATCACTTTATTATTGACATGCACTAGTAATATTTTAGACATTTCCAAAAACAGTCATGGATACAAAAAGCCGTGAACAAAAAGTATATCTATACAGAACTCTGCAGAAACAACCACGAGGACAAATTATCGTCTTTAGTGAGACAAAACTCAACTGGTCAAGGTGTTCCACTTTGACGTGCATCTTTATAGTTCTGTTGTTGAAGCCTTTGTCTCACGTCAACTCTATGCTTCTCATCCAATCTCCCAATTACTCAACAGACGTTTGTGTTTTCTCCTAGGAACTTGAATACCTCTCTTACTTTGTGGGTTTGTTCCACAAACTTGACGAAATGAGTGGATTCTTGTATTCTTTGAAGGAATCAACACGATGGCTAGCAGCAAAGAATTGTATGAAGAACATAGTATAGGCACTTGGAAAATCAAAACTTGAAAAACTGCACTAGTGCTCGTATATAATATTGCTAGTTACTGCTTTGTGAAAGAATGAAAACAAAGAGAGCATACTTTGTTGCATAGTTGACTGCAAATACTTCAATTGTATTTTCAAGTATAAAAGGGGTTGACAATTTTATCGTGTCTGAAGTTGCCATGTACACGAAACTTTTCGTCTCCTTTTGATTTATCCTACATTTCACTAGAAAAGAAGCATCTTTACAGCAAAAACTCTCATTCATTTTATGATTGTTGTGGGAAATCTACTATTTTTGTTGTCAAGAAGATGTTGTTCAAATTAACTGGCAGCTTAACTTTTGCAACCATTGAATATTGAGACAGCATGTGATCTATTCTAATGATTGGTTTTCAGGAGACATAAGATTTGAAGAAAATCGTTATTCTCTATATAATCTTGCAATAGAATCGTCAACAGACATTAGATTATTTCCCCATATAGAGCCTTGAGATTGATCCCTTGAAAATAGAATTGACGATTTGACAGAGGTTGAAAACTTTTAAAGTGATTAGGTCGGTTGTCATCCATAGGGTAACAATTCAGAACCAGAAATCTATTGTGAGCATATCATATCCTCAAATATTTGCATTTCATTAGAAGATACGGCATAAATGAATAGACATTCAATAGAAATCTTTGTCTCCAAATAAGAAATGTAGAAGAAATCATTTTGGATAATATCAACGCTTCCCAGCAAAGTTCAATGGAACTTTCATCTTCCCTCAGTATGATCAAATAATCTTGCTCTTTGAATATAAAGATGATTAGAATTTTAAGAAAACTTTGATGTAAATGAGTTGAATAGTTCTAAGACACAACACGATGTCCTGAAATATGGTGAGTATCGATTTCATATCAATGTAACTAGCATCAGGTAGTAAGAGCTTTCTCCAAACTTTATTTTGTCTTATCACACAACACAATAAAACACAAATACGTTCAGAGTTTGAAATGAGAAAACTCTTCAGTAATGCCAATAAGCAGTTTGGATGTTACGATGGGATCAGTTATACCCATGCGAAGTAATGAATCTTCATCGAGTCTGGAAAGCGAAACTCTGCCAAATCTTGAAAGTTTCCTAAAGCAAACGGAAAATTCTTCTTCAGAAAGACCACAACGTTCTCTTAAGAAAGTATTCCAATCAAATGACGAAGACAAAGAACTGGATGCTGCAACCCTTTGTTCGCTTCGTGTATCTTCTTCTTCCACTTGCATAGCACTTTGAAGCTCTTCCACTTGCATCCTATTCTCCTCATTGGTTCTCGGTCTTATATTTCGAGCTACTCTTAAAGTAACATTTGACTGCGCAGCTTCCAAAGGCGAAACATATTCATTGGACATCGACTCAAAGAGAGTTTTGCACCATACTGAAAAGTCTTTAATGAACTCTCCTCGGCTTGCCTCGCCAATTTTCCTCAAAATTTCGTAATTTTTTATTCCCAAAAATCGTTCAAGGTTCCTTTGGGAAACAATTACCAGTTGCAGACATGATCGACTACTTTCACTCAAAGTTGACCTCAAAGAATGTTTAGTAACCAAATAACTTACATCTTCAACAATATTTTGTTCTTCAACAGAGAAACCCACAGATCGATCATAACTAGTACAAACTACCACCACAAACTGAAAACAAAGTTGAACAGATGAAAGAGATTCGTCATTCAAAACGGAAACAACTCCCTTAAAAAATTGTTCTGATTCCTCCTTAATATCGCTTTTCGAAAATCCAGTTTTGTGATAAAATTTGAATGAAAATCCAACAACATAACGTGTTTGTCCATTCTGGAATACAACATATGCATCAGGGCCACTCGAATTGCCCTCCTTTGGAACAAAAATACCACAACATTGTAAATATTTTCTATAATAGTCAGAAAATGAACCAGGGACATCTCTCAAGATGGGTATATCATAAGATTTTGTTGATTCCATAGAATAAGAAATATTGTCCTGTTCAATAAAGGAATCCTGGAAAATTCCTGGAATAGCAGAATGTACAATAGGCGAGGAATTAGAATGAAGAAAAGTTAATAAGCGAAAGCGAAAGATCTTCATAAATATAAATTCAAAGAAGACTCCTTTTGCTGTTGCAATGTCGGAAATATAACTAAACGGAGATAAAGGAAAGAATTCACTAGCCTCACGGAAAAATTTATAGCTGCTATGAGCTCGCAATATAAATTCACAACAACCAATCTTGAATTCGGTGCCCATATCAATCCCATC